AGATGAGACTAAAATTGAGCTTTTTGGCCATCAAAGAAAACGCTATGTCTGGCGCAAACCCAACACCTCTCATCACCCTGAGAACACCATCCCCACATTGAAGCATGGTGGTGGCAGCATCATGCTGTGGGGATGTTTTTCATCGGCAGGGACTGGGAAACTGGTCAGAATTGAAGGAATGATGGATGGCGCTAAATACAGGGAAATTCTTGAGGGAAACCTGTTTCAGTCTTCCAGAGATTTGAGACTGGGACGGAGGTTCACTTTCCAGCAAGGGGGGGGGGGGCGGTGTTGAATAGTTATGCACGCTCAAGTTCTGTATTTTTTTCTTATTTCTTGTTTGTTTCACAAAAAAAAAATATTTCGCATCTTCAAAGTGGTAGGCATGTTGTGTAAATCAAATGATACAAACCCCCCAAAAATCCATTTTAATTCCATGTTGTAAGGCAACAAAATTGGAAAAATGCCAAGGGGGTGAATACTTTCGCAAGCCACTGTAGCTACTATTTACTGCACATGGTATCAGTGCAAAGTGACACGTGCCAGAACCCGCCCATTATTTTGAAATTGATACGCTTTACAAATTCAAATTCATTACCTAGGCCTAAATAAATACGTTTTATGTACAGCACTAGATTTTATGTTAGATGTCCTTGAGTGTCCTGAAAGGCATCTGCCAAATAAAATATATTATTATTATTGTCAATATATATATCCCTTTCGTTTTCCCACCACCTTACTACTGGTTGCTATGAATTCTATCTGATGGTGTATGCATGTTTAGGCCAGTGCTTGACTTGGACTGAAATAGGTGCCGGTACTCATTTTGGGTGCTGGTACCGTTTATATTTAGGTGCAGGAACTCCTCTATACTTTTGAGCTAATATTCTATAGGAGGTGCAGGAACTCAAGCAGAAGAACATTTGAGGTGCTGGTACTCAGTTCCGTTGAGCTCCTGCCCAAGTCAAGTACTGTGCAAGTCAAGCAAAGACAAATCATGTCCCGTTTGGAACACTGACAAGTAAAGAATACAAATAAAATAAAAACGATATATGTTTAGTATATATTTTTTTGCTCAATCTTATTGGGTAGGCCCAGCTTCTCGTGCCTATGCCTGGAAAACCACAAGCTGCTCCAGTTCATTTAATATTGATGAGAAACACAGATGAGATAATTTTGTTTTCGTTTGAAAAGCAACACTCGATAATTGTGAATTTGAAAACGGTAATTAACTGGTTACACCAGGTTTGGACATTTTCAGGTTTTAAATTAGTCCATCGTCATATATTGATTCACATAATCAGTTATTTGTCATTTTACTTGAGGGGGTTTCACTTAGGGTTAATTAATTATGAACTAGTTTGAATAAATCATTATAGACAATTCGATTGAGGCCATTTAATAATTTATCAGATTCAACCTGGGCGATCCTTTGGCCTAGAAAAGCAGGGGTAAACAAAAAAGATCTATTGGTTAACCCAAACAACATATTGTACACACAAGTGACAGTTTGATTGGGCCTTAGTACTATTATCTTAACAGAACACAGTTCAAACTAAAATTGTAATACAGAATCACTTGTTTTACATAAGTAGAATATTTAATTAGTATTTACTGTATAGGCTAATTATGTTAATTCCATCCTATATGGTTTTTATGAGGGGTTGATTCCTGAACATATGATTCTAATAAGGACAGTGCACTGTGACTGTATACAGAAGTACCTGTTATACAGTAGGATCTAATCTAATCCTGTAGAGTGTGGAATGCCGTTATCCTGTAATATACTGTAAATCCACTTTTATATTAACCTTGGGCTGACTGAGCTGAGCTGCTGCACTGCCCAGCCGCGTCTCTCTCTCTCTCTCTCTATCCCCCTCTCTCTCTCTCTATCCCCCTCACCTTGTGTCGCTCCCTGGCTGTGCTCTCTAGCGCTGCCGTGTTGCTATGCAGAACACAGGCTTTGCCCCTCTTTAGCTCGGCTCCAATTGGTCGCTCCTCCCAGAAAGTATAGAGTTGCTTAGGCACTTCAAGCATGGTCTTGGTCCCAGACTGGCCCGTCTATGTGTCTGTGTTTCTGTCTGCTGGTGCTCTATAGGAGAATAGCAACGAGCTCTATAGTACCAGGATGCAAGGAGAATTATAAATAAAAGGGGCTACAATAGACACATTGTTCCATGTTTTTCAGGGTTATTGTCATCTATCTTGCAGCACACAGCAGGTTCCTGGTCAATACATTGTACGTTTTTGATTATATATTTGAACTGCGTGGCTACGACAATGAATGGGGTAAAAGCCACTGCAGATTCAATCCATCAAAACACAGACACATTTAGCATGTTTGTCTTGTAGTCCCCTGTAGTTCAGTTGGTAGAGCATGGCGCTTGCAACGCCAGGGTTGTGGGTTCGTTTAACCACGGGGGGCCAGTATGAAAATGTATGCACTCACAGTCGCTCTGGATAAGAGCGTCTGCTAAATGACTAAAATGTGATCGGCAAGATAATACTTTATTGCTTACAACATGGAGCTATTCAGACAAGCATATGTCTATAGCCCTCCCCCTTGTCTGAGTGAGTCTTTGAGGCGATCAGTCACAGGCTCACACACACACCCTGCAGCACCATGGGTTACCATGGTGATGGGCTAGGGGGATAAAAGAGTTGATAGATACTCTCTGAAGATTTGTGATGGAGCCAATTGGTATGTCGAATGCAAATGCAGTGTGTCTGTATGCTTGGAGTGTGCAGCTGGTACCTGATGAGAAAAGAGTATGTCTGTCTGCAGGGCCAAGATTAAGATTTATTAGCTGAAATGAAATGTATTTATATAGTGCCTTCAGAAATTTAACAAATTAAAAATGAAAAGCTGAAATTTAGTCAATAAGTCTACAACCCCTTTGTTATGGCAAGCCTAAATAAGTTCAGGAGTAAAAAATGTGCTTAACAAGTCACATAATAAGTTGCATGGACATGATTTTTGAATGACTTCCTCATCTATGTACCCGACACATACAATTATCTGTAAGGTCCCTCAGTCGAGCAATGAATGTTAAACACAGATTCAACCACAAAGACCAGGGAGGTTTCCCAATACTCGCAAAGAAGGGCACCTATTGGTAGATGGGTAGAAATAAAAAAAAGCAGACATTGAATATATAAGACTACACAGCTGATTCAAATTATCAAAGCTTGATGATTAGCTGATTATTTGAATCAGCTGTGTAGTGCTAGGGCAAAAACCAAAACGTGCACACCTTAGTTTGGGATCCCTGCACTAAAGTAATACTGCAAAAAATGTGGCAAAGCAATTTGCTTTTTGTCCTGAATACAAAGTGCTATGTTTGGGGCAAATCCAATACAAAACATTAGTTACTACCACTCTCTATATTTTCAAGCATAGTGCTGGCTGCATGATGTTATGGGTATGCTTGTAATTGTTAAGGACTGGGGAGTTTTTCAGGATAAAAAAGAAACGGAATAGCGCTAAGCACAGGCAAAATCCTAGAGGAAAACCTGGTTCAGTCTGCTTTCCACCAGACACTGGGAGATTAATTCACCTTTCAGCAGGACAATAACCTAAAACACAAGACCAAATCTACACTGGAGTTGCTTACCAAGAAGACAGTGAATGTTCCTGAGTGGCCAAGTTACAGTTTTGACTTAAATCTACTTGAAAATCTATGGCAAGACCTGAAAATGGTTGTCTAGTAATGATCAACAACCAATTTGACAGAGTTTGAAGAATTTTGAAAAGAATAATGGGCAAATGTCACACAATCCATGTGTGGAAAGATCTTAGAGACTTACCCAGAAAGAATTACAGCTGTAATCACTGCCAAATGTGCTTCTACAAAGTATTGACTCAAGGGTGTGAATAATTATGTAAATTAGATATTTCTGTATTTCATTTTCAATAAATGTTTCATTATGGGGTAATGTGTGTGGATGGGTGAGAATTTAATCAATTTTAAATTCAGGTTGTAACAACAAAATGTGGAATAAGTCAAGGGGTATGAATACTTTCTGAAGGCACTGTAGCTGTTAGTGGTCTATTGACAATAACATCTCACTCTGGTGTTCACTTCAGGGGGTTCTGATGCTGACTACTAAATACTTAGGATTAAACAGCAAATTTAGGACATTATTTGTTTTTTTATCTTGTATGAAATTTCAATTATCTACACATGCCAGCGGCTGGATACTGTTCTTATTTATTTAGGCTTACCATTCAGGTATAATTGTATTTGTACAATAATTAATTTACATTTTACATTTACATTTTAGTAGACACTGTTATCCAGAGCGACTTACAGTAGTGAGTGCATACATTTTCATACTGGTCCCCCGTGGGAATCAAACCCACAACCCTGGCGTTACATGCGCAATCCTGGTGATTCTCTGTAGCTCAGCTAGTAGAGCACGGCGCTTGTAACGCCAAGGTAGTGGGTTCGAACCCCGGGACCACCCATACACAAAAATGTATGCACGCATGACTGTAAGTCGCTTTGGATAAAAGCGTCTGCTAAATGGCGTATTATTATTATTATTATTATTATTATTATCATCCTCTACCAACTGAGCTACACAGGAACGTACTTATTGAGATACTAGCTAACATTTTGTAAATAAATAATGTATCAATCTTTCCATTCAAATGGCATTATTGCTAAATTAAGTCTGTTCAACCAAAGAAACACATACAAATGGAAATTACAGAATAATTTATCTACAAAGATTTTGTTCTAAGTTACATAACCTTTAGGATTGATCCATATATCTCTACGTAATTTAGAGATTTAGAATGGAATTAATAACAGAATACATTTTCTCAAGGTCACTTGGGGACCGTCTTGATTGTGAAGACTGTATTGAAAGTTCAACGCAAACAGCCTTCTATTGACTTTCATGCTGCAAAACAATAAGAAGTGCATGTCACTTGACCCTCATGACACGAAGCATCTTAAAACCATGCCATTTCCTATCCCTTTCTTTATTTGCAGATCTCAAGCTGTGAAACAGAAAATGCATCGTCTTCTTCTGCTCTTGATGCACAAGGAGATGGAAGCAAAGTAGGGCCACCATTACATATTTAGTATGATGAATGTCAGTTCAGATGTACAATGCAGTTTGCATTACTGGCTTTGCATTATTTAGATGAATAATTGTTCAGGTGGAGCAAAAGTAGAGCTTACATGCATATGATTCTATCCAACCACCATTTTCCGATTCGTTGGTCATGCATGTCAATGTTATAATATAAAATATTCTTCTCAAGTCGTTGTTGTAAAATATTGTAGTAAAATACAAATATATAAAATACAAAAGTCGAAATAAAGGTGAATTAAATACATACTCACCACGGCCATTTTGTATTTTATCTGGATTAGGTGGAGATGGTGTTCTGGCTGCTCTCCATGCTGGCCAACCGGGACAGGGAGGAGATGTCCCGCACTCTGCTGACCATGTCCAGCTCCCAAGACAGCTGCATCGCCATGCGCAAGTCAGGCTGTGTCCCCCTGCTGGTGCAGATCCTTCACGACGGCCCAGGGGGCGCCGGAGAGGCGGCCGGGAGTACAGGGTGCAGCCGGGAGGCCCGATCCAGAGCCAGCGCTGCCCTGCACAACATAGTGTACTCCCAGCCAGACGAGGGCCAAGCCCGGCGGGAGATGAGGGTGCTGCACGTGCTGGAGCAGATCCGCTCGCACTGTGACAGCGGCTGGGACTGGATCGAGAGCCACATGGGGAGGCCCTCCCCTGGAGGTACTACAACCACAGGTTGGTAGTGGAGGGAAGCAGGATTATTTTAGGCGATTATTGCCGTCTCTATAGCACACTGTGGATTATACTGTGAATGTGAAAGTAATTCCAGCTGTACTTGTCTGTGTTGTATTCAGACATCCCTGAGCCATTGGAGCCCCAGATCTGCCAGGCCATGTGTGCTGTCATGAAGCTCTCCTTTGAGGAGGAGTACCGACGGGCCATGAATGAACTAGGTTAGTGAACAACACGTCAATGGGAAATATACTTCCAACAAAGATGATAAAGCATAACCTTACTGACAAATATGATATGTAAATGAATTGATTGTTCAGTTTGTGATATGCATGGCTGGTGTGTCTCTGTTTAGGGGGGCTGCAGGTAGTTGCAGAGCTAATGCACTTGGACCAGGAGCTGTACGGAATGAAGAACGATCCCATCAATATGGCACTTCGACGCTACGCGGGCATGGCGCTGACAAACCTCACTTTCGGAGATGTCGTCAACAAGGTAAGGTATCATGAGAAAAGCATTGAAAAAACTGAGAGGGATACATATTTATCTGAAACTCTCTTTTACACAGGCCACTCTCTGCACAAAGAAAAGCTGCCTGCAGGCCATTGTCGCCCAACTTGCATCTGATAGTGAGGAACTACATCAGGTACAACATTGTTACTACTATCCTAACTACTTGAATATATTATTTCTGTCAACATTTCAGGACCACGAGACGTTACTCTTTTCAGTTTCAGTGATTTAAATCAATGTTTCCAGTACCACATGGCTAAAGAGGTTATGTCTATTTTTCCCTCACAGGTAGTGTCGAGTATTCTGAGAAATCTGTCATGGCGTGCAGACATCAACAGCAAGAGGGTCCTTAGAGATATAGGGAGTGTAACAGGACTGATAACATGTGCTCTTCAAGCCACAAAGGTAAGATCACACTGAGATTATGTATTTGATGCATGCTGCCAATTGTAACCAAAGCAATAATCAATGGAAACAATGGCAAAATATCTGTAAAATTCTCATCTCTAATGCAATGTAAATGCAAAATCCCATTTTAGGAATCCACCTTGAAGAGCCTCCTCAGTGCTCTGTGGAACCTGTCAGCACACAGTCCTGAGAACAAGGTGGCCATTTGCTCAGTAGATGGGGCTCTGGGCTTCTTGGTCAGCACCCTCACCTACAGATGTCAGACCAACTCACTGGCAATCATCGAGAGTGGAGGTGGCATCCTGCGCAATGTTTCCAGTCTTGTGGCCACACGGGATGATTACAGGTACTGTATTTACTTGAATTGAATTCTACTGTATATCAGCGCAAATGTTCAATAATTATTGCCATAAATATCCACTAAATACATTCTAACATGCTTGAATACTAAGTATTTTTTCCCTTCTTTCAATTCAGGCAAATCCTCAGGGACCACAACTGCCTCCAAACGCTGCTTCAGCACCTGCGCTCTCACAGCCTGACCATTGTGAGCAACGCTTGTGGGACCCTCTGGAACCTCTCTGCACGCAGTCCCAAGGACCAGGAGCTGCTGTGGGACCTGGGAGCAGTCAGCATGCTGCGCAACCTCATCCACTCCAAGCACAAAATGATAGCCATGGGAAGTGCCGCAGCGCTACGGAACCTGCTCACGAACCGGCCCCTCAAGTATAAGGATGCTGCAGTCATATCCCCTGGTTCCTGCATGCCCTCGCTCTACATGAGGAAGCAGAAAGCACTGGAGGCTGAGCTAGATGCAAAGCACCTGGCTGAAACATTTGATTCCATTGAAAAACACAGCAGCCCCAAGCATCCAAGCATTAACAAGCCGCTGCGGCATATCGAGAGCCTGGCAAAGGATTATGCATCTGACTCAGGCTGCTTTGACGACGATGAGGCCCCTAATGTCTCCAGTAGTCTGGACACAGGGAGTTTCTCCATGCTCTCCATGTTCCTGACCAATTCCAACTTCCTTCAAAACCAGCCTCGCAAGAAGGACAGTGAACCGGAGAGAGATATGGAGCCACCACAGACAGAGGATAAGAGGCCAGCGCCTCCAGAAGACGAGGTGTCTGTTGCAGCAGAACAATTAGCAAAAAAGATCACCAACACCGTGGCCAAGATTGATAAGCTTGTGGAGGACATTACCATGCATACATCTTCGGAGGACAGCTTCAGCCTTAGCTCAGAGGACCATTTCGCAGACTGGCCCTATGGATCAGATGAACTCCATGAGGCCCGGGCCAAGTCATGCTCCCCCTGCCGGCTCTCTGATACCAGCAGCTTTGCACACAGAGAACGTCTAAACAGAGCCCATGCTCTCTTACATCTCAAAACCACCCATGCAAGTTTGTCCACTGACAGTCTCAACAGTGGCAGTACCAGTGATGGCTATTGTGGTAGCAAGGACCAGATTAGGCCCTCAGCAAGATCAGCAACATCTCAAAGACGGCCTAACAAGCTTGATCTTAAGGTGGCCCATCAAGAATATCTTAACATCAGAGCTCATGTCCTCAATGAGACAAGTCAGATCGATGTGCCAGAGAGAGATTCTGTGGACAACAAAGAAGTTAAATTGCCTGAACTAAATAGCACAGAAACAGAGAAGAGCCAAGAGCTGCCCCCGCAAACACCAGCTAGTGCATCAACTAAACTCTCTTCTGATGTCAGCATGACTTCCATTAAGTTGTCCCCTTCCTACCAACATGTCCCTCTAATTCAAAGTGTCACCAAGTTTGGTGTTGCAAAGAGTGCCATCAATGTGCAGGCAGCTCAAGCAATGAGGAGACAAGCCTGGGTCCCAACTGTGATGACTGGAGTGAGTTTAGGCAAGTTTTCTCCAATGAGCTCTGCTAGAAGTCCAACCATTGGACCAATGGAGACACTGCAGAAGTATTCAGTGGAGAACACACCAATCTGTTTCTCCCGTTGCAGTTCTCTGTCCTCCCTCTCCTCTGGTGATGGAGCTCTTGACGGACAGAGTCAAAGTGAAAATGAGTTGGAGAGTGACTCATCACTTGAGATCATTGAAATGGAAGATGGGGATCTGGTAAAGAGGGAGGAGGAGAATGAGACCCTGGAGGATCTAAGTGATAGCCAACTGCTAGTCACTGATTCAAAAACCTGTTTGAGCATTGGGTCTGATCCTATTGAAATTCCCTGCCCCACCAAACGTGAAAAGGTGTTCCTCAGGGGTGTATCACCAGGAATACTTGAGGACAGATCACCTTCAAGTTCGTCAGAGAACTACATCCATGAGACCCCACTTGTGATGAGCCGTTGTAGCTCGGTCAGCTCACTGGGTAGCTTTGAGTCTCACTCAATTGCCAGCTCCATACTTAGTGATCCATGCAGCGGAATGATCAGTGGAACCATAAGTCCAAGTGATCTTCCTGACAGTCCAGGGCAAACCATGCCCCCCAGTCGAAGCAAAACCCCATGCTTTGCTGAATCAAATGGACCAGAAACCCAAAATGCTGGGACAGCAGGGCAGTGGGAAAGCAGCTTGCGCAAGTTCATGGAAATTGCAGACTTTAAGGAAAGGTTCAACCTGCCTCCAGATTTGGACACCATGATCTACTTTACAGTGGAAAAGCCCACAGAGAACTTTTCATGCGCCTCTAGCTTGAGTGCTCTACCTCTCCACGAGCACTACATTCAGAAGGATGTGGAACTGAAATTGACCCCCTTACTCCAGCAAAAGGACAACAATCCAACATTCCCACAGGCTCATGGAGAGAGAGATGACAATGAGCATCGTTCCTTTATGGACCAAGGGGAAAGATATAGCGAGGGCAATTCAGATGATGATATAGAAATTCTCAAAGAATGCATCAATTCAGCAATGCCCTCCAAGTTCAGGAAAGTAAGGCCCTCCCTGATCTCCACCTTACCTACCCATGTTCTAAACTCCCAAACCAGAAAAGCTATACCTGTTTATATGATGGTTCCTAACAATGCCAATCAAATGTGCTCAGGGAGAAGGATTGTGATGCAACAAAAGGACTTATATCTTGATGATTCATCATACACTGATTCTGCTGAGGGCACCCCTGTCAACTTTTCCAGCACAACATCGTTAAGTGATGAAACACTTCAGTACCCAGTGAGGGACAAGGGGGCAAAGGATTGGAGGGTTAGAAATATGAACAAACAGGAATGTTTGGATCAAGAGGCAAAGAGAATTGAAGACCTTCGGGTTTTCTCGCACTTCCACAAGCCCACTAAAATGACCAGTCAGCCTGACATACCAGTCAATCAAATGAGCAGGTCAATCAAACATGTAATATCCACTCAAAAAGTACTGATGCAGAGCAAAGAGGTGGCTGATAGAGTGGCTAATCAGAGAAACCTTGATCAATCACCCAATCAACAAAGACAAAAGCAGGGACAGGTCCTGACAAGGAAACTGGATCTACCTATCATAAAGCCAAACATAGAAGGGAACCAAAATCAGAGAGCACTAGAGGGGAATAAGGCATTTCAGTCCATGTGCCATCCAACACCTACAGATGAAGCCATTTGCTGCTTCTATGATGACCAGACAGACAAAGAGGAGGGAGTGATGAAAAGGACAGGGAGAAAACAGATGAGAGAGTCCAGCAGAAACACTCTCTCCCGAAGTATGACTAATATTGGTCGGATTGACAATTACCAGACAAGACCCAAAGGCTTTAATAGGATCAAGCACAAACTAATCATGGAGGAAACACCCCCATGTTACTCTCTTAGTTCATCTCTTAGCTCTTTGAGTGATGCAGAATTTGAGGAACACCAATCAAAATCCAAGCAAGTATGGGTGAAAAAACAAACACAACAAGATATCTAACCAGGTCCAACAAACAAGACCAATGCACATCCACAATCAGTATGAGGAACAAAGCTCACCAAGCTCAGTCAGTATGGATTCAGAGGATGATCTTCTGCAGAAATGCATAACATCTGCAATGCCTAAGCAGAGGAAGAAGCTCTCTGCAAGAAAGAAAGCAGAGAAGAAGCAGAAACAAAGAAACGACATGCAGAAAGTGTCCGGTGGATGGAACAATGAACAAGACTTTGACAGTGACGATATAGCATCTGATAAAGACTCAGACCTCAACAGTGTTGAATGGAGAGCAATACAAGAAGGAGCTAATTCTGTTGTCACACGGTTACAAGCATCGAAGTCTCAAGAACATTCCTCTGAAGAGACTGAATCTGTCCTCTCATTTATGTCTGGATCTAGCTTTACGCCTAAAGAAAAGAAGATCTTTAAAGACAAAAAAGCAAACAAACCACTGGACTTCAACCAACGTAAGCCAGTTCCAAATCTGCCAGTGGTCTTCAGAGGTAGAACAGTGACATACACGCCTAAGAAAGAGACAAATCTTTCGCAAAGGCCGCCTCCTAATAAAGAATCACCCAAGACAGATGCTCCAAAGAATCCAAACCTTGCTCAACAGAGGTCAAGGAGTCTCCACCGTTTGGGACAACCCCTGGACTCCACACAGTGGTGTTTGCCGAAAAGAAGCTCAACCCCACCTCCGAGGATACCAAAGAGCTCATCCTCTGGATCATCTCAAAGCTCTACTCCATCGAGACAGTCACAGAAGAAAATAACCTCCCCCTCACAAACAAGTAAATATGTTCCCCAAAAAGATACCACACCAGCAAGTAGTCCACCTGAAAGGAAGGGACGTTCCACTGTTCCTTCAAATCAGAGCCCAAAATCTCCAGGACACAAAACACAGAAGTCACCCGTCCGAATACCCTTCATGCAGAATGCAGCAAGACAGTCCAGAACTCTATCGCCATTGGTAACCAACCAACCCACAAGTATCAGCAGACAAAACAGTCAGGTGGCAGGAAAAATAATCCCTCCAGCAAATCGTTTTGACTTAGTCTGCATGACATCTGCCCATTCAAGCAGCAGCGAGTCTGACCGCAATGGGTTCCTGAGGCAATTGACCTTTATCAAGGAATCGAAGACAATGAATCGAAGACGTGACGTTTCGTCCTCACGCTCTGTGCCTACCTCACAGCATGCATCGCCCAGAAGAGCAATTCCAGGTGCTCCTGCAGTCTTCCTATGTTCATCTCGATGCCAAGAGCTAAAGGCAGTTGCTCAGGGACCAAGAAGGATGCAAGGAAAGGGGCCCGAGCAAAGGCAAGAGCCAAGGCAGGGGCAGGAGCAGAGGCTTCAAAGGCAGACTGTGACGCTGTCCAGAGCCTGCTCTAGTGACCGAGACCTCTCAACGAGGCGTCCAGCCAGGAGAACCAGCTCAGAGAGTCCCTGCAGGGTGCCTCAGAGAAACGTCTCCGCAACCAAGCAGCAGGCAAGAGACACCATCAAGCGTCATTCCTCATCGCCCAGCATAAACATACTAAGCAGAGTAACCAGCCGCTCCTCCCTCCGCTCCTCGTCCTCCGACTCAAGTGGACGAGCCAAGAGTGAGGACGATACAAAGAAGAATCAGCAGAGAACTGAATCACGCCTCAATGACAGAGTCACCTGGAGGAGGATTCGGGATGAGGATGTGCCTCAAATCTTGAAGAGTACTCTGCCATCTACTGCATTGCCTCTGTTGCCTGTTCCTGAAGGGCCAAAACCAAAACCACCAGCACTGCAAAGGAAACTGCCGACCATTTTACTTAAGTCAAGAAAGACGAGCGACGCTACAGTCCAAACTGAGGATTTTTCGTCCAACAAGACCAACTCAAGCACCTCTCCAACTGTTGAGACAGCTCCAATCATCTCAGAGGAGGCAGCGAGACTAGCCCTCCTTAGAAAGATCAGCATTGGCTCCGGCCAAGATGGAGACTCTGATGGATCCCTAAAGAGCTACAGCACAGCATCCTCTGGAAACGCTCACTCTGTGGAAACTCACACAGGCGGCTTCGGCCATTTTCGTCAGAGCTCCCCCAGCAAGGCAGTTCGGGTCACCCCATTCAACTACATACCCAGCCCCATGGCATGCTGCCTGCAAGACGCACAGAGCCAAGCAACAACAATCAATGAGAAGTCATGTGAAAAATCTGAAGCCTAGTACCTACTACGTAGTACCGCATGTATTTCTGTACATTTGAGATGAGAAAAATCCTACTGTGATTGAAACTAACACAAACACTTGTGTATATCAATCCTTTTACCTCGGGTATTGAACCTTATTTTTCCTCAATGCATCAGAAACATGTCTTCAACAAAGAACACTTGTCATTTCAAATCATCTGATCCCACATGCCATTCATACAAGTTGGATGTATGCATTAAGACAGGACTTCATTGGATAGAATAACACTATCCTAAGAGTTACGGGGAGTAGCCTAATCTCATACAAAATGCACCTTTTTGTACTTTTTGTATTTGTATATAAACCATTGCTTGTTAGAAGATTAGTGTAGACATGACAACATACAAAAAAGACAATTGTGTCTGGATTTCAAGACATACAGTACCATCATCAAAATGAAGGAACAACCATTAATGAAAAACAATATGCAAATCATTGAGTGAAAACCCAGCTGGAAGACTTGTGTTTTTTAAAAGGTACTACTGTGGCTCCAAACTAATTTGAAAAAGACTGTTGAAATACATCAAAATATGGACATAATATTATGTAAAGTATTACTTATGTACCCACATGTTACTGCTTCGCCTTCGCCAAATTACTTACTACTGAGGATACCACACTGTTAGCCTTCACTTTAGAACCACTGCAGGAATTATTATTGCCAATAGTTAATGTTAAACAATCAGCACTGCTGGAACACTATGTTATCTTTAGTCTGTCTTATAAACGGTATTGTAAATGCATGCAGACCAATGTTCCCTCTAAACTGAGCGCATGCGCAGCCCTGCACCTCCTCCAGGACTGCCACGCAGAAAGGCCAGGCAGTTCAGAGTTGCAAGAGATTGAACTTCACTGAATTCCCCCCCCTTTAGTTTGCACTATATAGAGCAACATATTCTGTGATCGAATCAACATTATATCAGCCCCTTTTCAATGCAACAAACCAAAACAAATCTAACTTTGCAAGATTGAGTCTGTTAATTTGTTGTAGGCAGAGCCAGAGTGCAATGGAGTAGAATTCTATTGGTGGGGGTAGCCATGAGCGGTCTTTCAATCACCCGCGAGTGGAATGCGCTTTTCAGATCAGTTCATTTCAAAGCGCAGAGCCGTGCGTGTGCACATTCGTTGATATTCTTTGCTGAGTAGGGAGTTATTATCCTAGTTATAGATAATTATAGGTCAGCAATAGGGAGTTACTGCTTCTTCAAGAGCACAAAACGTGTAGGCTACATTTCAAGCACAAAATTCTTACAACATTCAAGTTTCCGCTCACAAGACCAAACATTTGCTCAGTGCTCCAAAAAATGTAAGGGAACATTGGTGCAGACATACAGTAGAACTCTATAAGCTTCCCAGTGAGCAAAAACTAAAATGTGTGTTGCTCCTTACATCATGCTAAATATACCTGTATTACACCTGTTCATATTGTGGATGTTGGACTGAAATTAATTTATCCTCAGTGGCATTCTTCATTATTTAAAAAGACCAACAAAAAAGAACCAGCCATGGGAACAAACATGCATTTCTAGTCCACTGCAATCTGGATCAAGTGGCAATGAGGAGATGCCATGCTCAATGATTCTAATTGTAGATGAACAGACTGAATGACTGTATTTCAACTTAATAGCTGTAAATGCCTTTGTCAATTGAATGCTATGACATTATATTTGTGTTTGCCTCTAGAATCACATAAAGTAATCAGAGAGCAGGTAAAATATGTTGTGAAGGTGGAAGATGGTCGTTAAGAGAGAAACAACTGTTGGGTTCTATAGAAGAGTCCTCGTACAGAAATTATTCTGTAGAAATATTTACAGAATGTGTTAATATCCGCTTAAACGTCTTGCTGTCAGTAGTGATAGGTCAAAGAACTCAAGCATAAAGACCTTAGAAATAAAAATTCATATTCTCTGTAGTTGTAACATCATCTGTTCATATGTTCTTAGAGATGTAACCAAGACAACTCGATTGAGAGAAGTGCTCGACAGAAATGAAACTACTCTGGCGTGATCTCCATGGAATTTAAGAGCTGTTTATTCTAATTGAATGTGCAATGTTAAATTGAGTCAGGTAACATTTCCAAAGCATTTGAGTAATGCAATGAACCAAGCCCCTTTGTCACAATGACCATTGATAATGTATAAACAGCCCTTAAAGACTAGTAGTGAGAATGCATTACATAGGAATGTTGTCAAAAATGAAGACAGTATTCTTGAAATCTTTTGTAATGGTCCTTACAACTGAAATGGTGTATACTGTATGTTACAAATCTGATTAAAATATCTAAGGTTTTACACCATGAATGTCATAGACCTTGTTTATACCTGGCATTAAATTACGTAAAGTTAGATTCAATGCTTGAAAGCACCGGAATGATTTGGAAACTGGTTGTGAACGAGTCTAGTCACCTCCCAAGGTGGAACAGAAAGCCGATTTGGATCGGCCATGACTTGGAACTGGAATACTGTATTAGCAATTAGGTTTCCTGTGAGACCGGTGTCATTTTGATATTACTCACTTTGCTACAACTAGGATAGGCTCAATTAAGTTGGACCACTGGGTGAAAGGAAATAAGTATTATACCAGATCAGATATGGGGTAGAAGAAATCTCATGCCATGTATGAACAGGGCCATAGGCAAATGGTACCATGTGATATAGGCCAAGGAATGAAAGTCATCATAATAAATTCTCATCAAATAAATTGTGGACGTGTTTCATTTACCTGGCTGACTTAAAACCTTAATATGACTTTTTCTTGAACATATCAAAGCAATATAATATGAGCTTTCAATAATATTGACTAAGCATGCACTCATGCCAATGAAATGTGGACATAGTCTGACAGTTTTCTGAGCTAATTAAGATATAAACAAATATACTCTACACTGACATTTACTTAATCATTGCATTAACTACATAATGACCTTTAAGTTAAAATATAATAATAGTCATATGACCCATAGCCTGACTCCTGCCTGACCCTCGATGCATGCACATGTCAGTGTGATTGAACATTAAAAAACAAGTTATATTTGATTACAATCATTATTTTATTAATATTCATTATAGAAAATTTAGACAACACACATAACTAATTTGCTTTACAATTCCGTGAAAAGTCAAACCAAGGTATGGAGACAATTTTAAACTGTTGTGTCCCATTTCTATTTTCTGCTATGAGAACCTCCTCCGCGAGATTGAGGTGGCATGTTCGTTCCTAGTGAATCTGTTTAAGCTGAGGTAATGTGCACCCCCAGCCCTGAGGTGTGAGGGAAGACTGGTCAGAGGGCTCTCCCTTTGACCTCGGCCACACTGATCTCCAACTGCTCTCTGGCCACCCGCAGTTCCTCCCTCCGCTGCACAAGTTCACCTCTAAACTCCTGAAGCCGCTCGTTCATTTCCAAGTACCTGCGGCTCTGAAGGTACTTTGTCTCCACTTCATTGTCTGAGGACTCCCTCTTGGCATCTGTGGAAGGGGACAAAATCCAGTTTAGTTATATAGGTTTGTTAAAACATATAGGCTGCCTAATCAAGTAGACCATTTGCTGAAAGCTCAACATTACATTAGGTGAAATAAAGTGAAAGTGTCTGTTTGAATTCACTTAGTAATAAGGCAGGCTACCATGTCAATGAACAGGCTACTTAAAGGTTGTCATGAATTGGCTACTTAAAGGTAGACTCAGCGATATGATGAAGATGCAGAACGTTAACAGCATAGTGGGTCAATTTCCGCAAAACTGTGAAGCACGAGGTTCAACCTTTCCGCTCTTTTGGTGCCCTGGCTACCACATTGTAACAGCGTGATGAGAACCCGTGCACATGCACAGATACTGTGTGTGACTGTGAGAGAGCAACGTCTTGCATCTTGCTCATCTCAATATCTGCGGTGCTGCTAGTGGCAATGTCATTTCGATGAGCCTACCTTGAATGACTTGCCATCTGTTTGACTGATGTACTGGGATGTATTCATTAGTCGGATTCTTTACCGTTTACTCTAGGAATCAAACTGAAGCTCCCGAGTGGCGCAGCAGTCTAAGGCACTGCATCTCAGTGCTTGGTTCGATTCCAGGCTATATCACAACCGGCCGTGATTGGGAGTCCCATAGGGCGGCGCACAATTGGCCCAGCGTCGTCCGGGTTTGGCCGGTGTAGGCCGTCATAAAATAACAAATAAAAATAAAAAACAGAGCAAACAGAACGAAACAGAGTGACCTACCTGAATTTGTCCAATAGAAACTCGTTTTCGTTGCAAAACGATTTATGTTTGGAGTAAACGGTTTCCACTGCTAAATGTTTTGCAACGGAATCAGACGAATGAGTACAACCCTGATTCAAAGGCGCATACCTTGGTTGGCATCCTCCAGGACGCTGAAGACTGGATCATTCGAAAAGGCCCTGTTGATGTCCTCAAGAATCTGCTCCACAGTGGGCGGATCTGGTCGACTTGGAAGTACCACTCGCTTCTTATTTTTAGCACCCATGCTGATATTCATTCTGCAGAGCGTACTATCTGCAATAATGACACCGTGGAAGATTCTGTCTATACATGTAACATTAGCTAGCTACGAAACAGTTTGCATCAGAGTCCTGTTGGTGTCTGTCTACTTGACATGAGACGCCAGATTTCATAAGCAAGTCAATGGTGTTGCGGGGTCTCCTAAACTTACCACTTCTCTGTTGGTAGAAAACTGAAGACTTTCTACGGGTGCAATTTCACTAAGCTGTCTGGCAAACGTCGCTAACTCTACATACAACATAACTTCAGACAAAATTAATATTCATAGATAGCTAGCTACAAAGGTTGAGGCAAAACAACTGATTCTGCGTGGAACTGAAATTGACACGTCATTCGTGTGAGACAGATACGTCATTGCTCACATATTTTATGTTTTACCTTGTTCACTGTATTGTTAATCCTATGTTTTTATCAAGAAAAAAACAATGTATTTCTCTGTTGAATAATACATTCAATTGTATTTATTGCCCACACGCAATTTAGAAACCGTTTTTGATTGGCGTTGAGCCAATGATGATGATGACGACTAGAGAGCACTCTTTCCTCTAAAATGCCTTTGCCGGAAATGTCCGACATGCTGATTCGTTGAACGTGGCACGTGTATAACTTCAACCAGTTAGCAAGTCGGACATTTACGATTTCCTAGTTCTGACTAGCACATGCCGCGTTCAAAACAACTGGAACTCGGAACTCTCCGACTGCCAACTTCAGTGCGTTCAAAACAACTGGGAACTCGGAAAAAAACGAACTCCAACTGGGAAACATCGATTTGAACGGTCATCCAACTCGGAATTTCAACTCGGGAACTCTTGCTCTTTCTAATGTTCCGACTTTCCGACCTGAACGTCACTGACGTAATGATTTGACCTCGTATTTTTCCGAGTTCCCAGTTGCTTTGAACGCGGTGTTAGTTCCTTTGCTCCATGCCAAATAATCTGTGATCATCATGATGACAAGCAACATGACCAGTAAAAAAATACACTTAATAAGAAGGACACTTTTATTGATACACAAGGTACAACTTACTTTATGTCCTTTTGAGAGTACAACATAGGTACATGTATAATAATAAAGGAATAAAGGAATGTTTCTGAAATAACTTAATTGCATAACTCATGACTACTAGTACCACTTATTACCCTTTCTCCTTCAACTTAAATGTTTGGTTAAATACACAGTACTAGTATTTAACATTGGACAATTATATCACTCGGATTCCAAGACCCAATGCATTTCTAACTTACAGTAGAATTATGTGTCAATTTCATTTTCATATGGCCTAGATCTGACTATACAAAACTGTTACAAGACAAAAAGAGACAAAAACATGTCCAAATAAAAAAGAAACAAAGGACAACAGTGAAAACTAAAGCAATGAAGTCTAAGACCAGAACACTGTGGGCTATTGTTGAAGCATTGAGCCCTCACACTCCTGCATTGGAGGACAAGGACAAGGATTGATTGTAAACCAAAGACCAGTTAAATTCAGTTACTCTAATCAGGTGATGAGAAGGTCAAAATATCAGACATTGCATAGCATTCAACTAACTACCCACAACATCGCGGATGTGAAGTGTTTTTCAGTTGCAATGGTTTTGGTCGATATGAAGCAGCATTTTACCTTGGTTATGTTTTTTCCTGTCCCGTTATCTGTCTGTGTAATGGTATCCCAATCTCTGTCAGACTTGTGTCATTGTTTTCCAATCATAAGACATCAAGTATTAGTGGTTCAGCAGTTTGCACGTCAACATGGAAACCAAAGTCCTTCCTGTGAATCTGGCATGGTTTGGTTTTCTGTATTCAGTACCATTACTGAGACTTGTCTTGGTTGGATGCCTCTCCCTGTGGGTCTGTAAATATAATGAAATACACTTGCTCATAGTTCACTCATAGTTGCTCATATTTCACTCGTAGTTGCTCATAGTTCACAAAATCAAATTTTGTAAGACACTTTCAAAGTAGTTTTATGTCAAAATGGCATGAGAAATATCGGCAAATGAAAGAGAAATATGGGCACAGTATACACTCCCCAACATATTTATTTGGACAGTGAAGCTACAATTTTAAATTGGGTTCTATACTCCACCATTTTGGATTTGAGATCAAATGTTTCACGAGTCCGCAGTATAGAATGTCACCTTTTATTTGAGGATACATACAGTGCATTCTGAAGGTATTCAGACCTCTTGACTTTTTCCACATTTTGTTACGTTACAGCCTTATTCTAAAATAGATTTTTTTTTTTACATCAATCTACACACAATACCTCATAATGACAAGGCAAAAATAGGTTTTTATAATTTTTTGCTAATGTATAAAAAAAAGAAAACTGAAATATCACATTTACATAAGTATTCAAATCAAATCAAATGTATTGGTCACATACACATGGTTAGCAGATGTTATTGCGTGTGTAGCGAAATGCTTGTGCTTCTAGTTCCGACATGGCAGCAATATCTAGCAAGTAATATCTAACAGTTCCACAACAAATATCTAATACACACAAATCTAAGTAAGGAATGGATTAAGAATATATAAATATATAGATGAGCAATGTCATTGTCAGAGCGGCATAGGCTAAGATGCAATAGTTAGTATAGAATACAGTATATACATATGAGATGGGTAATGCAAGATATGTAAACATTATTAAGATAGTATAGAAAACAGTATATACATATGAGATGGGTAATGCAAGATATGTAAACATTATTAAAGTGGCATTATTAAAGTGACTAGTGTCCATTTATTAAAGTGGCCAGTGATTTTCAAGTCTGTATGTAGGCAGCAGCCTCTCTGTGCTAGTGATGGCTGTTTAACAGTCTGATGGCCTTGAGATAGAAGCTGTTTTTCAGTCTCTCGGTTCCAGCTTTGATGCACCTGTACTGATCTCGCCTTCTGGATGATAGCGGGGTGAACAGGCAGTGGCTCGGGTGGTAGTTGTCCTTGGTTATCTTTTTGGCCTTCCTGTGACATCAGGTGCTGTAGGTGTCCTGGAGGGCAGGTAGTTTGCCCCCGGTGATGTGTTGTGCAGACCGCACCACCCTCTGGAGAGCCCTGCGGTTGTGGGCTCTCAATTATGCATCTGTAAAAGTTTGTGAGGGTTTTAGGTGACAGGCCAAATTTCTTCAGCCTCTTGAGGTTGAAGAGACGCTGTTGCACCTTCTTTACCACACTGTCTGTGTGGGTGGACCATTTCAGTTTATCAGTGATATGTACGCTGAGGGACTTTCCACATTCTCTGTTGCTGTCCCGTCAATGTGGATAGGGGGTACTCCCTCTGCTGTTTCCTGACATTGAGTGAGAGGTTATTTTCCTGACACCACACTCCGAGAGCCCTCACCTCCTCCCTGTAGGCTGTTTCATCGTTGTTGGTAATAAAGCCTACTACTGATGTGTCGTCTGCAAACTTGATGATTGAGTTGGAGGCGTGCATTGCTACGCAGTCATGGGTGAACAGGGAGTTCAGGAGGGGGCCCCAGTGTTGAGGATCAGTGAAGTGGAGATGTTGTTTCCTACCTTCACCACCTTGGGGCGGCCCGTCAGGAAGTCCAGGACCCAATTGCACAGAGCGGGGTTGAGACCCAGGGCCTTTACTCAGTACTATGTTGAAGAACCTTTGGTAGCAATTACAGCCTTGAGTCTTCTTGGGTAGGATGCTACAAGCTTGGCACATCTGTATTTGGGGAGTTTCTCCCATTCTTCTCTGCAGATCCTCTCAAGCTCTGTCAGGTTGGATGGGGAGCGTCGCTTCACAGCTATTTTGAGGTCTCTCCAGAGACGTTCGATCATGTTCAAGTCCGAGCTCTGGCTGGGCCACTCAAGGACATTCAGAGACTTGTCCCGAAGCCACTCCTGCGTTGTCTTGGCTGTGTGCTTAGGGTCGTTGTCCTGTTGGAAGGTGAACCTTCACCCCAGTCTGAGATCCTGAGCACTCTGGAGCAGGTTTTCTTCAAGGATCTCTCTGGACTTCGCTCCGTTCATCTTTCCCTTGATCCTGACTAGTCTCCCAGTCCCTGCCGCTGAAAAACAACCCCACAGCATGATGCTGCCACCACCATGCTTCACCATAGAGATAGTGTCATGTTTCCTCCAGACGTGACGCTTGGCATTCAGGCCAAAGAGTTCAATCTTGGTTTGATCAGACCAGATCATTTTGTTTCTCATGGTCTGAGTCCTTTAGGTGCCGTTTGGCAAACTCCAAACGGGCTACCATGTGCCCACTCTATCATAAAGGCCTGATTGATGGAGGGCTGCAGAGATAGTTGTCCTCCTGTAAGGTTCTCCCATCTCCACAGAGGAACTCTGGAGCTCTGTCAGAGTGACCATCGGGTTCTTGGTCACCTCCCGGACCAAGGCCCTTCTCCCTCAATTGCTCAGTTTGGCCAGGCGACCAGCTCTAGGAAGAATCTTGGTGGTTCCAAACTTCTTCCATTTAAGAATGATGGAGGCCACTGTGTTCTTGGGGACCTTCAATGCTGCAGACATGTTTTGGTACCCTTCCCCAGATCTGTGCTTCGACACAATCCTGTCTCAGAGCTCTATGGACAATTCCTTCGACCTCATGGCTTGATTTTTGCTCTGACATGCACTGTCAACTGTGGGACCTTATATAGACAGGTGTGTGCCTTTCCAAATCATGTCCAATCAATTGAATTTACCACAGGTGGACTCCAAACAAGTTGTAGAAACATCTCAAGGATGATCAATGGAAACAAGATGTACCTGAGCTCAATTTCGAGTCTCATAGTGAAGGGTCTGAATAGGTATTTCTGTTTTTTATTTTTTATAAATTTGCAAAACTTTCAGAAAACCTGTTTTCGCTTTGTCATTATGGGGTATTGTGTGTAGATTGATGAGGAAAGCATGTAATTTAATCAATTTTAGAATAAGGCTGTAACGTAACAAAATGTGGAAAAAGTCAAGGGGTCTGAAAACTTTCCAAATGCACTGTATCTGTTTTACCGTTTAGAAATTAAAGCACTTCATGTATCTAGTCCCCCAGTTGAGCAAGTCATAAGTATGTGGACAAATTCACATAAAGAGGCAATCTGCAGTTGCTACATCAATTTGTGGACTTATACATGAAGAAATTTAAAACATAAGCTTCACTGTCCAAATACATATGGAGGGGAGTTTACATAGCAGAAAGTAGACGGTGCCTATATTTTTCTCATTCATTTGGGAACACCGCATAGCTGGATCTACACAACAGATGGCATATGACGTGAGACGAATTTGGAAGTCTAAAAACATCTGACAAACTTTGGTAATGAACTATTCCTTGATGAGGTTAGAGCACTTGGTTAATGCAATTAGTAATCTATGCCACCAGATCCAGCCACTGCCCACAAAACCTTGTGGTTGACCAGGTGAATACAGTGAGTGATATTGTATACACACACAGTGTGACTGTGTGTCACTTACCATTAGTCTACAGTGGGTTCGGTGTAGATCAACTCATTGATCATCTTATGAGTAGACATGGAATAGGAACAGACACAAGACAGTGAGGAAGAATTACTTTCAAAAGAGCTTCACAACCACATTATGAAAGGGAAACACAAAGCAGTGGGAAGCATACTTTTAGAATAATTTAAATATCAGCTAATTGGCTGATGGTGGACTACCTCTTTTCACAGTTCAGCTAATGCCTGCTGTAGTGGTTCTAGATAAGACCCTGAGGAGGGAAGCCTAGCATAATCTTTAATCCAGGCATGTGTTCTTCTCACAAGTGGGATTTGCTGATTTACATCCTTGTTTTCCTTCTTCAGAAAACAGTTGGTGAGGAGAGCCCTCAACTACAGACCTTGCCATCTGTTGCTGTGCTAAAAGCTCTGACAAACCATTTTGATAGCTTATTTTGTGTTGAGGCTGTGCTTTCTACTGCATTTCCTCCAACAAGACACTCACAAAATTAAACAATAGACCCACATTCTAGGCTTGCAGAAAGTGACTACATGAAAAATAACGTTGGTACTAATGGCAACATTATCAGTATCCATTGTCTACAGATTGCAGTGGAGTGGGATTAGTTAGTTCGCACCCATTAACTTCCACACGACTCTACAGAGTATCAGTTTAGGAACGATCACACCAACAACATTTACCAGCCAGAGGGGAGAAAAAAGTGGTCCACAATGTGAGTGAGAGGCTTGACACATGCTCCATTGAATACATATCTGTATTCTAATTTGATGACATTCTAATTTGATGACATGCATTTCAATAGTGTTCAGACTTTCAATCACACTGTGTTGTCATCTTCTGTTGTTCAATTAAACCATTGAATTATTTCTGACAAATAATAGCAATCAAATGAGATATCAAAACTAAGAGTTGATACTAGCAACTAGAATGAAGGAGTGGTTTTCTTAGAGGCTACAACAGGGGTTACAGTGCCTTTAGAAAGTTTTCACACCTCTTGACTCTTTCCACATTATGTTGTGTTACAGCCTGAATTTTAAATGATTTAAATTTAGATTTGTTTTGTCACTGGCTTACACACAATACCCCATAATGTCAAAGTGGAATTATGTTTTTCAAAATTGAGCATGGTGAAGTTATTAATTACACTTTGGATGGTGTATCAATTCACCCAGTCACTACAAAGATACAGGCGTCCTTCCTAACTCAGGTGACGGAGAGGAAGGAAACCGCTCAGGGATTTCACCATGAGGATGGATCGACAACATTGTAGTTATTCCACAATACTAACCTAATTGACAGAGTGAAAACAAGGAAGCCAGTACAGAATAAAAATATTTCAAAACATGCATCCTGTTTGCAACAAGGCACTAAAGTAATACTGCAAAAAATTTGGCAAAGCAATTCGCTTTTTGTCCTGAATACAAAGTGTTACGTTTGGGGCAAATTCAATCCAACACATTACTGAGTACCACTCTCCATATTTTCAAGCATAGTTGTGGCTGCATCATGTTATGGGTATGCTTGTAATCATTAAGGACTGGGGAGTTTTTCAGGATAAAAAATTAATGGAATAGAGCTAAGCACAGGCAAAATCCTAGAGGAAAACCTGGTTCAGTCTGCTTTCCAACAGACACTGGGAGATGAATTCACCTTTCAGCAGGACAATAACCTAAAACACAAGGCCATATCTACACTCTAGTTTCTTACCAAGAAGTCAGTGAATCAAATCATATCAAATCAATGAATGAAATTACAGTTTTGACTTAAATCTACTTGAAAATCTACGGCAAGACCTGAAAATGGTTGTCTAGCAATGGTTGTTTAGCAATGATCAACAACTAATTTGACATAGCTTGAAGATTCTTTTAAAGAATAATGGGCAAATGTTGCAAAATCCAGGTATGGAAAGCTCTTAGAGACATACATAGCCACAGGAAGTAGGGGTGCTGAGGGTGCTGCAGCACCCCCTGAAAAAAAAGAATATATTAGTAGTGCTCTGGGCCTTTACTAGTCCATTATTAGCGGACCTATATAGGTGTCTGTAGCACGGGCAAAAAAATTCATAGCACCCCCACCCCCAAACATATTCCCGCTGCTATGGAGACATACCCAGAAAGACTCACAGCTGTAATCACTGCCAAAGGTGCTTCTATAAATATTGGGGCGGCAGGTAGCCTAGAGGTTAAGAGAGTTGGGCCAGTAAACTAAAGGTCGCTGGTTTGAATTCCTGAGCCGACTAGGTGAAAAATCTGTCGATGTGCCCTTGAGCAAGGCACGTAACCCTAATTGCTCCTGTAAGTCGCTCTGCTAAATGACTAAAATGTATTGACTCAGGAGTGCGAATACTTATGTAAATGAGATATCTCTGTATTTCATTTTCTATACATTTGCAAACATTTCTAGAAACATGTTCACTTTGTCATTATGGGGTATTGTGTGTAGATGGGTGAGAAAGAAAATCTATTTAATCCATTTTGAATTCAGGCTGTTACACAACAAAATGTGGAATAAGTCAAGGTGTATGAATACTTTCTGAAGGCACTGTATAGACAACACATACTCTAGGGAAACAACTCACAGCGAACATGCAAACAAACTAATAGTGGGACTATATTAGCTTAGCTGGAGCAGTGTTAGGGAGTAACTAAGAGCAAAGGAAATCAAGCAATAAAGAGTTTGTTACAAAAATAAAGAGTTTGTTTTACATACAGCTGATTCTGATGTGCTGAGTAAGCCTTTGGCCCCTGATGCATCTGATGTGCTGGGTAAGCCTTTGGCCCCTGATGCATCTGATGTGCTGGGTAAGCTTTTGGCCCCTGATGCTTGTGGTACTATACTCTTGTTTTTCACCAGTGTTTGAAGGACTGAGGCCAGACAGGAAAGAGAGAAAGAGACAAGCCACATGCAAACAAAGAGACATGAAGGTTCCTTCAGAAACAAGTAAGCGATCTGTGCATATTAAATTGCAAAAGCAGTTGGAAAGGATGAAACAAACAATCGAGGCTAAAACACACACACACAAGTACACATGCGCGCGCGCACACACACACACAACAGTATAGCTCAGTTTTTACTGAAACTTAAATGGATAGAAATATTTAGGCTAATTTGTTTATTCTGTATAAATTCATTTGTTTATTCTTTGCATTATTCTCACAGTAAGTATCCATTCTTTCACAGGTTGAAAATAGCTACCTCTATTTATATCAGATGACCTGGTTCCTGCCATCCTTCCGTCTAACTGTTGTAAGCTGTCTATGACCTCAGTTGACAACATTAATCCCTGCTGGACCATTTGCCAGCTTATGAAATCCATCACTGGTGTGACCTCATAGCCTACAGCACATTAAATCTATCCTCATTGTTTTCTCAATAGATGCGGTAAAGAGGTCAAAGGAACTCGACCAAAACAATGGAAATGCCATGTAAACGTGTGGGGGAAAGATCCTTTTTATCCTCATTGCCCCCCAGCAAAATTAGCCCACATTTAGGCTATTGTTTATATGTACATTTCACACTTCGTTGAAGTAAAAATCGGAGTATAATGCTTGTATGGATGTCAACCCCAATACATGTTCATGTCATCGTCACCAATCAACTGCATTACAGTTCAAAACGACTGACTACCACCACCGATTTCTGTATGCTAGCTATGCTACCAGCTTAAACGAACAGGTGTTAGCATTTAGCAATCACTTCTTCTAAACGTGAAAAGGGACAACTTCTAAATGTTATGCAGCGAAAACAGAGAAATAGAGTGGGGAAAAAAAGTATTTAGTCAGCCACCAATTGTGCAAGTTCTCCCACTTAAAAAGATGAGAGAGGCCTGTAATTTTCATCATAGGTACACGTCAACTATGACAGACAAATTGAGAAAAAAATATCCAGAAAATCACATTGTAGGATTTTTTATTAATTTATTTGCAAATTATGGTGGTAAATAAGTATTTGGTCACCTACAAACAAGCAAGATTTCTGGCTCTCACAGACCTGTAACTTCTTCTTTAAGAGGCTCCTCTGTCCTCCACTCGTTACCTGTATTAATGGCACCTGTTTGAACTTGTTATCAGTATAAAAGACACCTATCCACAACCTCAAACAGTCACACTCCAAACTCCACTATGGCCAAGACCAAAGAGCTGTCAAAGGACACCAGAAACAAAATTGTAGACCTGCACCAGGCTGGGAAGACTGAATCTGCAATAGGTAAGCAGCTTGGTTTGAAGAAATCAACTGTGGGAGCAATTATTAGGAAATGGAAGACATACAAGACCACTGATAATCTCCCTCGATCTGGGGCTCCACGCAAGATCTCACCCCGTGGGGTCAAAATGATCACAAGAACGGTGAGCAAAAATCCCAGAACCACACGGGGGGGGGGGGGGACCTAGTGAATGACCTGCAGAGAGCTGGGACCAAAGTAACAAAGCCTACCATCAGTAACACACTACGCCGCCAGGGACTCAAATCCTGCAGTGCCAGACGTGTCCCCTTGCTTAAGCCAGTACATGTCCAGGCCCGTCTGAAGTTTGCTAGAGTGCATTTGGATGATCCAGAAGAGGATTGGGAGAATGTCATATGGTCAGATGAAACCAAAATATAACTTTTTGTTAAAAACTCAACTCGTCATGTTTGGAGGACAAAGAATGCTGAGTTGCATCCAAAGAACACCATACCTACTGTGAAGCATGGGGGTGGAAACATCATGCTTTGGGGCTGTTTTTCTGCAAAGGGACCAGGACGACTGATCCGTGTAAAGGAAAGAATGAATGGGGCCATGTATCGTGATATTTTGAGTGAAAACCTCCTTCCATCAGCAAGGGCATTGAAGATGAAACGTGGCTGGGTCTTTCAGCATGACAATGATCCCAAACACACCGCCCGGGCAACGAAGGAGTGGCTTCGTAAGAAGCATTTCAAGGTCCTGGAGTGGCCTAGCCAGTCTCCAGATCTCAACCCCATAGAAAATCTTTGGAGGGAGTTGAAAGTCTGTGTTGCCCAGCGACAGCCCCAAAACATCACTGCTCTAGAGGTGATCTGCATGGAGGAATGGGCCAAAATACCAGCAACAGTGTGTGAAAACCTTGTGAAGACTTACAGAAAACGTTTGACCTGTGTCATTGCCAACAAAGGGTATATAACAAAGTATTGAGAAACTTTTGTTATTGACCAAATACTTATTTTCCACCATAATTTGCAAATAAATTCATTAAAAATCCTACAATGTGATTTTCTGGAGAAAAAAATTCTCATTTTGTCTGTCGTAGTTGACGGGTACCTATGATGAAAATTACAGGCCTCTCTCATTTTTTTAAGTGGGAGAACTTGCACAATTGGTGGCTGACTAAATACTTTTTTTCCCCACTGTATATCCTAATCGAACTTTAGTAACCACATTGTGGGCCTGTTACAATACATCAATCATGACGGATTTAACCAATATCCACTTTGTTAGATCAGATTTGTTGAATCTGCGCCAATCCCGCATCCTTATTCTATCCCCCACGGCCTGCGTTCCATTGACCTCGTTACCGCATCTATATGGGTGCAGTGTTACACGTAGCTCTCTAATAGGATTTATACTGTGAAATATCAAGCTATTTAGGGACTGCAGAGGGAAATTAGCTATGTAACTAAATCAGGTACAATATTTGTTGGGCATGCTTTTGAATGTACTGACCGCAAAATGATACAATCCGTTTCCACTAGCATTGCTACATTCTCCGAACAGGCTTACAAGGAGATTTTGTTTGGAGGAAACGACAACACCCTAGGGAAGTCGAAAATAAGCTAATACTTAACTTTAAGGTGTACATGAAATGCATTGTGGGTAGGAGCTTGCTGTTTCTGGACTGGGCCGTCAGGGGCCTCTGTACCTTCTCTGGTGACGGACTCAGCTGCGTTCATGGCCTTCCCGCTGAGGTCATTGACCATGCTGTCCACGGTGGCCTCGTGCTTGAGGAAGAAGGGCCGCACCACCCGGTTGTACAGGATCTGAGAGCCATTCCATGTAACAGGGGCCATGCACCACAACAAGAACAGGCACTGGCAAAGAGAGAGGGAAAAAAACAGGAACATCAGTTGAAGGGCAACACATATTGTAGTAACCACATAAGCAAAGCGTGACACCTCCATGAGCCTAATAAAGCATAAATACAGGTGTTTGATCACAGGTATACTGAGACTTTATTGACAGGAACTTATTAATGTTTATTTATAGCAAGCTTATAATGGCTTGTTAATTGCTTATTAATGTGTTATATGCTGCTATATTCCGTAGCCTATAGTGATCTTGAATTATATTGTAACTGTAAGGTCAGTGGTTGGTCACAATGAGTGAGTTGAAGCCGTTTTCAGTTTGCTTAGAATATAAGGCACACAGATAGTCTGTCTGTGTGATACACATCTGATTCTCGCCTTACCTTGAAAGCATAGTAGAAAGGAAACCAGTAGAGGAAGATGTCAGAGAAGAATTCCCCCAAACTGAAGATTCCGTAGACCACCCAATAGGTCAGCCATTTTGTGTCATCTTCTTTGTTTGTGCTCTCGATGGCTTTGATTCTACATGGAAGAGTGGAAATAGTAACCAACATGACATAGCCCTACTTGAGGCAAGGTACTACATAACATAAAATGGCAACACATAAACGCTCTGGCTTAAACATTTAACTTTAAAGCTAGTTTGCTACTGTTCTTACGAGTAATATGCAGGATACACAAATCCAATCATGTTACAGAGGAGGGAGGCGCCATAGCCATATACCAAATACAGTCCCGTCAGAGACACTGCACCTGTTGATAACACAAGAGACACAACGAGTGGTCAAGCATTATACTGCACAAAGATCCTAATCAAGCAGTTCACTGCTACTTCATGAGAATGTAATTAGTCTTAGTGAAATTATGAAAGGAGTCTCAAATGCTGCTATTGACTGATAGTAAAGGATTTACAGAACTGTGGAATGTCATGCAAAATGCATAACTGTCTTGGTAGCAATGCATAACTGTTTTCATAATTCTGGGGCCATAAAGAGAGCGAGAGAGAGAGCGACAGAGACAAAGACAGAGACAGCGAGAGAGAGAGAAATAGTATAAGAGAGAGAATGCCTTGTAACAGCTGCAGAAAAAACATTGAAGAAATTATAACTTGAGAATAGTCCAATCTACAAAAGGCTGTGTTTGCCAGTGATGATATACTTACATTGGCCTACTCTCATATTTAGGTCTACAGGTGGCTACAGTTGTTCTATGGCTTTGTCGATTCCTTGTTCATCTCTATACCCAGAGACACGTCTCTAGTCTTGCGCATGCTTGCAGCTATTCATTCCTTGTTGAATAAAACAGTATTGCGAATTTGCTGGAAGCAATTGTGGGTTAATGGTAGTATGTGGGTGCCATTGGTCACCGGTAACTACATCATCACAACTGAACCCATGGCACAAGAGCACATGGCTCTCTATGGTGGTGCTGTCTAGGGCTAATATCAACATGTGACATAGATCTGTATAAGTGCCACCCACTGGCATGAATGCACTCCTGTCTCATGCCTTGCCAAAGTCCTCTGGAGGGTGACAATGAATCATTCAACATAATGGACAGTCTGAAACTACCAAGACATGGCACTGTGGTAGGATTTGTGACAGTGAAGTATCTGAAGGAAGTTTGGTTATTTTTGTTTACATACAGTGATAGCAGTAGTCCTTTCAATTATAATACTGCACCATTAAAATATTGATATTCCTAAAAATCTCATGAAAGTAATCTCCCTGCTTGTTTCATTACAATAGTATTAGGTAGGTCTAATATTAATAATTTATAATTACAGTGTAGGTAGAGGTTAGTCTGAAGAGTGTGCGTCTAAAGAAACACACCTGTTGGTGAATACCAAATTGTGCGCCATAGCGTAAGCTATTTATAGGACTTCCATTAGCTGCAGTTCGTGTTCACAGCAAGAATTAACCGAAGTGTGCTGCGCATTCGACAAACACAGGCTTCCTATGAATTAATAGCCTACAGGTTTCCATCACTGACATAATAAGACATGTTATTTCGATTTAGGTATCCAGGGTATCTATTCATGCACATCAAATTAACATGGCAACAAATGTGTCCTCCAAATAGCCTACACAAAAATTACATACCTACGGCAATAATTTTTCTCTTGATCCCGGTTTTCTCCTCCAGTTTCCCAAGGAAATCTGTCACTATGTTTTTCTCATTTAGAAATTTATCTGCGCGATCTCGAAGTTTGTTAAGTACTTCTGAGATACCCATTGTGATGGGTTACAGGGTTCGGGGCTTCTTAAGGCTAAATTATAATAATAAACATATAAATAATGGAATAAACTTTATTTTCCCTGTGGAAATCTGAGTCCTCGTGCAGTTCAAATCCGCTGACGGGACAGGTTTCGTCTCCTCAATCCGCTTTTCTGGAGAGTCCCTCCGTGCGTCATTTTGCGGTGGAGAGGGAATGGTCAAGGATCATGACTGGCTAGAAGGAAACCAATAGGAATACAGGTTATAATGATCTGAAATTGTACAGTGCCAAATTCCACCAGGTGTTTATCTGCTACACTGTATTCATTTCAACAGGTAAAACAGCCTATATGGGCGTGTGCCTATAATTTGTCTATATTTCAAACGGGAATAATATGTGTTGCTGTGTGGAATTTATTAGGATACCCAGCAGGTGTCAGTGTCCTGATTCATAGTGATCCCTCCAGGAGTGGAATGAAGTTAGACAATGATCTAAGGTCAGTTTTGCGTTCACACATTGATAGGTTAAGGGAAATTACGCTTATCCTGGATCTGGGCCTAATGGCAACTTCAATTTTAAATGAACTTGCCCACTATGAATAATTAGGAACATATTTGGGGTGACGTCAGGTTAGTTATCTCTTAAGTGTCAAATAATGCGTATTTTAGTCCCTAGAAAGCATGCAAGATGAGGCATGTCTTGAGAGTAAAATCAGGAGGGGGAACAGGAATACAACCAATTGCAGCAATGTCTGCCGATTTCAAAACCACCACACCCGACTTTTCTAGAACTCACCTAATACAGAAGGAGAATGGTGAAAGAAAACAAATATATATAGAACCGTTAAATACACTTTATTCGTCTGCTGTTACATTTTGGGGTAAGATGACAAAAAATATATATATTATAAGCAGAGACATGCCTTGTGTAGCCTGTTAAGGTAGCATATACTTTTAATGTTGACCAATGATGCCATGCTAATCTATCAGAAATATAAGATTGTTGATATAAATGTTCACTACCGTTCAAAAGTTTGGGGTCAATTTCCTTGTTTTCCATGAAAACATAAATGAAATGAATTTGAATAGGAAACATAGCAAAATGCATAGGAAATGTAGTCATTGACAAGGTTAGAAATAATTATTTTTAATATAAATAATAATTGTGTCCTTCAAACTTTGCTTTCGTCAAAGAATCCTACATTTGCAGCAATTACAGCCTTGCAGACCGTTGGCATTCTAGTTGTCAATTTGTTGAGGTAATCTGAAGAGATTTCACCCCATGCTTCCTGAAGCACCTCCCACAAATTGGATTGGCTTGATGGGCACTTCTTAAGTACCATACGGTCAAGCTGCTCCTACAATAGCTCAATAGGGTTGAGATCCGGTGACTGTGCTGGCCACTCCATTATAGACAGAATACCAGCTGACTGCTTCTTCCCTAAATAGTTCTTGCATAGTTTGGAGCTGTGCTTTGGGTCATTGTCCTGTTGTAGGAGGAAATTGGCTCCAATCAAGCGCCGTCCACAGGGTATGGCATTTCGTTGCATAATGGAGTGATAGCCTTCCTTCTTCAAGATCCCTTTTACCCTGTACAAATCTCCCACTTTACCACCACCAAAACACCCCCAGACAATCACATTGCCTCCACCATGCTTGACAGATGGCATCAAGCACTCCTCCAGCATCTTTTCATTTGGTCTGCGTCTCACAAATGTTCTTCTTTGTGATCCGAACACCTCAAACTTCGATTCGTCTGTCCATAACACTTTTTACCAATCTTCCTCTGTCCAGTGTCTGTGTTCTTTTGCTCATCTTAATCTTTTATTTTTATTGGCCAGTCTGAGATATGGCTTTTTCTTTGCAACTCTGCCTAGAAGGTCAGCATCCCGGAGTCGCCTCTTCACTGTTGACGTTGAGACTGGTGTTTTGCGAGTACTATTTAATGAAGCTGCCAGTTGAGGACCTGTGAGGCATCTGTTTCTCAAACTAGACACTCTAATGTATTTGTCCTCTTGCTCAGTTGTGCACCGGGGCCTCCCACTCCTCTTTCTATTCTGGTTAGAGCCAGTTTGCGCTGTTCTGTGAAGGGAGTAGTACACAGCGTTGTACGAGATCTTCAGTTTCTTGGAAATTTCTAGCATGGAATAGCCTTCATTTCTCAGAACAAGAATAGACTGACGAGTTTCAGAAGAAAGTTATTTGTTTCTGGCCATTTTGATCCTGTAATCAAACCCACAATTGCTGATGCTCCAGATACTCAACTAGTCTCAAGAATGCCAGTTTTATTGCTTCTTTAATCAGCACAACAGTTTTCAGCTGGGCTAACATACTTGCAAAAGGGTTTTCTAATGATCAATTAGCCTTTTAAAATGATCAACTTGGATTAGCAAACACAACGTGCTATTAGAACACAGGACTGATGGTTGCTGATAATGGGCCTCTGTACACCTATGTAGATATTCCATTAAAAAATCAGCCGTTTCCAGCTACGATATCCATTTACAACATTATAGGCCTCTTTCTAGAGCTCCGACTTTCCGACCTGATGATCACTGACGTCATGACTCAACCTAATATTTTTCAGAGTTCCCAGTTATTTTGAACGCTGCATCCTATCTAGAAAGATGCCAGAGTTTCCGACTTGGAATTCCGAGTTGGATGACCATTCAAAACTATTTTCACCAGTCGGATCTCTTTTTTTTCCCCCGAGTTCCCAGTTGTCTTGAAAGCACGGAAGTCGGAAATGTCAGAGTTCCTAGTTATTTTGAACACCCGTTTCAGCGGGAGGGAGAGAGCGGCAGAGGGTCCGCCTCTCACGGTCGCTGCTCTCTCCTTCCTGTCCTCCGGTGAGACTGACCAGAGCGAGGGGATAATATACCTGTCGGTTCTGATTGCAGTTCCAGTGCTGTGGAGTTCATACCGACTGGTCCGATAACATCTACCTCCAGTGCATTGAGGAGAACCCCAGTCGGGGAGCCTGTGGAGTGCCTGCCTTTCTCCTGCTGCCTACAACGGCGCAATGAGGTCAGACACAAACAAATAACAACCTCAAATAGTAAATCAGAAGGATGCATTGCAAAAGGAAATAGGAAATAGTAAAATGAGAGTGTACTGGGAAAGATGGGTTAGTCTGTGGACATTTTAGGGTTGGAATTAAGATTGGAGTGATTGATTGGCCGATACACTTGGAGTCCAGTGCGATTAGGAAATATAAACACACATATATATATTTTACATTGCAATGTTCTTCAACCAGGGGAGAGGGGGGTGGGGGCTTCACATTAATCATGAATAATGTACTATTTACTATTTCCTTCACTCAGCTTGAATAAAGCATTACAGTATATAAATTACCTCTGGGAACAACCTTTGCTATGATAATGAAATGAGAAGAAATGGACCACAACACTATGCACTGCATAGACAGAACAATGGACAACGGACCACTGACTCGGCTGTAATACTTCCAAGAGCAATTTAGCACAACCTACTGTCCTAGAACATAATGATGGAACTGCAGTGAAGCAACTCAATCTTAACCTGGAAAAAAGGTTTAAATCAAGTTTATTCACAAAAATTTGAATTTGATTGGGTAAAACCTGTTTAGTTTGCTTGGCTGGATATTCCAAACATAGTCGATCCCGGAGAAGTGCAGATCAGACAAGTGCAAACTCCTTTTGAGTGCAATGCAATTTAGCAGTCACAATTTAAATAGATTTGTTTTTACTTGCTCTGGATATCTTTATGCCCCAGTTAAGGCAACAAACGTACATTTCAAGTCATTAGGAATCAACTGTATGCAGGACCAGTAAGAAGATGGCATGTACAGTGGGGGAAAAAAGTATTTAGTCAGCCACCAATTGTGCAAGTTCTCCCACTTAAAAAGATGAGAGAGGCCTGTAATTTTCATCATAGGTACACGTCAACTATGACAGACAAAATTAGCATTTTTTTCTCCAGAAAATCACATTGTAGGATTTTTAATGAATGTATTTGCAAATTATGGTGGAAAATAGGTATTTGGTCAATAACAAAAGTTTCTCAATACTTTGTTATATACCCTTTGTTGGCAATGACACAGGTCAAACGTTTTCTGTAAGTCTTCACAAGGTTTTCACACACTGTTGCTGGTATTTTGGCCCATTCCTCCATGCAGATCTCCTCTAGAGCAGTAATGTTTTGGGGCTGTCGCTGGGCAACACAGACTTTCAACTCCCTCCAAAGATTTTCTATGGGGTTGAGATCTGGAGACTGGCTAGGCCACTCCAGGACCTTGAAATGCTTCTTACGAAGCCACTCCTTCGTTGCCCGGGCGGTGTGTTTGGGATCATTGTTATGCTGAAAGACCCAGCCACGTTTCATCTTCAATGCCCTTGCTGATGGAAGGAGGTTTTCACTCAAAATCTCACGATACATGGCCCCATTCATTCTTTCCTTTACACGGATCAATCGTCCTGGTCACTTTGCAGAAAAACAGCCCCAAAGCATGATGTTTCCACCCCCATGCTTCACAGTAGGTATGGTGTTCTTTGGATGCAACTCAGCATTCTTTGTCCTCCAAACACGACGAGTTGAGTTTTTACCAAAAAGTTATATTTTGGTTTCATCTGACCATATGACATTCTCCCAATCCTCTTCTGGATCATCCAAATGCACTCTAGCAAACTTCAGACGGGCCTGGACATGTACTGGCTTAAGCAGGGGGACACGTCTGGCACTGCAGGATTTGAGTCCCTGGCGGCGTAGTGTGTTACTGATGGTAGGCTTTGTTACTTTGGTCCCAGCTCTCTGCAGGTCATTCACTAGGTCCCCCCGTGTGGTTCTGGGATTTTTGCTCACCGTTCTTGTGATCATTTTGACCCCACGGGGTGAGATCTTGCGTGGAGCCCCAGATCGAGGGAGATTATCAGTGGTCTTGTGTCTTCCATTTCCTAATAATTGCTCCCACAGTTGATTTCTTCAAACCAAGCTGCTTACCTATTGCAGATTCAGTCTTCCCAGCCTGGTGCAGGTCTACAATTTTGTTTCTGGTGTCCTTTGACAGCTCTTTGGTCTTGGCCATAGTGGAGTTTGAAGTGTGACTGTTTGAGGTTGTGGACAGGTGTCTTTTATACTGATAACAAGTTCAAACAGGTGCCATTAATACAGGTAACGAGTGGAGGACAGAGGAGCCTCTTAAAGAAGAAGTTACAGGTCTGTGAGAGCCTGAAATCTTGCTTGTTTGTAGGTGACCAAATACTTATTTTCCACCATAATTTGCAAATTAATTAATTTAAAAATCCTACAATGTGATTTTCTGGATTTTTTTTCCTCAATTTGTCTGTCATAGTTGACGTGTACCTATGATGAAAATTACAGGCCTCTCTCATCTTTTTAAGTGGGAGAACTTGCACAATTGGTGGCTGACTAAATACATTTTTTCCCCACTGTACAAATATACAATAATATAATGTATATTGTATAATGTAAACAATGTATATTTGTAGTGAATTGTCAGCTGCAGAGGGGACATAAAAACCATAATTAGATTAACAGTCCAATAATATATTTAATCACATTTGAAGAGATACTGTATAAGTTCAGTTGAGAACAAGCAGAAACACATAGAAAGCTACACAAGTCACAGAGAACAGAAAGGCAATGCTTTACATTGGAAAAGCTCTAATGAGTGGATGAACATGTTGATTTAAACAACATTGTATGAAATCATGTTAGCAAAGAGTCTGGAGAAAAATAATACAGACTCCAAAAAGATATGGGAACGATTCTAAATAATATCATGACCATGAAATACATATAATTTATATATGTATTTATTTGTGTTTTGTATTTCTGTTTTTTTGGTGTAATATGTTGGTTGTTTTATGTTAAAGATGAAAAAAATATAATAAATTGTCTATACAAAAAAAGAAAGGAAATGCTTTCTAAATAAACAGAAAGACAGTGCTTTGAAAAGGACTTGAATATATGAGTGATTGTAGGCATGTTTGTAGAATGCCCATACTTATTTCTCATCATGTACGAAGTTTTTGTGTCTTTTTCTTGCAGCTGTGTAGGATCACTTTGGCATCTTCCCAGGTGTGTCACATAAAGACGGTCCAACAGAGGGAAAAACAAGATGGTGGAAGAGAGCCTTCCTTCACTAGAGAAAGACTAGACAGCAATGTTTGGTACCCTGCTTCCTGGGACTTCAATAACAAATGAGAGGGCCCTTCTCTTGGTCCATTGGAGTAGTTTAGCAACAACTTTGAACAGAAGTAGTCTGTACGCACTGTGAATCTATGTACTTTATTGTCAAAAGGTTGTTCAAGAAAGTGCTGTGTGGTACACCTTGATTTTTGTATTGGTTATTGAAACTGTGATTTTGATTGTCGCTGGGTTTTTCATTGCAAGCCAGAAGGCAAAGACATTAACTATTAAATACATGATTTCCAACAACAGGAAATGTCTGATTATTTTTATTCTAGCATTCTACAATATATGAACATTTTAATAATAATATGCCATTTAGCAGACACTTTTATCCAAAGCGACTTACAGTCATGCGTGCATACATTTTTGTGTATGAGTGGTCCCGGGGATCGAATCCACTACCTTGGCGTTACAAGCACCGTGCTCTACCAGCTGAGCTACAGAGGACCACAGCTGAGCTACAGAGGACCACACTGAGTGTACAAAACATTAGGAACACCGTTGCACTCCCTTTTGCCCTCAGAACAGCCTCAATTCGTCGGGGCATGGACTCTACAAGGTGTCGAAAGCATTCCACGGGGATGCTGGCCCATGTCGACTCCAATGCTTCCCACAGTTGTGTCAAGTTGGCTGGATGTCCTTTGGGTGGTGGACCATTCTTGATACACATTTACATTTACATTTTAGTCATTTGGCAGACGCTCTTATCCAGAGCGACTTACAGTTAGTGAATACAACTTTTTTTTATTTTTTATACTGGCCCCCCATGGGAATCGAACCCACAACCCTGGCGTTGCAAACGCCATGCTCTATCAACTGAGCTACATCCCTGCTGGCCATTCCCTCCCCTACCCTGGACGACGCTGGGCCAATTGTGCGCCACCCATGAGTCTCCCGGTCGCGGCCGGCTGCGACAGAGCCTGGATTCGAACCAGGATCTCTAGTGGCACAGTTAGCGCTGCGATGCAGTGCCTTAGACCACTGCGCCACTCAGGAGACATGAGAAACTGGGAAACTGTTGAGCGTGAAACCAGCAGTGTTGCAGTTCTTGACACACTCACACCAGTGCACTTGGAACCTACTACCATACCCTGTTCAAAGGCACTTAAATCTTTTGTCTTGCCCATTCACCCTCTGAATGGCACACATACATAATCCATGTTTCAATTGTCTCAAGGCTTAAAAATCCTTATTTAACCGGTCTCCCCTTCATCTACACTGATTTAAGTGTGTAAAGGAACATTTTATGTTCTTGCTTTTCTAATAACCAATTCGACTGGGTTCATGCAAGTGACTGATTGATCGTGCCTGGGAGGAATCCTCACTATCAGTATAAGCAATTTGGCAGTATGCCCAGAACATTGCTTTGAGATCCGAAAGGGGTATCTCAGTTTCAAGGTCTCAGCTTGGAGAGAATACGTTTGTGAGGTATTGGTCGGTCACATGCATGAACCAAGCGTTAATGATGAATTAATTATGAATAAGCTAAATCATGCAAATATAACTTGTCTTTGTAAGCAGTATATAAGAGAACTAACGGTACTGCCCCGGCAGAGCTCCTGACCGACGTGTACTATGGTGCATTAAGTTTGTTGGAACCTCTCCAGCTTGCTGATAATAAATAATTATTATTTTAAAGTTTGACTTTGAGTCCCTGGTGGTAATTTCCACGACAAGTGGATTTAACAAGTGACGTCAATAAGGGATCATAGCTTTCACCTGGATTAACCTGGTCAGTCTATGTCATGGAAGGAGCAGGTGTTCCTAATGTTTTGTACACTCAGTGTATGTGTGCTTTGTATAGCAATTAGCCCTTAAATGTTCTGTATATTGACACTTTTACACATAATCACAGCATTTTGTAACAGTTTGTATACAGTGAGGGAAAAAAATATTTGAACCCCTGCTGATTTTGTACGTTTGCCCACTGACAAAGACATGATCAGTCTATAATTTTAAATGGTAGGTTTATTTGAACAGTGAGAGACAGAATAAAAACAAAAAAATCCAGAAAAATGCATGTCAAAAAATTTATAAATTGATTTGCATTTTAATGAGGGAAATAAGTATTTGACCCCTCTGCAAAACATGACTTAGTACTTGGTGGCAAAACCCTTGTTGGCAATCACAGAGGTCAGACGTTTCTTGTAGTTGGCTACCCCGTTTGCACACATCTCAGGAGGGTTTTTGTCCCACTCCTCTTTGCAGATCTTCTCCAAGTCATTAAGGTTTCGAGGCTGACGTTTGGCAACTCGAACCTTCAGCTCCCTCCATCCAGATTTTCTATGGGATTAAGGTCCGGAGACTGGCTAGGCCACTCCAGGACCTTAATGTGCTTCTTCTTGAGCCACTCCTTTGTTGCCTTGGCCGTGTGTTTTGGGTCATTGTCATGCTGGAATACCCATCCACGACCCATTTTCAATGCCATGGCTGAGGGAAGGAGGTTCTCAACCAAGATTTGACGGTACATGGCCCCGTCCATCGTCCCTTTGATGCGATGAAGTTGTCCTGTCCCCTTAGCAGAATAACACCCCCAAAGCATAATGTTTCCACCTCCATGTTTGACGTGGGGATGGTGTTCTTGGGGTCATAGGCAGCATTCCTCCTCCTCCAAACACGGCGAGTTGAGTTGATGCCAAAGAGCTCGATTTTGGTCTCATCTGACCACAACACTTTCACCCAGTTCTCCTCTGAATCATTCAGATGTTCATTGGCAAACTTCAGATGGGCCTGTATATGTGCTTTCTTGAGCAGGGGGACCTTGCGGGCGCTGCAGGATTTCAGTCCTTCACGGCGTAGTGTGTTACCAATTGTTTTCTTGGTGACTATGGTCCCAGCTGCCTTGAGATCATTGACAAGATCCTCCCGTGTAGTTCTGGGTTGATTCCTCACCGTTCTCATGATCATTGCAACTCCACGAGGTGAGATCTTGCATGGAGCCCCAGGCCGAGGGAGATTGACAGTTATTTTGTGTTTCTTCCATTTGCGAATAATCGCACCAACAGTTGTCACCTTCTCACCAAGCTGCTTGGCGATGGTCTTGTAGCCCATTCTAGCCTTGTGTAGGTCTACAATCTTGTCCCTGACACCCTTGGAGAGCTCTTTGGTCTTGGCCATGGTGGAGAGTTTGGAATCTGATTGATTGATTGTTTCTGTGGACATGTGTCTTTTATACAGGTAACAAGCTGAGATTAGGAGCACTCCCTTTAAGAGTGTGCTCATAATCTCAGCTCGTTACCTGTATAAAAGACACCTGGGAGCCAGAAATCTTTCTGATTGAGAGGGGGTCAAATACTTATTTCCCTCAATCAATTTCTAACATTTTTGACATGCGTTTTTCTGGATTTTTTTGTTGTTATTCTGTCTCTCACTGTTCAAATAAACCTACCATTAAAATTATAGACTGATAATTTCTTTGTCAGTGGGCAAACGTACAAAATCAGCAGGGGATCAAATACTTTTTTCCCTCACTGTATTTGTCATTTCTACATGTCTCGTGATGAAAACGTTCATAACATATGCAAAAAAAAATCCCTACATTTCACAGAATTTTTTTATAATAAGTAATGTGTATAGCTGATTCAAAGCAAGCGAATTGAGCTGACAGACATAGCCCCTATTTTCATATAATTCCGTGTGGAAAACTGAACCCAACTTACTGTATACAGTAGCAGCACACCTTAGAACCTTATATAATGCTAGAGCTCTACAATTGACACTACGTCTGTTATGGTATGTCAGTTTCCTTACAACAGTTGGCATGAGTGAGAGGGTTTGGTCTTGAGCATCAGGGCCATGAAGTTAAACTGAGCAGGATTGTACTCAGGGATCTCTGTGATGACGCTGTGAGGGCTGTCTGCACTCTTCTCCCGGGACGTGACCCTGTACTGTGCCTTGACATTCCGGAGTGGGTTGTATTCCGGACTGACGTCATCCGGACAGCGGAATCCTTCCTTGATGACGTAGCCCAGCTGAGAGATTGCCACGAAGCCATTCCTGTAGGTCAACATTTTGGTGACAGGAGCATAGACGTACTGGACGAATAACAGACTCCCTGGGTCAAAAAAGGGATAAAGAATATGAAAGGTTATCACATTTAGTGGTATTTGCCAATTTGTGTATACCAATATCGGTTTGACATATGGTTTGAAATAGTAGCGAACAATGTTTTGTAATAGTAGTAAACAAACAATGTACAATTCTCAAAAAACTCAAATAGAGAAATGTCATGAGCACATACCACTAGCAACATCCCAGACTTTAATAGTTCTATCCTGGGATCCAGTGAAGACGTACTTGTCACTCTCAGAGAAAGCTGAACAGAGAACCCCTTCAAACCAGAACCCCTGTATTTCAAAAGGTACAAACACATTTATGTCAATGAGTCAATCTGAGGTGTGTCTGAAAAATAGATTCTCCCTAACTAAACCGTTGACCTTTAACCTCTGACCTTGTACTCCATGGTGTGATCCAGCACCAGGGGGGTAAGCCCCCACAGCCTCTGCACGGCGTCCTCTGAGCCCACAAGGGCGTGCGTCCCCCAGTTGCTGGCCGTCACACAGGTGACCCTGCTGCGGTGGCCATCCAGGGTGGCGGCTGAGGCGGACTTGAAGTCATACATGGTGACCTTATATTGATAAGGAGACAGGACATCATAATGTTAGTTATAGCAACATCTTTACTAAGTTAAAACCAAATATGTTGTAGGCATACAGAGCATTATGGGTAATGTAGGCCAATCTTGCTACAGACCTCCCCGCAGGCCGTCCCGTACAGCAGCCTACAGTCTGGGAGCAGGGCCATGGAGGAGACGGGCGAGTGGAGCAGGGAGAGGGCAAACCTCGCGGAGGGCCCCTCCACGCTGGGGAAACTGTCCCTGGCCGTGATCTCGAACAGACACACTGAGTCCTCGTAGGCCACGGCCATGTGCTTCTCCTGGCTGCCAATGGCCATGCAGCGCACCATGGGTAGAGCCTCAGGAGGTGGGATGCACAGGGTCTCTTTGGGGAAGGCCAGGGGGTAGATGAGGACCGTGCCAGTCTTGAGGCCACAGAAGAGGAGTTTCTTGCGCTGGGCCAGCTCCAGGCAGCACACCTCAGCAGAGACAGCCATTGTGTCAGCGGAAGAGCCTGAGATAAACATGAGAGAGATTCTCTTTAATGGACCCCCATTGTCAAATACAAGCCATTATTTTCCCTGTTGCATGTGGATATTGAGAACATACAATGAGACTTGTCCGTTAGCCCCTCTAGGTTTACATTATACACTTACATTTGTAACATTATTTGCTATTCTTTCTCTATGATAAATATATCCCTATGAACTTTTGCTTGACAATTTTTATTCCACATAGTTCATATTTTCACCCAAACATATGGTGCAAGTATGTATTTTTACCTGTGTGACAATTCCATGTAATCACTTCTTTCTGGCCTATGTTTCTAACATAGTACACCATGTCGCCATCTTTAGTGAGGGCAACCTGAGGGCATCCAGCTGGGATGCAGCCTTTGGGTTTCTGCTGAGGGTCGTTGGGTGAGGGCAGCTGCCACAGCTTCAGGTAGTAGGCTGAGGAGGAGGCTGAGACGACAGTGCCCTCATACAGAGCCAGAGTGGTGACAGGGGCATCCATGCCAAGGAAAGAGTCAAGGAGGTTTCCCGTGGTTATAGACCACACCTGTAAAAAGCAGAGCGGATCAATGTTAGCCTGGTCCCAGATCTGTTTGTGCTGTCTTGCCAACTAGTAGGTGCCAGGCGCACTGGTTTGTGTCAAGAACTGCAACGCTGCTGTGTTTTTCACATTCAACAGTTTCCTGTGTGTATCAAGAATGATCCACCACCCAAAGGACATCCAGCCAACTTGAAACTGTGGGAAGCATTGGAGGTGCAACTCAATATTAGGAAGTTCTTCATGTTTTGGGGCACAATTTAGGAACGTAGGATATCACAAGGACACATTATCTAGGGATGTTACATCAAAGTTGTAGCTATACCAATGACCAAACAGATCTGGGACCATGCTAAAACAGTTGGTTCAAAGTTCATTATTGGGAACAAGTGACTTCTTTGAGTAAGCCCATCTATAATAATGATTTATTTGATTTTAATGAATTTATTTGCAAATTATGGATGAAAATAAGTATTTGGTCAACTACAAACAAACAAGATTTCTGGCTCTCACAGACCTGTAACCTCTTCTTTAAGAGGCTCCTCTGTCCTCCACTCGTTACCTGTATTAATGGCACCTGTTTGAAACTTGTTATCAGTATAAAAGACACCTGTCCACAACCTCAAACAGTCACACTCCAAACTCCACTATGGCCAAGACCAAAGAGCTATCAAAGGACACCAGAAACAAAATTGTAGACCTGCACCAGGCTGGGAAGACTGAATCTGCAATAGGTAAGCAGCTTGGTTGAAGAAATCAACTGTGGGAGCAATTATTAGGAAATGGAGAACATACAAGACCACTGATAATCTCCCTCGATCTGGGGCTCCACGCAAGATCTCACCCCGTGGGGTCGAAATGATCACAAGAACGGTGAGCAAAAATCCCAGAACCACACGGGGGGACCTAGTGAATGACCTGCAGAGAGCTGGGACCAAAGTAACAAAGCCTACCATCAGTAACACACTACGCTGCCAGGGACTCAAATCCTGCAGTGCCAGACGTGTCCCCCTGCTTAAGCCAGTACATGTCCAGGCCCGTCTGAAGTTTGCTAGAGTGCATTTGGATGATCCAGAAGAGGATTGGGAGAATGTCATATGGTCAGATGAAACCAAAATATAACTTTTTGGTAAAAACTCAACTCGTCGTGTTTGGAGGACAAAGAATGCTGAGTTGCATCCAAAAGAACACCATACCTACTGTGAAGCATGGGGGTGGAAACATCATGCTTTGGGGCTGTTTTTTCTGCAAAGGGACCAGGACGACTGATCCGTGTAAAGGAAAGAATGAATGGGGCCATGTATCATGAGATTTTGAGTGAAAACCTCCTTCCATCAGCAAGGGCATTGAAGATGAAACGTGGCTGGGTCTTTCAGCATGACAATGATCCCAAACACACCGCCCGGGCAACGAAGGAGTGGCTTCGTAAGAAGCATTTCAAGGTCCTGGAGTGGCCTAGCCAGTCTCCAGATCTCAACCCCATAGAACATCTTTGGAGGGAGTTGAAAGTCTGTGTTGCCCAGCGACAGCTCCAAAACATCACTGCTCTAGAGGAGATCTGCATGGAGGAATGGGCCAAAATACCAGCAACAGTGTGTGAAAACCTTGTGAAGACTTACAGAAAACGTTTGACCTGTGTCATTGCCAACAAAGGGTATATAACAAAGTATTGAGAAACTTTTGTTATTGACCAAATACTTATTTTCCACCATAATTTGCAAATAAATTCATTAAAAATCCTACAATGTGATTTTCTGGAAAAAAATTCTCATTTTGTCTGTCATAGTTGACGTGTACCTATGATGAAAATTACAGGCCTCTCTCATCTTTTTAAGTGGGAGAACTTGCACAATAATAACTACATTACAGTCTAGAAATACGTTTTAAATAAGTGCATCATTTTCATGGGGACCAAAAAACCAATACTGACCCGTATCCTTTGGTCCTCAGACCCTGAGACGACCACTCTGCTGTCGCTGGACACACAGGCACACAACACCGTGTCCTCATGGTGCAGATCCAGGAAGCTCTGGACATAGTCCGACTCTCTATGGAACAGGACCAGTGTCCTCTCACAGCCTGTAATGATATGAATATTACTGTATATAATAGTCATTTGCCAGACACTTTTATCCAAGGAGATTTACAGTTAACACATTCAGTATGTGGCCTAGCCTGGTTCCAGATCGGTTTGTGCTGTCTTGCTAATTCCCATAGTCAAGAAGTCAGCGAGACAGCATAAACTGATCTAGGACCAGGCTATATGTGGCCCCTATGGGAATGAAACTCTACTCCATTCCATTGAACCATAGAGACACAGAGGTAGGCTACACCGTGTCAATGCCATTCATGGGGTTCCCACTAAGGTCCTCCCGTACTGTAGTACTGCTACCTGCCAAAAGTATCCTTTCGTCATCTGAGGCGTAGAGGAAGGTTGCACAGACTGGAAGCTCTGTGACTGTCTGTCCTCAGAGTCCACTGTGACTGTCTGCCCTGTACAGTGCTGGAAACCTACAAACGACAGATAGTCAAACAGAATGCGATGAGAAACCATTGCCATTAAAATCAGAAATACAGTCCATCTATAGCAAATTGAATCATCCTCCTCCTGGACATGTTTCAGCAATTTGTACCTGATAGAGGAAGCCCTCCTTGGATGCTATAAGTAGTCGGCCATGTTTTTGCAGTGTAAGGGTTGCTGTGATGGTCAAACTATGTGAAGTGTTTTCCAAATATATCTGCGCTGTCTTGGCCTCGGCGGATGGGTGGGAAAATGTGACAAGTCCTCCGTCTGAGAGGGAGACGACCATTCCGTTCAATAATCCAAGAATAATGGAGACACCGGTATCTTTGACTTGGAAGAGTAGTTCTGTTGTGTTAAGATGCCATACTTTCACCTGCAGGTAAAGCAGAAGCGTTACTTTGGTTAAAGTGCAGATTATAATAATTTGGGGAGTCCATAGTGTAAATATAAAAAAGGTTGGAAACAGAATGATTGAAAATTTGATAGAAGACAATTAACCCCTTCACATCTTTGTCATACTTGGCCTCCAGAGTGGGTGAAGACAAGCGCCCTCTCCTCAGACACGTGGATGTGTGTGGTGGAAGGTGAGGAGTTAATGGACACCGCCTCCTGGGTACAGTACAGCTGCCTGCCACTCAGCAGGCTCCACCTCCTCAGAGTCCCGTCAGCAGCCAATGAGAGACAGTGAGCGCCACTGTCAATCACTCTCACTGATAGCACCTTAGCTGTAGAGCATAAATAAGTAGACACACAGAGAAAGAATTTGCAAGAATAAGCAGAATGTGGATATGATGTACAGTGATTCATTACAAACTCAAATAACTTTCCTCAGAAATACACGCACGCACGCACACACACACACACACTTGCCCTCACCTGTGTGTCCCACTAGGGTTTGGATGACCTCTAGATCATTGAGGTCCCAGGCGATCACCTTCCCATCCTCTGAGCCTGCCAGCAGGAGCCCTTTCTCTGGGCAAACATCCAGAGCTGTGACCCCTTCAGACAGACAGACAAGAAGTTGTCCTTAAGCACAGATGTAGGATCAGCTTACCCATCCCATATCCTAACCTTAACCATTGGAGAGGTGAAATACAGACGGATCTTAGATCAGCATCTGGTGGATACTTCATCCTACTCCTGGGCTCAACTGCAACGAACAAGCAAATCCTACACTATGTGTACAAACCTTTATGGAAACCAGCAAGTGTTGTCTTTAGCGCCCCCCCTGGAGGCTGGAGGAAGGTGCACTTGGGGACAAGGATGGGGTCGGGACAGCACGAGAGCCAGTCGTGACACTGGCAGCAGAGTCGTCCTATTAGTGAAGGGTACATCTCAGCGAAGGAGTGGAGCCTGGCCAAGACCTCTGTGTAGAAGAGGGAGCGGTCTTTGGAGAGGAAATATAGTATTAGAATGGAGTGAGACGGTTGGTGAGACAGTGTGAAGAGAAGGCTCTCCTGATACAGTACCATCCATCCACCCATCTATCCATCATAAGTATAATGTCAATGTTTCTGGTTCCAAGCCATAGAGGGACATATGAGGGACTAGAATCATCAATAACCAAATAATCTACCCTACAGTTAGCACTCATTCTCTTTTGATCTATGATTTTTTGTTGTTGTTGCATGGCTCGTAAATATGTGAAATAGTGATCTAGCTACTTTATCTGAAACAGGACAGATTTAAACCCAACAGAACATGCATTAATTGAACACGTAACACTCGACTACAATACCACCCCCCCTGACCAAATAGATACTGACCCATCTGTCCATCTAGAAAGTCCAGGGTGGGCTTGAGGAGAATGAAAGTGTCTCGGATCAGTTGAGTCTCGGGACAGTCCATGAGCTCGGTGCAGAGGGTCAGGTCCTCAATGACACTGGCCACGCCACAGGTCAGAGTCTTACAGTACAGCCACTCACTACTGCCTGTGGGGCAAAAAGTCGCAGCTTAAAGGTCGACTTTGTAATATGACCTCATCATACACAGTAAGGCAACTTCCTGACATCAACAATAAGAGAATTCAAATCAGCCAAGCCTGTCTGCCAGTATCGGCTCTTCCCACCATTGACTCTTGCATTCCCTTGGGGCATGTGACCTTGGGCCTTACCAATGACCTCCTGGCACAGCTCCTCCCAGAGGCCTGCGTGGAGGAGGTGGTAGGGCAGCTCCTGCAGCTTCTTGACATTTGCCACTCCTTTAGCGAACCACAGGGGCTGACGGGGCACCTTGGCAACATGCCAGTGGAGAGAGGAGACAGGTGTACATTAATGATTCAACAAAACACAACTAACCTGTGGAAACATTGTCACTATGGAAACACGTCCGGTTAGCTTCATGGTAGTATCAAAAGCGCCATCCATGTCATTAAGTGGAAAACATGTCCTCTTGTGCATCTCTATCAATTTGACTTCCTTAGTTCCATTTCTTATTTACTGTAGGGTTTTGTTGTTGTATTGTGATCTCTCTAAAAAGGCCCTGAGGGTCAGAGATTTTATCCAGCTCAAACGGACCACCATCTCTCTAAACATCTAAGGGACCACACACATACCACACCGAATGTTGATCTACCGTTCATCTGCTGTTTGTTTGGCGCAGTGTGTTTTAGGGACCACCCTGGTGGACGTCTGACTGCAGACATTTTCGCGCGATTCTACCTGTAGAATCGGTTTGCAAATCATGGCCGGCACTCTGTTGAGGTGCTAAGTACTCTCGGCTAGCAAACGCTACCGGTGTGTCCGAGCCTTAAACAACACCGTGCCGTGCGTGAGGGGCCCCACCGACCCAGAGGACTGGGTGATCTTGCTCTCCGAGGCCGACGTGAGTAAGGTTTTTAATCAGGTCAACACTTGCAAGGCCAGACGGTATTCCAGGGCACGTTCTCAGAGCACACGCAGAACAGCTGGCAGGCATATTCACGGTCATTTTCAACCTCTCCTTGTCCCAGTCTGTAATCCCCATGTCTTAAGCTGACCACCATCATTCCTGTTCCCAAGAACTCTAAGGCTTCATGCCGCAATGACTACCATCCTGTAATACTCACATCTGTAATCATGAAGACCCACTCTAATTTGCATTTCGCCCCAACAGATCCATAGATTACGCAATCTTAATTGAACTCCACACTGCCCTCACCAACCTAGATAAGAGGAACACCTATGTGAGAATGCTGTTAATTGGCTACAGCTCAGCATTCAACACCATTGTCCCATCCAAGCTCGTCACCAAACTTAGGACACTGGGACTGAACACCTCCCTCTGCAACTGGATCCTGGACTTCCTTACAGGTCGACCCCAGGTGGTGAGGTTAGGCAACATCACCTGTGCCACGCTGAATATCAACATGTGGCCCCCCACAGAGGTGTGCGCTTAGTCCCCTCCTGTACTCCCTGTTCACCCACGACTGCATGGCCACGCACCATCAAGTTTGCTGACGACACGCCGGTGGTAGGCCTGATCACCGACGACGATGAGACAGTCTACAGGGAGGTGGTCAGTGACCTGGCAGTGTGGTGCCGGGACAACAACCTCTCTCTCTCAACGTCAGTAAAACCAAGCTGAGTGTAGACTGCAGGAAACTGGGGGGGGGGGGGGGGGGGGCAAGCACACCCCCATCCACATTGGGGGGGCTGCAGTGGAGGGGGTCGAGAGCTTTAACTTCCTCTGTGTCTAAATCACTGAGGACCTAAAATGGTCCACACACACACGCACAGACATGAAGGCACCCTCAGGAGGTTGAAAAGATTTGGCATGGGCCCTTATATCCTCAAAAAGTTCCACAGCTGCACCATTGAGAGCATCTTGACTGGCTGCATCACTGCTTGGTATGGCAACAGCACCGGCCTCGATCGCATGGCGCTACAGAGGGTGGAGCGGACAGCCCAGTACATCACTGGGACCGAGCTCCCTGCCATCCAGGACCTCTATATCAGGCGGTGTAAAAGGAAGGCCAGGAAAATCGTTAATGATTCCAGCCACCCAAGCCATAGACTGTTCTCTCTGTTTCCGCAGGGCAAGCAGTACCGGTGCATCAAGTCTGACACCAACAGGCTCCTGAACAGCTTCTATCCCCAAGCCATAAGACTGCTAAATAGCTAACAAAATGGCTACACAGACTATTTTTATTTTGCACTGTCTTTATGCACACTCACAGGACTCTACACACTCACGCACACTGACACTCCAACACACACACACACACACACACACACACACACACACACACTGCATTTGCTCACACACACATTTATACTGACTCCAAACACACACACATCATACTGTATACGCTGCTGCTACTCTGTTTATCGTATATCCTGATGCCTAGTCACCTTACCCCTATACATATCTACCTCGATCACTCCAGTATCCCTGCACATTGTAAATATGGTATTGGAACTGACCCTGTATATAATATGCTTACTTAGTGTTCTTATTTCAATTTTTTGTTTTTGTTCTACATTTTAGTCATTTAGCAGACGCTCTTATCCAGAGCGATTTACAGTTAGTGAGTGCATACATATGTTGTTTTTTTCATTCTACCTCATGTTATTTTAGTACTACATTGATATTGACTACTGCATTGTTGGGTTTAGAGCTTGCAAGAAAGACATTTCACTGTACTTGTGCATGTGACATTAAAACTTGAAACTTAAAAGGTCCCTGGTTTGTTATCGAGCTTCAATACCACTCTGAGGACGTTTCTTACACTATGACTAATGACTAGAGGAGTACACAAATTCTTATTGAAAACACATCTAAGGGTTCTTTGAGGTGCCATTCTGTGTCATCATAGGAACTGAAATCCCATCATTCTGTTACCTTGCGGTCAGCGTCCAATGTGGTCGTCAGTGGAGGTAGAAGGACAGCTTTGAATCGGCCTTGGCTCCAGCTACCCAGGAAGTACTCAGCCATGACCCTGTGTCTGTCAGCCTGCTGCTCTGACCTCTGGTACCTCTCTTGCACTGTTTCAGTCAACAGCCTATTACCATATTAAATTATACAGACACAGTACAGGATTTGAAGGTGCAAACACAAATTTCTGCCATAAGTAGATCAATACAAGTAGTATTTGCCGGTTTCCCGGACATGGATTAGGCCTACTCCTGGACTGGAAGCATGCTCAATGGAAAATCTCCATTATTAAAATAGATTTTAAGCCAAAAAATAGGCTTAATCTGAGTTAGGGACACCAGCCCCTAAACCCATTTGGCTGAGATATATTGAGAGGATATTTACTTGTGGTGGAAGTTGAGCACCCTGATTCCATTGGCCTGTCCCTCCACGAGGAGTTCTCCCAAGTCATGCCTGAGGCGCACCCACAGTAGAGGGGGGAGGCGAATGAGGGAGTGGTTGGGGGGAAGCCAGTACTGGTAGACTTCAGCCAGGACATTGTCATCAAGGGACAAGATATCACGCAGCTCTGCCTCTGATAAACTACCCCTGGAGAATAGAATGAGTAATAATCATTAGGAAAATAAATAATTATAAACATAAGGATGGATTACCATTTCTAACCCCAATTTATGATCCTGTGATAAGGGGGGAAATAAGGCAACTTTTGACCTGGGAATTTGTGATATGGATTGTCTGTAAATTAAAGTAGGACTCTGGCATGATATTCCAGTGGTCTATTGACTGAATTATCAATGTTGTATTGTCGGGTAATGCACCAGGTGTGTCTGGGTGTGTGTGTGCATCACAGGTGGCTGGTGGCACCTTAATTGGGGAGGACGGGCTCATAGTAATGGCTGGAACGGAATCAATGGAATGGAATGAAACATCAAACATATGGTTTCCATGTGTTTGATACCATTCCATTCACTCCATTCCAGCCATTATGAGCCGTCCACCCCTCACCAGCCTCCTGTGGACTATGCATCTATGTGTGTACACAAACACCTCACCTAGCAGAAACAATGTATCCTAAGGCTGCGCCAACCAGTTTCTTCCCATGCCTCTCCTCAAGGGCCTGGAGTAGCTGTGACATCACTTCCTGTGCACTGCTGCTCAGAGCCAGGTCAGTCACGGGGGTATAGGACGCCCATCGCCTGGCCATGTCCAGCAGTAGCTTCAGATGCAGAGGATTCCCACTCAGCTGAAAGCTACGCAGGACCACTTCACACTGTTCTGGAGTCAGGCTTCGTTGCGCTTCCCTCATGTAGGCATCCATGATCTCTCTACCCTGGTCACATGATAGGGGTTCTACTTCAAAGAAATTTCCCAGCACCTCGACCGTTCTCCGAAGGTTAGCCAAAACTGGAGAGCCTGTATCGGTGGACACCACCAAATGGACATTGGGGGGGATGTCTTTGGGTAGCCAGTGGAGTTTCTGGCCTTGGGTGGCCGGAGACAATTGGTCCAGGGAGTCTAGTATGAGAAGAAGTGTGTCTCCTCGCTCCGACACCTCAGCTAGAAGGCCATGGAAGAACCTCACAAGGTCCTCGCGCGTGTGTGCTGTTATCGGGGTGGGGGGCTGCAAACTGAACACAGAGCAGATCTGGAAACAGACACTCTGGAGGACACGGTCCAAGTCGGAGCTCTCTGCCGACGTCCCCAGCAACCTGAGCACCACCACAGCCCTGGGGTCCAGGAGGCCACGCATCTCCTGTGCCAGCTTGCAGAGCAGCGTTGTCTTGCCCACACCCGGTAGCCCGTGCACCACCAGGGGCATGTGGCGGGTGTTGGTGTGCTCCCACATGGCCAGGCAGATCTTCCCCAGGAGCCCCTCCCTGCCGCGGAACACACCCAAACACTTCCCGGCGCTCAAAGCCATGTGGTGACTAAGCTCCTGGAGCAGCCAGCCTCTGTCCTCTTCCCCCTCCCTCTGCCTTGCATCTCCTCCTCCTGCCCCATTCATCCTCCCTGCACCAGCCTCCATTGGGGAACCAGCACCAACCCTCCTGGCGATGCAAGCCTTCGTCTGGGACACGAGCTGCTCGCAGAGACTCTCCAGGTACTGTGCGTGCTCCTTGCGGCTGGGCTCGATGGCTCCCTTGCACAGCTCCACACAGTGCAGGTTGAGGATGCCCGGCGAGGCGGCGTAGAGACGCGACTTGAGGCCCGAGAGGAGGTCCTGAGCCTCTGTATCTAGCAGGCCATCAGCCGTCACATCCATGTACTGGGCCAGCCGCTTCGGGCCGTCCTTCTTGCGCAGGTGAGGTAGCTCCCGCACGAACAGGACGGCGGAGGGCTCGCTCTCGTCCCCATCTGGCGTTCGCAGACCCTCCTCTATCTCATGCTCCGCCACTATGGAGGAGGAAGAACAGAAGAAAATGGGTTGATCGGTTCTACAAATGTGGATTTTCTACAATAAGTTACAGCTAATAAGTCATTGTGAATAAATAGTAGTTTAAGTGGAAATGTAACTAGAAAGCCACCACGACAGAATCTAGCAACACTTGTCTACAAATCACAAGGTAGAACATAACAGATTTTTAGCTTGCTCCTATTCTAACATGACTGGTCCAAGACATTGGCAAGCTCTGACCAGATTTGAAGAACTGGTGTTTTTGTTCAGCAGAGATATCCCCGTCTTCCTCAGCCTGCACGGCCGCAGTGCGTAAGAGCTGCAATAGTCGAGCCTCTGTGTAACGCCAGGAAATGACACTGTTGTCCTGCAGTGGCCCACTCTCAGGCCGAAGGTCATTGTAGTGGGGCAATAGAGTTGTGATTGGCTGAAGAACGTAGACGGGCGGGATGGCATTGTTGTCTTTCCTGAACCATTGGTGGAGAAGCCCCACCTGGTCCTGTGGTAGCTTGGACAGCAGCACCTCAAATTGTTTTCCTGGGAGGACACGGGGGATAGGGCGGTGGCCATACCGGTTCCCCAGCAGAGCCTTGAGAACCAGGAGACATATCAAATCAAATGAAATCAAAACATAAAACACTGCTGGGATTATATCTTTCAAAAACCATTGAATTCAAGGAAAAGAAGAGCAATTAACATTTGTGCAGGGTTCTCCAACTCCTGTCCTGGCGAGCTACTGGGTGTGCAGGCTTTTGATCCAGCACAGCAGACAGCACTTACAGTACCAGTCAAAAGGTTGGACACACCAACTCATTGAGGGTTTTTCATTGAATTTGACTATTTTCTACATTGTAGAATAATAGTGAAGACATCAAAACTATGAAATAACACATATGGAATCATGTAGTAACCAAAAAAGTGTTAAACAAATCAAAATATATTTTAGATTCTTCAAAGTAGGCACCCTTTGCCTTGATGACAGCTTTGCACACTCTTGGCATTCGCTCAACCAGCTTCATGAGGAATGCTTTTCCAACAGTCTTGAAGGAGTTCCCACATATGCTGTGCACTTGTTGGCTGCTTTTCCTTCACTCTGCGGTCCAACTCATCCCAAACCATCTCAATTGGGTTGAGGTCGGGTGATTGTGGAGACCAGGTCATCTGATGCAGCACTCCATTACCCTCTCCTTGGTCAAATAGCCCTTACACAGCCTGGAGGTGTGTTTTGGGACATTGTCCTGTTGAAAAAAAATGATAGTCCCACTAAGCACAAACCAGATGGGATGGCGTATCGCTGCAGAATGCTGTGGTAGCCATGCTGGTTAAGTGTGCCTTGAATTCTAAATAAATCACAGACAGTGTCACCAGCAAAGCACCCCCACACAATCACACCTCCTCCATGCTTCACGGAGGGAACTACACATGCGGAGATCATCCGTTCACCTACTCTGCGTCTCAAAGACACGGCAGTTGGAACCAAAAATCTCAAATTTGGACTCATCAGACCAAAGGACACATTTCCACCAGTCTAATGTCCATTGCTCGTGTTTCTTGGCCCAAGCAAGTCTCTTCTTCTTATTGGTGTCCTTTAGTAGTGGTTTCTTTGCAGCAATTCGACCATGAAGGCCTGATTCATGCGGTCTTCTCTGAACAGCTGATGTTGAGATGTGTCTGTTACTTGAACTCTGTGAAGCATTTATTTTGGGCTGCAATCTGAGGTGCAGTTAACTCTAATGAACTTATCCTCTGCAGCAGAGGTAACTCTGGATCTTCCTTTCCTGTCGTGGTCCTCATGAGAGCCAGTTTCATCATAGCGCTTGATGGATTTTGCGACTGCAATTGAAGAAACTTTAAAAGTTCTTGAAATATTCCATATTGACTGACCTTCATGTCTTAAAGTAATGATGGACTGTCGTTTCTCTTTGCTTATTTGAGCTGTTCTTGCCATAATATGGATTAGGTATTTTACCAAATTGGGCTATGTTCTGTATACCACTCCTACCTTGTCACAACACAACTGATTTTTTCAAACCCATTAAGGAAAGAAATTTCACAAATTAACTTTTAAGAAGGCACACTTGTTAATTGAAATGCATTCCAGGTGACTACCTCATGAAGCTGGTTGAGTGTGCAAGCTGTCATCAAGGCAAAGGGTGGCTTTTTGAAGAATCTCAAATAAAACATATATTTTGATTAGTTTAACACTTTTGTGGTTACTACATGATTCCATGTGTTATTTCATAGTTTTGATGTCTTGACTATTATTCTACAATGTAGAAAATAGTACAAATAAAGAAAAACCCTGGAATGAGTAGGTGTGTCCAAGCTTTTGACTGGTACTGTACATCCCACTGGTTGAATCAACGTTGTTTCCACATCATTTCAATGAAATTACATTGAACCACCATGGAACAGACGTTGGGGATACTGGTTTCAAATTCTCAGTCTTCAGTCTGGGCCACAGTTATTTAATGTCCTGGGTTAGAAAAAAAGCCTGTAGCTCTCCAGGATCGGAGTTGGACCCCTGTGCTAGAGGAACAGCACGGAACAACACTTACAATGAAACTTGGTCCTACGGATACTTTCTTGCAAGCCTCTATTTCCTGAAGACACAGTTCTGTGGTCATGTGGTCCACAGCAATTGCATCCCGGAGACCCCATCTCATATCCACAACCTTCAGGAATAAAGAACTTTAAATACAAAAGTTACTCCAACAATACTAACATCACACTCTCAGAATAATGATCTTTGAATTCATACACAATTAAAATTAATTTACATGTATTGTATCTGATGGCCACCCGTAATGTACTGCTACTCACCTCAAACGCTAAGCCCAGACTCTGACAAAAGACTTGAAGTTCAGGATAGGCTTTGTCCAATAAGGCATTCCTCTCACTGCTCATATCTGCCAACGGTCACATCAGGTTAGAAAACACACAAGGTTTGCAGTGTTACCCAAAACTAAACACAAGGCTATTCACTGAAAGATTACAAATTAGCAGGGGCGCAACTTTCACTGGGGACATGTCTCCCCCACATTCTGAAATTGCATTTTTGTCCCCCCCCCCCCCCAGTTTTATTATTGGAATGTGATACAAAACGAGGCAACGGACCATGCGGACGCCTCCGAGCGGTCAGGTACACTACCGTTAAAAGGATTGGGGTCACTTAGAAATGTCCTTGTTTTCGAAAGAAAGAAATATATTTTTTGGTCAATTGAAATAACATAAAATTGATCAGAAATACAGTGTAGACATTGTTCATGTTGGAAATGGCTATTGTAGCTGGAAATGGCTGATTTTTTATGGAATATCTACATAGGCCTACAGAGACCCATTATCAGCAACCATCAGTCCTGTGTTCCAATGGCACGTTGTGTTTGCTAATCCAAGTTTATCATTTTAAAAGGCTAATTGATCATTAGAAAACCCTTTTGCAATTCTGTTAGCAAAGCTGAAAAATGTTGTGCTGATTAAAGAAGCAGTAAAACTGACCTTCTTGAGACTAGTTGAATATCTGGAGCATCAGCAATTGTGGGTTCGATTACAGGCTCAAAATGGCCAGACACAAAGAACTTTCTTCTGAAACTCGTCGTCTCCACCTCACAGGTCCTCAACTGGCAGCTTAATTAAATAGTACCCACAAAACACCAGTCTCAACGTCAACAGTGAAGAGGCGACTCCGGGATGCTGACCTTCTAGGCAGAGTTGCAGAGAAAAGGCCATATCTCAGACTGGTCAATAAAAAGAAAAGATGGGCAAAAGAACACAGACACTGGGCTTTTTCTTTGCAACTCTGCCGAGGTCAGCATCCCGGAGTCGCCTATTCACTGTTGACATTGACACTGGTGTTTTGCGGGTACTATTTAATGAAGCTGCCAGTTGAGGACCTGTGAGGCGTCTGTTTCTCAAACTAGACACTAATGTATTTGTCCTCTTGCTCAGTTGTGCACCGGGGCCTCCCACTCCTCTTTCTATTCTGGTTAGAGCCAGTTTGCGCTGTTCTGTGAAGAGAGTAGTACACAGCGTTGTACGAGATCTTCAGTCTATTGGCAATTTCTCGCATGGAATAGCCTTCATTTCTCAGAACAAGAATAGACTGACGAGTTTCAGAAGAAAGTTATTTGTTTCTAGCTATTTTGAGCCTGTAATCGAACCCACAATTGCTGATGCTCCAGATACTCAACTAGTCTCAAGAAGGCCAGTTTTATTGCTTCTTTAAATCAGCACAACAGTTTTCAGCTGTGCTAACATAATTGCAAAAGGGTTTTCTAATGATCACTTAGCCTTTTAAAATAATAAACTTGGATTAGCAAACACAACGTGCCACTGGAACACAGGATGGATGGTTGCTGATAATGGGCCTCTGTACGTCTATGTAGATATTCTATTAAAAATCAGCAGTTTCCAGCTACAATAGCCATTTACAACATGAACAATGTCTACACTGTATTTTTTATCAATTTGATGTTATTTTAAATTGACAAAAAAATTGCTTCGCTTTCGAAAACAAGGAATTGTCTAAGTGACCCCAAACTTTTGAACGGTAGTGTAGGTTGTTTGGAGTGTTAATCTGACTGGATTAAAAAAAAAAAATGTCCCACCCCACGTCTAAAACCAAAGTTGCACCCCTGCAAATTAGGGATATGATTCTTTCAAAACAGATATATCATCACTACAATGGCCCAGTAGCCGTTGTAACATCTGCTAAATTATGAAGAATCACATCTCTGATAAATACAGTTGCAGCCAAATATATTGGCACCCTTGCACTTTTCTTAAATAATTCCCAATTTCTTCTAAAATAAGTTGAAATGTAAAGTAAATAAAACTTTGTCTCCACATCTTGTTATTGGATTTTCAACATTACAAAAATACAATTGGTTATGCAAACTTAAATTCACCATTTTAATTGAGAAAATAAAGACAAATGCATGGGCAAAGTTATTGGCACCCCGGAGCTAGTACTTGGTTGCACAGCCTTTGGCCAAGATAACTGCCAACCAAATGCTTTTTGGAGCTACCAATGAGCTTGCTGCACCTTTCTACTGGCATATTTGCCCACTTTACAGCAGCACAGTGCTTTAATTCTTCAATGTTTGAGGGGTACCCTCCAACAACTGCTGTTTTCAGCTCTCACCATATGTTACGGATGTGATTCAGATCTGGACTCTTCGATGGCCACTCCAGAGTAGTCCAGTGTTTCATAATGAACAATTCCCAGGGTGCACACATCAAAAAGCACCCAGGAATGGTTCAATAAGAGACGCTGGACTGTTCTGGAGTGGCCAGTGAAGAGTCCAGATCTGAATCACATCCATAAATGATGGCAAGAGCTGAAAACAGCAGTTGTTGGAGGGTACCCCTCAAATATGGATTAATTAGAGCAGTTTGCTGCTAAAAAGTGGGCAAAATTGCCAGTAGAAAGGTGCAGGAAGCTCATTGATGGCTACAAGAAGAGTTTGTCTGCAGTTATCTTGGCCAAAGGCTGTGCAACCAAATACTAGCTCTGGGGTGCCAATAATTTTGTCCATGCTATTTGTCTTTATCTTCAAAATTAAAATTGTAAACTTAAGTTTTCAAAAATAAATGTGGTTATGCAATGTTGAAAATCCAATAAGGTGTGGGGACCAAAGGTTTTCTTCAATTTCAACTTATTTGAGAAGAAATAAGATATTTAAGTGCAACGGTGCCAATATATTTGGCCGCAACTGTATATGCCTTGTTATAATGCGAGGCTGAGCCCGTGCTACAATGAAAATACTGAACCCATATCATTATGAAAATACTAAGCCCATGCCATCATGAAAATACACCTACCTGTAAATGTGGAGCTGACAAAGACTCGGACCACGTTGGACCTGAGCTTCAGTCCTTCAGTTGACTGTCTGAGCACCTCCATGAGTGCTCCTCTTGGCGATGCCATGGTCCTCCTCACCTATCACTGTCCCAGGCTAAAACCTTCCTCTCATCACAATGACCCACACTAATTTCTCAGCTCTCAGAAGTAATCAGAGATGCATGTGAGCAGATTTATCTACTCTGACTGTAAGCATGTACTTGTCGTACAGGTTAAGATATTTACTGAAGCATCCAATCCAATTGCCTCTTGCTTCATGTTGCAAAGTGAAATTAGATGGAGATACACACCTGAATGCTTTTTCCCCCTCTCCCGTTGAATTCTATTTGTGATATCCTTGGAGATCAAGCTCTCCAAGACAACCTTTGGCGCTGTTCAAATACTTTCAAATGGCACCCTTCGTTCCTCTTTTCCTTGAGGTAATCACTGGTGTAACACTAGTGGGTAGGTGAAAGCCAAGGTTTTTCTAAATAGCTTTCCCCCACCCAGTCTGATCAGTGATTGCATTAAGGAGGGGAGGAAGGTAGGATGCCTTTTCAAAGTATTGGAGCAGGGCCTTTGTTTACGAATGGTGCCTTCCTGGGACTGGAGGTCCCTAAGGCAAGGAAAGGAGAGGAGGGAGTTGGCTGTTGCCTTGCAGCTGAGGCTCACCTTTAATGACATGGGGGAGAAGGGGCGAGACTAATAGAGTGTTTTAATATATACAGTCATTGGTTTCAACTTATCAGACTGTAACTTTCACCAAGCACTTTTAGGAGCTGAATGGCTTGATGCCACTAAACAAATCAATTATCAGATATCTCAGAAACTGAGCTTTTATTTTTTAACGTGGGACACTTAAGAATGTTCTGCCACAATGGTAGCTTGGATTATACTTAAGCATAACATTTATTTGATGCTTTATGAAGCTTTTCTGAAATATCAAATTTTTACTATTTCATATAAAATCAGATATTTCAGAAAGCTTTATACAGAAGTATAACCTGGTTATAGTTGCTTGCCTCTCAAATAAGTTCGAGATCTGAGATCTTGTTTTAATGTACTTAATTTGCACAATGACTAGGCATTCCAGCTCATTACCCTGACCATACGTCATGATGTTTGTTCCCCAGTACTGTACTACCTTTAAGCTGTTTTGACACTGGCTCCATTTGACCAAATGGAATCCGGAGAACACGACAGAAATCTCCTGGGAGTTCATTTGATCATCAGGGTATTTAACTACAGAGCTTACAAAGTGAGTCAAGGCTGAGTTTGCCTCTGGCTACGACTGGCAATAACATCTACTACAATATTCCTGGTAGTGCAAGTTAAAAACACCTAACAAAACACCAAAGGCTGCAACCTTTGTAACACAAGGTTATACTTCACTTGGAATGTACTACTGCTATACAACCATGAGGTTTCTAAAGTAAAAATATTCGATGGTTTCTCTGACGTGACTCTTGACAGTGACCAATCCGCAGAGATATGTTAAGATTATAATTATACAGTAACAGTTGTATTTTTACGACAGTGTGTCGTAACAGCTTTATAGCAGCGAGTGTACTTCAAGGCTACAGACTCATTCTCAGGGGAGTTCGTATTATGTAATACTAATGAGACACAGTATTATGCCTCGTTTCAAAGGATACTGAATCTGTATGAGATACTGGCTGAATGCCTCTATATCAGGGCCTTAAACATGCGGCCTGAGAGCCAAATGCTGCCAGCGAGCTGTTTTAATGTGGCCTGTGATCATCTTCGTATAAAATCAGCAAAATAAGTTTGAAACCCCTGAAGAGCTACTTCTTTTGAGAAAACTGACAGAAGGCGACAAATGGGTCAAGTCAATTCTTTGCTAATGTATTTTGTTCAACCTTCCTTGCATACAATCACAGTTTGTATTTTAAAACATCTCCAAACCAAAAAAACACAGCACAAAAAGGGTGGAATAGCACATATAAATTCTTGTTTTCATCGTTTCTTTCTAGAACATGTAGGTCCTGTGTCCTAAGTGTATGTTTGGTTGGGGGGTGTTTACGCTGAGCTGGTTGTGATTGGTCAACAGGCACATGGAGTGCCTGCCTCCAGCTCTACCGTTAGTCCTTTGCTCAGGAGGAAAGCTTCTTGCTTTGGCTCCCTCCCTAGGAAGTTCTTGAGCATATTTTCAGCGTCCTCCGAGCCTCCAGGCTTTAGGATACAGTTTCTGTAGTCCAGCCCCACCTAGAAGAGATGGAAATACACTTCATCAGCATCAAGTAGGTGACCATTTTAGCCGACAACAATGACATTTCTGCCAAGGTGAAATGATTTGGCGCTGAAAAAGACAAGTCAGACTACATGACTCCAGTTCTGGAGGGCTGCAAGCAGTCACTGCTCACTAGCATCAATAACCAATGATGCCTGATACCAACTACTAGATAATAGGTGATGGTCAAGTGTAAAAACAGCATTGTAAATAACAGCTAAGATCGTAAATAACTAGCTCAGCTGTGCCAACCTTGGGGTTCATGATGCCTTCCTGCTTGAAGCGGGCGTAGAACATGTCCATGGAGAAGACCTCGCTCCAGAGGTAACCGTAGTACTGGGCGTCGTAACCACCTGCCAGGTGGCCAAATGTGGCTGGCATGTCGGTTCCTATGGGCACAATGGCGAAGGAAAAATGATTTGTTTTAAAAGCTGACAATGACTATAGGAGTTGGCAAGATGACTAAAACAGATCTGGGACAAGGCTACCAAACTACAGCTGTGATGGTGGTTTGGCCCATTGGTTGAGGTTGTCTCTGACCTGAGGATGCAGGCACGCCCAGGATCTCCTGGCTCAGCCGGGCGTACTCCTCGGCCGGGTCCAGCCCATTCTTGGTGTGTAGGGCCTGGTCCACCTTGGCCAGGACGATCTGACGCAGGTTAAACAGACCTGCATGGGAGGGAGAGGGTTAACGCATTAACACACTGAAGCCTTTAAACCTAGTAGCTCTTCAGGAGTGCCCAATAACCTAAACTCCAGCACTGGTGTAAAGGGTATTATTAAGCGGGGTGTTCTATGAAAGAGCCAGGGTGTTGTTTCATGGTGACCCACCAGTGTTGGCCAAGCGGGACTTAATGAGTTTGTCCAGCAGGTCATCAGGGATGGGGGCACCCGTCTTGTAGTGTTTGGACATGCGCTGCAGGGGCTCCTTCTCCCACACCCAGTTCTCCAGCATCTGGGAGGGCGCCTCCACAAAGTCCTGCTCCACGTGTGTCCCACTGAACATGGCAAAGTCCGCCTGGGAGCAGCAGAGAGAGGAGAGACATGCATCTGTTAATCCCAGCATCCTGCAGTATAACTACTATTAGACATTAAACTAGACAGAAAAAGGGAAGGGGCATATCATTTTGGTGTTCATTTCAGTTTGATTACATTTTGTATACCATATCAAATATATATTTTATACTGAATAGTCATTGAGGAGTACACTGCCCTCTCAGGCATTAAAACGGGCTAAAAGTCACTGCTTACAAATGTGTTTTACGTTGATTTTACAGGTATTAAATAGCTAATGACGTATTGAGAGCAGGAAATATATTAACCATCACACTAAAATGCCTTTACTCAAACATTAATTTCAGTGCTTAGGAACTAAACAACGTTGTATACTGTGTACCAGCAATGACACCACACACACAAACACACCTGAGCGCAGAGCTGGTGCATGACGTGGCCAAACTCGTGGAAGTACGTCTCCACCTCATCGTGCTGCAGGAGAGAGGGGGCGTCGGCCGTGGGCTTGCTGAAGTTGGCCACCATGGCCGCCACCGCCATCTGGCGGGTCCCGTCCGACAGTAGACAGCCGGGCTGCAGGCCAAAGCAGGCCGCGTGGCCGAACTTCCCCTCTCTGGGAGGGGTTACGCACAATTACCATGACTGTTCAATATGACTGGCTAAACATTTGTATTTTATTGTCTCCCTCATAATGTGGAGGAGCAAAGGTGGGCTCTTCTCTGTTTCAATTGCAGTAGACAAATTCAACCGCAACTCTGGAGAGCAATGAAATAAAATACCTTACCCCCAAAACTATAAAATCCTTACAAAAGATGGTTATATCAAAATAAATCATCATACATAACTAATTGTATGCAGCCATCATTAAAATCCTCTGCCCTTTTCAATCTCCTCCGCTTTCCTCTGACTCACCTTGGGAAGAGGTCCAGGTAGAACTGTCCCACCACCGTGCCCGTGGTGCGGTCCTTGACGGAGTAGAGGGTGACGTCGTCGTGCCACACGGGGGCGTCCTCCACCAGGTCAAAGGTGAGGTTCAGCAGTTCCTGGTAGATGTCCAGCAGGCCCCGGGTCACAACCTCCATGGGGAAGTACTCCTTCAGCTGGTTCTGGTCCACCGCATATTGGGTCTCCTCCACCTACAGTGGGGCAGATTCAATTCAACACTTTATCCCTTCAGGGGAAAATATAGGCCGCATAGGCCACTAGGTCAGCTCTACCACCGCAGTGAAAAATACAGAGCTATGATTTTTTAAAATTACGTTATATATTTTTTGCATTATACACTGCATTCGGAAAGTATTCAGACCCCTTGACATCCTTGAGATGTTATTACAACTTGATTGGAGTCCACCTGTGGTAAATCCAATTGATTGGACATGATTTGGAAAGGCACACACCGGTCTATATAAGGTCCCACAGCTGACAATGCATGTCAGAGCCAGTGGTGTAAAGTACTTAAGTACAAATATTTTAAAGTACTACTTAAGTAGTTTTTTTTGGGTATCTGTACTTTACTATTTATATTTTTGACTACTTTACCTTCACTACATTCCTAAAGAAAATGATGTACTTTTTACTCCATACATTTTCCCTGACACCCAAAAGTACTCATTACATTTTGAATGATTAGCAGGACAGGAAAAGGGTCCAATTCACGCGCTTATCAAGAGAACATCCCTGGTCATCCCTACTGCCTCTGATCTGGCAGACTCACTAAACACACATGCTTCGTTTGTAAATTATGTCTAAGTGTTGGAGTGTGCCCCTGGTTTTACGTAAATAAATAAAAAACAAGAAAATGGCGCCACCTGGTTTGCTTAATATAAGGAATTTGAAATTATTTGTACTTTTACTTTTGATACTTAAGTATATTTAATACCAAATACTTTTAGACTTTTACTCAAGTAGTATTTTACTGGGTGACTTCAGAGCGCTCAGGACCTCAGACTGGGGCGAAGGTTCCAACAGGACAACAACCCTAAGCACACAGCCAAGACAAAGCAGGATTGGCTTCGGAACAAGTCTCTGAATATCCTTGAGTGGCCCAGCCATAGCCCGGACTTGAACCCAATCGAACAGCTCTGGAGAGACCTGAAAATAGCTGTGCAGCGACGCTCCCCATCCAACCCGACAGAGCTTGAGAAGATCTGCAGAGAAGAATGGGAGAAACTCCCCAAATACAGATGTGCCAAGCTTGTAGCGTCATACCCAAGAAGACTCAAGGCTGGAATCGCTGTGAAGGTGCTTCATCAAAGTACTGAGTAAAGGTCTGAATACTTATGTAAATGCTCAATGTTAAATTCAAATCTTCCTACCATCATATCTAAGCCAATATGACACCAATGTCGATGAAACTTTGCAAATAAACTTGGAGGTACACAACACACACCCCGCCTCTTGGCATGATCAGTTCAGCCGTTACCGAGAACCACGTACTGGATTTTTCAAAGTCTTTAGCGTAATTTTTTTGCCCAAACCTAGCTCAAATTCTAGACGTCGGATTAAAACGACACTACAGCGTCCATAAAATGACCATCAGACTTGGTTCCATTTGGACGGAATAAGTTGAGCTGCAACAGTTTGTACGATGCACAATTTATCACCCTCACGTGCCCAATAAGAACCAACAATGTGCTACCTTTTTGAAGCATTTCTGACAATGCCAACATACAGTACCAGTCAAAAGTTTGGGCACCTACTCATTCCAGGGTTTTTCTTTATTTTTACTATTTTCTACATTGTAGAATAATAGTGAAGACATCAAAACTATGAAATAACACACATGGTTAAACAAATCAAAACATATTTGATATTTTAGATTCTTCAAATAGGCACCATTTGCCTTGATGACAGCTTTGCACATTCTTAGCATTCTCTCAACCAGCTTCACCTGGAAAGCTTTTCCAACAGTCTTGAAGAAGTTCCCACATATGCTGAGCACTTGTTGGCTGCTTTTCCTTCACTCTGCGGTCTGACTCATCCCAAACCATCTCAATTGGGTTGAGGTTGAGGGATTGTGGATGCCAGGTCATCTGATGGAGCATTCCATCACTCTCCTTCTTGGTCAAATAGCCCTTACACAGCCTGGAGGTGTGTTGGGTCATTGTCCTGTTGAAAAACAAATGATAGTCCCACTAAGCACAAACCAGATGGGATGGAGTATCGCTGCAGAATGCTGTGGTAGCCATGCTGGTTAAGTGTGCCTTGAATTCTAAATAAATCACAGACAGTGTCACCAGCAAAGCACCCCCACATCATAACACCTCCTCCTCCATGCTTTACGGTGGGAAATACACATGCGGAGATCATCCGTTCACCCACACCGCATCTCACAAAGCCAAGGCGGTTAGAACCAAAAAATTCCAATTTGGACTCCAGACCAAAGGACAAATGTCCACGGTCTAATGTCCATTGCTTGTGTTTCTTGGGACAAGCAAGTCTCTTCTTATTATTGGTGTCCGTTCGTAGTGGTTTCGTTGCAGCAATTCGTCCATGAAGGCCAGATTCACACGGTCTCCTCTGAACAGTTGATGTTGAGATGTGTGCTGTTACTTGAACTCTGTAAAGCATTTATTTGGGCTGCAATTTCTGAGGCTGGTAACTAATGAACTTATCCTCTACAGCAGAGGTAACTCTGGGTCTTCCATTCCTGTGGCGGTCCTCATGAGAGCCAGTTTCATCATAGAGCTTGATGGTTTTTGCAACTGAAATGTTTCGTATTGACGGACCTTCATGTCTTAAAGTAATGATGGACTGTCGTTTCTCTTTGCTTATTTGAGCTGTTCTTGCCATAATATGGACTTGGCCTTTTACCAAATAGGGCTATTTTCTGTATACCCCCCCTACCTGTGGTGAATGATGGACGGAGTCAGGCGCAGGAGTAAAATAACCGGATGCAGAATTTATTCCTTCCAGACATACAATGCGCCTACAACGGCAATCGAAACAGGTACAGGGGAAACAATCCTACCTGACCAAACACAGTCTCAGAAAATACAATAAATGTAATAACACAGGGGAAAAATCAACCCTGGCTAAATAAATGAGAGTATCTCAACCGAGCTACTCTCCTCCCACATAGAACAATCACTCACAAAGACAAGGGGGCAGAGGGAACACTTATACACAGACTAATTAGGGGATGAGCACCAGGTGTGTGTGATTGACAAGACAAGTGGAGTGATGAGAATGGGAGCGGCAGTAGCTAGTAAGCCGGTGACGACGAACGCCGAAACCTGCCCGAACAAGGAGGGGAGGCAGCCTCGGCGGAAGTCGTGACACTACCTTGTCACAACACAACTGATTGGCTCAAACGCATTAAGAAGGAAAGAAATTCCACAACTTTTAAGAAGGCACACTTGTTAATTGAAATGCATGTGACTACCTCATGAAGCTGGTTGAGAGAATCCCAAGAGTGTGCAAAGCTGACATCAAGGCAAAGGGTGGCTATTTGTTTAACACTTTTTGGTTCCTACATGATGTGTTATTTCATTGTTTTGATGTCTTCACGATTACTCTACAATGTAGAAAATAGTAAAAAGAAAAGAAAAACCCTTGAATGAGTGTGTCCAAACTTTTGACAGGTAGTGTATTTTTCAGCCGATTCTCCGAGTTCTAAAACTGTGTCTAGCAACTCGGTTGCTCAGCAACTCAACAACATGCCTGCACCAGGTAGCCAGTCATAAGTGGACGGCAACAAACCTAGTCTACTGTAGATACAGTGGAGAGAACAAGTATTTGATACACTGCCGATGTTGCAGGTTTTCCTACTTACAAAGCATGAAGAGGTCTGTAATTTTTATCACATGTACACTTCAACTGTGAGAGACGGAATCTAAAACAAAAATCCAGAAAATCACATTGTATGATTTTTAAGTAATTAATTTGCATTTTATTGCATGACATAAGTATTTGATCACCTACCAACCAGTAAGAATTCCGGCTCTCACAGACCTGTTAGTTTTTCTTTAAGAAGCCCTCCTGTTCTCCACTCATTACCTGTATTAACTGCACCCGTTTGAACTCGTTACCTGTATAAAAGACACCTGTCCACACACTCAATCAAACAGACTCCAACCTCTCCACAATGGCCAAGACCAGAGAGCTGTGTAAGGACATCAGGGATAAAATTGTAGACCTGCACAAGGCTGGGATGGGCTACAGGACAATAGGCAAGCAGCTTGGTGAGAAGGCAACAACTGTTGGCGCAATTATTAGAAAATGGAAGAAGTTCAAGATGACGGTCAATCACCCTCGGTCTGGGGCTCCATGCAAGATCTCACCTCGTGGGGCATCAATGATCATGAGGAAGGTGAGGGATCAGCCCAGAACTACACGGCAGGACCTGGTCAATGACCTGAAGAGAGCTGGGACCACAGTCTCAAAGAAAACCATTAGTAACACACTACACCGTAATGGATTAAAATCCTACAGCGCACGCAAGGTCCCCCTGCTCAAGCCAGCGCATGCCCAGGCCCGTCTGAAGTTTGCCAATGACCATCTGGATGATCCAGAGGAGGAATGGAAGAAGGTCATGTGGTCTGATGAGACAAAAATATAGCTTTTTGGTCTAAACTCCACTCGCCGTGTTTGGAGGAAGAAGAAGGATGAGTACAACCCCAAGAACACCATCCCAACCGTGAAGCATGGAGGTGGAAACATCATGCTTTGGGGCTGTTTTTCTGCAAAGGGACCAGGACGACTGATCCGTGTAAAGGAAAGAATGAATGGGGCCATGTATCGTGAGATTTTGAGTGAAAACCTCCTTCCATCAGCAAGGGCATTGAAGATGAAACGTGGCTGGGTCTTTCAGCCACGTTGGTCCTCTGTAGCTCAACTGGTAGAGCACGGCGCTTGTAACGCCAAGGTAGTGGGTTCGATCCCCGGGACCACCCATACACAAAAATGTATGCACGCATGACTAAGTCGCTTTGGATAAAAGCGTCTGCTAAATGGCATATTATATTATTATTATTATCCCAAACACACCGCCCGGGCAACGAAGGAGTGGCTTCGTAAGAATCATTTCAAGGTCCTGGAGTGGCCTAGCCAGTCTCCAGATCTCAACCCCATAGAAAATCTTTGGAGGGAGTTGAAAGTCCATGTTGCCCAGCGACAGCCCCAAAACATCACTGCTCTAGAGGAGATCTGCATGGAGGAATGGGCCAAAATACCAGCAACAGTGTGTGAAAACCTTGTGAAGACTTACAGAAAACGTTTGACCTGTGTCATTGCCAACAAAGGGTATATAACAAAGTATTGAGAAACTTTTGTTATTGACCAAATACTTATTTTCCACCATAATTTGCAAATAAATTCATTAAAAATCCTACAATGTGATTTTCTGGAGAAAAAAAATCTAATTTTGTCTGTCATAGTTGACGTGTACCTATGATGAAAATTACAGGCCTCTCTCATCTTTTTAAGTGGGAGAACTTGCACAATTGGTGGCTGACTAAATACTTTTTTCCCCCACTGTATTGGCTTGCACATACTTGTATAGCAATTATTTAATACAACAGCACAATAACCTTTGCATTCTACAACTCTGACATCCCCCCACGCCAATGTATTTATGTATGTGTTAAAAAGATTACTGTTGGGTGCCCAGCATAACAGAGCTGCAGACATTTGTTGTTTTTCCCTATGGTCTACCTGGGTCATGAAGTAGCGTGTGTCCCACGCATATAACTCGCCCTTGAAGGGCAGGCCCCTCTTCTGGCACTCCTTCTTCTTCAGCTTGAGGATGACCTTGCGCTCCTCCTCTCCCAGGGGCTTCAATTTACAGGCCAGTTCCTCTGGAGAAAAGGAAGATTACCTTACTGTCAAATGTACCCAAAGGAAGTTTGTCTCCTGCTTGATCCCAATCCCTCCCAAAGACAGACAGACACACACACACACACACACATTAGAGCAGAGATGTGAGGGGTGGAAACTGTGTGTGCGTTAAGGTTTTTTCTGGATGAAAATGGAGTTTAGGTAGTGGGCGTGACAGGGGCAAAGCAGTGTGTGGTTAGGGGCGCAGTCGCCAACTGAACATTTTAGAGGCCCTCCTCTTGGCCGCAGAAACAAAATGTTGCTGTTTTAAAGGGATACTTCGGGATTTTGGCAATGAGGCCCTTTTTTATCTATTTCCCCAGTCAGGTGAACTTGTGGATACCATTTTTATGCAGTTTGTGGCATCGATATGAGTCAGAAACATTTATTCTAGTGTCAAAATTGCCTACAAAGTGTAAATAGGATAACTGGTCCTAAAGTCAGTCTCATCTAAAAAAACAGTTTTGTAAGTGCGTTCGTCACAACTTACTTGACGGTTGGGTATGAATTACTTACATGCCCACTTTTGCCAATGATGCCCAATTGCCCAGAGACAATGCATTGTGGTCCGCCCCCAGCTGCCATGTGGAGTTAGTGGATAATGTTGTCAAGTCTGTATATGGGTGCAACGCACGCACATTTCGATCAATAAATAGGAGTGAAAATGGGCTTCAATAAAGTTGGTGCAAACTTCCAATGCATTTCAACAGTATTGCCAGATGGCCAGGAATGGATTACATCCATTGTTGAGTATGTTAGCTAAGTGCAAGATAGCTGGTACTACCTAGCTAGTAGCTACTTTTGGCTATACAACATTATAATGCTAGCGAGCCAGGCTAGCTATGATACCACAGATAAAAGGGGAATGATACTGTAGCTAGCTAAATACACCAAGCTAACTTGTAACGTGATGTAGCATGTCAGAGGAAGATGTGCATAGCTCACGTTAGCTAGCTACCTTGCTAACAACAGCTAACTGTAGGCTATTTGCATTTAGGATCAATGCAGGGCAGGCATTGGATACTTGCTTTCAATAATGTTGACTCGAACTGGCTCACTAGCTAGCCAATACATTTCAACTCGGACAAAGATATTGATACAGTGCCTTCAGAAAGTATTCATACCCCTTGACTTATTTCACATTTTGTTGTGTTACAGCCTGAATTCAAAATTGATTATTTTCTCACTCATCTACACACACAATACCCCCAATGACAAAGTGAAAAAATGAAATTTTTGCAAATGTATTGAAAATGAAATACACAATACTTTTGTAGAAGCACCTTTGGTAGAGATTACAGCTGTGAGTCTTTCTAGGGAAATCTCTAAGAGCTTTAGACACATGAATTGCGCAATATTTGCACATTCTTTTAGAAAAATTTAAGCTCTGTCAAATTGGTTGTTGACCATTGCTAGCCAACCATTTTCAGGTCTTGCCATAGATTTTCAAGTAGATTTAAGTCAAAACTGTAACTCGGCCACTCCGGAACATTCACTGTCTTTTTGGTAAGCAACTCCAGTGTAGATTTGGCCTTGTGTTTTAGGTTGCTGTCCTGCTGAAAGGTGAATTAATCTCCCAGTGTCTGGTGGAAAACAGACTGAACCAGGTTTTCCTCTAGGATTTTGCTTGTGCTTAGCTCCATTGCATTTATTTTTTATCCTGAAAAACTCCCCAGTCCTTAACAATTACAAACATTCCCATAATATAGGGCGGCAGGTAGCTTAGTGGTTAAGAGCGTTGTGCCAGTAACCGAAAGGTCGCTGGTTCTAATCCCCGAGCCGACTAGGTGAAAAATCTGTCGATGTGCCCTTGAGCAAGGCACTTAACCCTAATTGCTCCTGTAAGACGCTCTGGAAAAGAGCGTCTGCTAAATGACTAAAATGTAAAATAACATGATGCAGCCACCACTACGCTTGAAAATATGGAGTGGTAGTCAGTAATGTGTTGTATTGGATTTGCCCCAAACATAACACTTTGTATTCAGGACAAAAAGTATTTGCTTTGCCACATTTTTTGCAGTATTTTGAGGAAGCCTTGTTGCAAACAGGATGCATGTTTTGAAATATTTTTTTTCTGTACAGGCTTCCTTCTTTTCACTCTGTCAGTTAGGTTAGTATTGTGCAGTAACTACAATGTTGTTGATCCATCCTCAGTTTTCTCCTATCACAGCCATTAAACTCTAACTGTTTTAAAGTCACCATTGGCCTCATGGTGAAATCCCTGAGCGGTTTCCGTTCTCTCCGGTAACTGAGTTAGGAAGGACCCCTGTATCTTAGTGGGTGTATTGATACACCATCCAAAGTGTAATTAATAACTTCACCATGCTCAAATGGATATTCAATGTCTGCTTCTTTTTTTTTACCCATCTACCAGTAGGTGTCCTTCTTTGCGAGGCATTGGAAAACCTCCCTGGTCTTTGTGGTTTAATCTGTGTTTGAAATTCACTGCTCAACCTTACAGATAACTGTTTGTGTCATTCAAAAAATTATGTTAAACAGTATTTTTGCAGTAAGTCCATGCAATTTATTATGTGACTTGTTAAGCAAATTCTTACTCCTGAACTTATTTAGGTTTGTCATAACAAAAAGGGGTTGAACACTTCAGCTTTTCATTTTTATTCATTTGCAAACATTTCTAAAAACATAATTCCACTTTGACATTATGGGGTATTGTGTGTAGGCCAGTGACTAAAACATCTCAATTAAAATTCACGCTGTAAAACAACAAAATGTGGAAAAAGTCGAGAGGTGTGAATAGTTTCTGAAGAAACTGTAACTAACCCAGATTTGCAAGGTAGGTAGCTAGCTACCTACCTAGCATTCGGGGGCTTCATCTGCTAACCCAAAACAACATGCCTTTTCTTAAATGTTTGTGTATTTTCTAGGGCAAAATAAATGAAGGATGGTACTCGTCTAGCTATGGCACTGGCAACAAATAGCAAAACATGTCAGCAACGTACACAGCTGGTTGCATAGTAAGGGCGTCAGCATCTCTTGCCTGAATCTATTCTGTAGTTACAGTCCCCCTATTAGCATATAAATTATATACTTCCAAACTAGAGAAAGTAATTTTTCACTATATGTTAATTGAGTGGTGCGATTCTATTTCACTTTTTTGTTTTTGATAACTTGTTGAGGGTTGACCTAAAATTTCTGGTGGTAACCCATGGAGTTCCAGGACTGGCGATGGCAAGTCCATTTATGTGGCTTGGCTAGCTAGCTAGTACAGTGGTTTGCGAAAGTATTCACCCCCTTTGCATTTTTCCTATTTTGTTGCCGTACAACCTGGAATTAAAATTGATTTTTGGGGGGGTTTGTATCATTTGATTTACAGAACATGCCTACCACTTTGAAGATGCAAAATATTTGTTATTGTAAAACAAACAAGACAAAAAAACTACTTGATCGTGCATAACTATTCACCCCCCCCCCCCCCCCCCCCAAGTCAATACTTTGTAGAGCCACCATTTGCAGCAATTACAGCTGTAAGTCTCTTGGGGTATGTCTCTATAAGCTTGGCACATCTAGCCACTGGGATTTTTGCCCATTCTTCAAGGCAAAACTGCTCCAGCTCCTTCAAGTTGAATGGGTTCCACTGGTGTACAGCAATCTTTAAGTCATACCCCAGATTCTCAATTGGATTGAGGTCTAAACTTTGACTAGGCCATTCCAAGACATTGAAATGTTTCCCCTTAAACCACTCGAGTGTTGCTTTAGCAGTATGCTTAGGGTCATTGTCCTGCTGGAAGGTGAAACTCCGTCCCAGTCTCAAATCTCTGGAAGACTGAAACAGGTTTCCCTCAAGAATTTCCCTGTATTTAGTTTCCCAGTCCCTGCCGATGAAAAACAACCCCACAGCATGATGCTGCCACCACCATGCTTCACTGTGGGGATGGTGTTCTTGGGGTGATGAGAGGTGTTGGGTTTGCGCCAGACATAGCATTTTCCTTGATGGCCAAAAAGCTCAATTTTAGTCTCATGTGACCAGAGTACCTTCTTCCATATGTTTGGGGAGTCTCCCACATGCCTTTTGGCGAACACCAAACGTGTTTGCTTATTTTTTTCTTTAAGCAATGCCTTTTTCTGGCCACTCTTCCGTAAAGTCCAGCTCTGTGGAGTGTACAGCTTAAAGTGGTCCTATGGACAGATACTCCAATCTCCGCTGTGGAGCTTTGCAGCTCCTTCAGAGTTATCTTTGGTTTCTTTGTTGCCTCTCTGATTAATGCCCTCCTTGCCTGGTCCGTGAGTTTTGGTGGGCGGCCCTCTCTTGGCAGGTTTGTTGTGGTGCCATATTCTTTCCATTTTTAAATAATGGATTTAATGGTGCTCTGTGGGATGTTCAAAGTTTCAGATATTTTTTTATAACCAAACTCTGATCTGTACTTCTCCACAACTTTGTCCCTGACCTGTTTGGAGAGCTCCTTGGTCTTCATGTTACCGCTTGCCTGGTGCTGCCCCTTGCTTAGTGGTGTTGCACACTCTGGGGCCTTTCAGAACAGGTGTATATATACTGAGATCATGTGACAGATCATGTGAGACTTAGATTGCACACAGGTGGCTAGGCCCCTTAGTTCCAGTGAAGGGAAATCTTAACGCTACAGCATACAATGACATTCTAGACGATTCTGTGCTTCCAACTTTGTGGCAACAGTTTGGGGAAGGCCTTTTCCTGTTTCAGCATGACAATGCCCCCATGCACAAAGCGAGGTCCATACAGAAATGGTTTGTCGCGATCGGTGTGGAAGATCTTGACTGGCCTGCACAGAGCCCTGACCTCAACCCCATCGAACACCTTTGGGATGAATTGGAACGCCGACTGTGAGCCAGGACTAATCACCCAACATCAGTGCCCGACCTCACTAATGCGCTTGTGGCTGAATGGAAGCAAGTCCCCGCAGCAATGTTCCAACATCTAATGGAAAGCCTTCCCAGAATGAGTGGAGGCTGTTATAACAGCAAAGGGGGGGAAACACAACACGCCCCCAAGGCAACTCTCGTTTGGCTTAAGTCATGATCGCTAAGCATTTCTTAATGACCAAGCTTCAAAATGAGGCCAAATCAGGCAGTTCAGTGGCTCTTTAAAGCTAATTTCCTGCAATTCTACACTTTTTGCCATGGCTTATGCTGTGTTCTTATGCTATCGGAGTGACTCAAACATAACAAAAACAACAGAGGCCCCATGCCATGACAGAAATACCCCTGAATGCATTATTTTGCTGATTGTTAGTTCTCAAAGATGATCTTATTAAAAAAATATAGGTCCATTATCTTTTCTACATACTTTATATCAGGTGTTAGTCGTTTGAGTTTACACTGAAAACGTTTTCCATCCCAAAAATTATAAAACATTTAAATAGAAAACACTTGGGCGGCTGGCCCAAGACTTTTCTATGCAGAAAAACATGCATCCTGTGTGCACTGCTGTCATTCCATTTTTGCAATGTGAACCATTTTGTGTTGTAGCAGTTTTGTTTGTAAATGCATAGTTGAGTGTGAGCAATGCCCTCAACAAATACAATATGACATCAATACTTTTACTAAAATGGAACAGGGTGGTTACGGCCAGTGGGGTAAGGGGAGTATAGTGAAGCAGATGAAGCACTACATTGTTTCTGATACAACTGACAGCAGCCTCTGCAGCTATGAATAGTTAATCACAAAACAACTAGCAAAATGTACACTGGTCATTTGGAAATGGAACAACGGACCATAACCTTTCAGTTAGTTGTACCCAGTCTCGATCAGTAACACCCACCTAGGAAGCCGGCCACCTTCTTGCCAGACTTGGCCATGTTCATCTCTAGGACAAAGTCAGCGTGGGTGTTGAAGCCCAGCAGGGAGCTCTTCTGGGCTCTCAACTGCACCAGCTCCTTCAGGATGGCAGAGTTCTTCTACACCAGGGGAAAATGACAGAGGGTGAGGGCTGAAATCCATTCCAGGGGACCATTTTAAGTAACTTTACAGGTTATCCTTGGTGCTCAGAGAATAAACTAAAAAAAAATTGTAAACGTTTCGTGCAGCAGTTCGACTTTCTTTGAGTTTCTCGGGGGCTCTGCGATTTTCTTGTTTCAAGTACTTTCTCTGGTCAACCCTTTCCCAGTACAGGATAGTATCACTGTCTCACACAGAACAGACAATGGCTCACCTCTTTGCAGCGAGAGTTGAAGGCCTCCTCCAGCTTCTTGCGGGTCTCGGGGATGAAGCACTTCTTCATGGTCGGGAAGTAGTGGGGGTACTTGAGCGTGATCTTCAGCTTGTCCCCGTCCTGCTCCAGCGAGCTCAGGAAGTCCTCAGGGAGACCGCCTGAAGTGCATCGTCATACATGTCAGAAGTCATACTTATGGATTTACTTTCAATGTTAGTGCTTTTAGAATCTTCTTTTTTTTAAGCAATCAAATTAGAAACCTGAAAACTCGCTAGATCTTTCATATAGCCAAGAATGAGACATTTAAATTCTACAACAGTTTCCATTAAGTGGGATTCCCCTTAATGTTGATGAATCAGTTAAGGTCGAACGGCACAGCAACTGTCGGTGAAAGTTATGTTTTTGGCATCCTTTTGATCGTTACTGCTACAAGAGAACAGGGAGGCTTCGATAGGTCCCTGTGAGCTTATAGTTTGTAAAGAGCCAGGTTGGGATGAATTTCACTTTGGTTACTTCAGTTCACTTTGAGTCAATTCAGTAGATAGTATACTGAAATTCCAATTCAGAGGGCCATCTATTTTTAATGAAGATATTTTAACAAATCGGAATTGATACCAATACTATTAAGTACTATTTAGTTACTATTATTGGATAGTACCTATTAGTTATATGAGCAAAGGTCCAACAACAGAAATGGGGTCTGAACTGTTAGGCCCAGTGAACATGGACTCACCCAGCTCCTCTCTGGTGAAAGCCAGACTAGTGGTGTCCTCGTTCAGGTGCTTGTTGAAGTCAATGCACAGGTTGCTCAGCCTCTTCCTGATCCTCTTGACTTCCTGTTTGGATTAGATAGGTAAAGTCAATAAGTTGACAACAGTGAACCTACTGTAGATCAAAGTATGACACGAGTTATTCCACCTCAAAAAGCACAAGAAAGAAGATTGACACCCACCATCTCAGATTGTTCTGAAATCATTTCTGTTAGGAACAGATAAGATTAGCATGCCAATAACATTATTTTGTTGAAAGATTATTTGAACTGTGAGAAATTAAGCTAAATCGACTGCACCAAAAATTGTCCATTTCCATTTATAGGATTCATATACTACTCAATAAATATAGCACTAAAACATCCGATTTGGACCAAAACCAAACCTTTTAACAATGATTAAGACGTGAGAATCCAAATAAATGGTCAAAAGACACCCACAGACCCACCCAAACCTCACACCAAGCCCACCCCAAAGGCCAGTATAAATTCTGTATGTTTGACAAGTAGTATGAAGCTGCGGCTTACAGTATTCTTTATTCATCCTATGTAATGTATTGGTGGTTTTTCCTCCGTTCAGAGAAATTAGCCATTGAAGTCGCTTGCATTTTCCCCCATAGATCACTGTGAAAACACCAGATTTTTCCCAGTAGATGCCGCTGTTCCTGCGGTTACTGCCACACACTTTTATCCATGTTGCTGGTCTCTTGTGTTTATTAAATGGATCACAAAAATGCTTTTGCAACTTTGGGTAGAAAATATATAGTTTTTGCGCATTATGAAAATAAATAGTGTGGTCATCCTCACAAGTCAAGCCAGTCCTCCATGAAAGCAATTCAGTTTGTCCTTCTCTTAGCAACCTAATACTTCAACCCAACAATCGGCAGCTCCCTGAGAGGGTTATCCCTATGGTGCAATTCTCATATGAAGACTTTTCCTACAAGTCCAAAAATGTGATGGAGAAATGGGCTAGAGACTAAAATGTTGTGACAACCCTAATAAAATAATACAATTATAAACCATTACATAGCAGTCTTATGTTTTTCAATAAAATGGTTAGAAAACATTTCTATGTTGTTTGATTAGTGATATTTACCATTAAACCCAACACCATTACAAAACAATATACAGTGTGTATTTGGGACATTGAAACCTTTAGAACTGCTGTTGGTTTGCTTGTTCACCAGAAATGGTCTAACTAATCCAGACCTTTTTGGAAGGGAATAAACTACACACACAGGGGCCGTTTCCTGGACACAGATTAAGCCTAAGAGAAGGACAGTTTGTGTGTGTTTGAATTGCTTTCATGGAGGACTGGCTTGAATTGTATGGATGACCAAACCTTTTCATCATGGACAAAGGCTAATGTTTTATACACAAAGTTGCAAAAGGGTCCATTTAATAAACACAAGAAACCAGCTAAATGGATAAAAGGGTGTGGCAGTAACAGCAGAAACAGCTGCATCGAATGGTCAAAAGTGGTACTTTCACATACATTTATGGGGGAAAAATGCAAGACTTCAATGGCTAATTTCTCTGAACAGGGGGGAAAAACATTACTAAATTCACTGAGAATACATTGCATAGTATGAATAAACAATATTCCAAGCCGCAGTTTCATACTACCTGTCAAACATAGAGAACTGATACTGTATACTGGCCGTTGGGAGTGGGATTGGTGTGGGGTTTGGGGGGGTCCGTGAAAACGGTAAAGTCTCTTACATCCTGTGTTTCTTTGGGCAGGTGGAGGCCGTTTCTTTGGCCCAGCTTGATCAGCCTCTCCATGTACCTCTTGGATTCCTGAGTAAGCGTGTCATCGTCAACCTTCCCCTGTGAGAGGTTAAAAGCAGAACTCAGCCAATGAGAATGATACTCCACCCAACCTTTACGTAGCCATAAGATAATTCTAAAGACAACATGAGGCAATAGCATGTAAAAACATACAGGAATCACCTATCGATATCTTCCTAGGTACAGCTCAACAGGTCGTGGCTCCCCTTTTCCTCTCCTTTATTAGTACTGATCTAATGAAGTGGGAAGATGAAAGCACATGCACTGATTGTATTTTAAGATCAGTGCAGATAAAGAATAAGGAGATGAGGAGAGGAAGCCACTATAGACTATTGACATCTTTTATCTATTGGTACCCTCTGTATTGATCTCATATGGCCCTCCTCACCTCCAGCGCCACGATCCTCCGGTAGACGTCCTCCCTCATGCTCATCTCCACATCAAACTCCGACAGCTTCTTGTCGGCGTCGGTGCTAGCCGTGCGCACGTCCTTGGAGGAGGACACATGCTGGGGGAAGTCCAGCATGTTGCGCTCAACTGGAATAACATGTCAAAATGTAAAAGTGAGCAGGTAATATGAGCGTCATTTTCATTGTAAGTGATACAATTGTCATCATGATACAGTGCATGTCGTGCTTTCTCAGTGCTCAAAGTGCTTTCACACTTAAATAGGGGGACTCAATCCATTACCAATGTGTAGCACGCACAAATAGTTTATAAAACCAGTCTAAACGGATTTGAACACCTGACCATTGTCTGCTTGAAACATAGGCTTAGGTTTTGGGGAATGTGCGTTGTGAGCAAACAGTCTTAAAGGCCTAAAATGATGCAAACAATGATAAAAACAAGCTCTTTTGTACATTTTGAATTACCGTAGATATTTTGCTGCTCTGAGTCTATAAAAGGCTACAACTGACTGATTTAACATGTACAGTCCAGTGTCCACTGCCTGTGCCTGGCTTCAACACAATGCCAAAAACACTATTGTAGGGAGCATAGGCTGGTCAGCTAGTCTTTATGTAAATGTGCTGATTTGTCTATACCATTGCATACCAACTTAGACATTTTCCCAATTGCTTACAATGACAGTGGAGTAGATGCTTTGTGTGGTTGCTATGGACTGAACTGCTAGACTGAACCGATTATGTATCCTCAGTTTTGTTTTAGTGAAACCTGCCCATCAGCTACCAACAAAGTGCAGGGACTTGTTCTTTGCCCTCTTTAGCTACATCATAACCTATTAATTTCAATCCACTGTGGTCATACAGGAAAGGGGTTGAAGAAATGATGCTATTTTGGAGTCACACCCACCTGTGTACTCCACCTCCACATCAGCGAGAGCTTTCAGGGTACTCTCATAGGAAACACTGGCCAGGTCCAGGGCCCCGACAAAGTCATACACCTTTTTGGTCTTGGCAATAAGCTCATCTGAGAGCTGATTGATTTGCTCGGGGGTCAGGTCCCAGCGCAGGCGGTTGTCAGCACATAATGGCGCACCACTGCCAGATGCCAACTCTTCTGTTGGGTGAAAGAAAGGTTGGTCATGAGTTGGATGGTTCGTCTTGGAAAAAGGTCTACTTCTAAACCGTGAGGAAGTGTTTGAGGAAATATTTTTTTTTCACTATGCAGGGGATGATTCATGTCATTCAATGGCATGTGGTATGAACTAGGTCTAGTTTCAGCATTGTTCATGCGGTTAGAAGATACTGTGGCAGGTGTACTATCAGATAGTCAACACTACATTTTACATTTTAGTCATTTAGCAGACGCTCTTATCCAGAGTGACTTACAGGAGCAATTAGGGTTAAGTGCCTTGCTTAAGGGCACAGACAGATTTTTCACCTAGTCGGCTCGGGGATTAGAACCGGCGACCTTTCGGTTACTGGCACAACGCTCTTACCCACTAAGCTACATGCCACCCCGTAACACTACAAACACTAGCAACATTTCCCTGTTCCCTTTAAACACTAGCAACCAATTGGCAGTCTGTAAATATAACTGACATTGTTCACATTTCAACTCTTATCTATAGAAACTATGTGGATGTGCATATTAGCTAGCTAATGACATGATAGGCATGAAGAGGTCCAGCACTGCCACCGCACAATGTGTTAACCTCTTAAGGATCTGACCCTTTTTTTCCAATTTTCGCCTAAAATGACATACCCAAATCTAACTGCCTGTAGCTCAAGTCCTAAAGCAAGGACATGCATATTCTTGATACCAGTTGAAAGGAAACACTTTGAAGTTTGTGGAAATGTGAAATTAATGTAGGAGAATATAACACATCATCTTTGAAATGCAAGAGAAAGGCCACAATATAATATTGCAGTTTAGGCGCAATTTAGATTTTGGCCACTAGATGGTAGCAGTGTGTGTGCAAAGTTTCAGATTGATCCAGTGAAGCATCGCAATTTTATTTATTTATTTTATTTAACTAGGCAAGTCAGTTTAGAACAAATTCTTATTTACAATGACGGCCTACAACGGCCAAACCCGGACGACGCTGGGCCAATTGTGCGCCGCCCTATGGGACTCCCAATCACGGCCGGTTGTGATACAGCCTGGAATCAAACCAGGGGGTCTGTAGTGACGCCTCAAGCACTGAGATGCAGTGCCTTAGATCGCTGCGCCATTCAGGAGACCAATACTGGACTATTTTGTATCAGGTCTGCCCAAATGTGCCGAATTGGTCAATTGATACATTTTCAAGTACATAACTATAGAGAACATACAAAAATGATATGGTAATACAAAATGTAAGTTTACAAACTCCCAGAATGTCATACATGATGGATCATTAGCTTATACACTAACTTTCACACATCTAGATGGCCGGGCGGGGTGGGTGTGGAGCCAGAGACAGCAGGGGTTCAAACTGTAGAACCCAGTTCCTACATTTGAATATAAAAATTGATTTTACCAAACAAAACTATGCCACATTTTATATTTGGGACCCTCAGGATGACAAATCAGAGCAAGATTACTGAATGTAAGTACATTACCTTCAGAGGTGAATGTATCAAACCAGTTGCCGTGATACATTTACATTTTACATTTTAGTCATTTAGCAGACGCTCTTATCCAGAGCGACTTACAGTTAGTGAGTGCATACATTTTCATACTGGCCCCCCGTGGGAAACGAACCCACAACCCTGGCATTGCAAGCGCCATGCTCTACCAACTGAGCTACGGGGACTGTTGTTGCGCTGTTGTGCACTCTCCTCAAACAATAGCATGGTATTTTGTCACTGTAATAGCTACTGTAAATTGGACGGATAAACCATGTGATTCTATGTTTAGTGGAGATCTTCGGTGTATAAAGTGACGCGGGAGGGCAAAAAAGCATCTAACGACACATGAGCAGTGATACTGGCCTTCTATTAGAAGGCGCTGCAGGAACGCCTCTCTGCAAACTATGATGCTGAGACAAAATAAATAACTGTCTAAATTACAGACCTGCTCATCCAATGCATTCAGGGCAATGCTCAAATTGTTGGAAAATTATTGGCACTGTCTATTTGTATTTATTTGTATTTTTTTGGGGGGTAGATCAGCTTTAATCTTATGTTTCACCGAGTCGTGACTGAACGCCGACATGGATAACATCCAGCTGGCAGGATATACGCTACATCGGCAGGATAGAACGGCTGACTCCGATAAGACAAGGGGTGGCGGTCTGTGTATATTTGTAAACAACAGCTGGTGCATAAAATCTAATACTAAGGAAGTCTCGAGGTTTTGCTCGCCTGAGGTAGAGTATCTGTGCACCACACTATTTACCAAGAGAGTTCTCATCTATATTTTTCGTAGCTGTCTATTTACCACCACAAACCGATGCTGGCAATAAGATTGCACTCAATGAGCTGTTTAAGGCCATAAGTAAACAGGAAAACGTTCATCCAGAGGCAGTGCTCCTAGTGGCCGGGGACTTTAATATAGGGAAACTTAAATCCGTTCTACCTAATTTCTACCAGCATGTTAAATGTGCAACCAGAGGGTGAAAAAAATTAAAAATAAACTCTAGACCACCTTTACTCCACACACAGAGACGCATACAAAGCTCTCCCTCGCCCTCCATTTGGCAAATCTGACCATAACTCTATCCTCCTGATTCCTGCTTATAAGCAAAAACTAAAGCAGGAAGCACCAGTGACTTGGTTAATAAGGAGGTGGTCAGAAGACGCAGATGCTAAGCTACAGGACTGTTTTGCTTGCACAGATTGGAATATGTTCTGGGATTCTTCTGATAGCATTGAGGAGTACGCCACATCAGTCACTGGCTTCATCAATAAGTGCATCGATGACGTCGTCCCCACAGTGACCGTACGTACATACCCCAACCAGAAGCCATGGAATACAGGCAACATCCGCACTGAGCTAAAGGGTAGAGCTGCCGCTTTCAAGGAGCGGGATTCTAACCCGGACGCTTATAAGAATTCCCGCTATGCCCTCCGACGAACCATCAATCAGGCAAAGAGTCAATACAGGACTAAGATTGAATCGTACTACACCGGCTCCGACGATGTGGCAGGGCTTGAATGCTATAACAGACTACAAAGGGAAGCACAGCTGCGAGCTGTCCAGTGACACAAGCCTACCAGACGAGCTAAACCACTTCTATGCTCGCTTCGAGGCAAGCAACACTGAAGCATGCATGAGAGCATCAGTTGTTCCGGATGACTATGTGATCACGCTCTCCGTAGCCGATGTGAGTAAGACTTTTAAGCAGGTCAACATTCACAAGGCCGCAGGGCCAGACGGATTACCAGGACGTGTACTCCGAGCATGCGCTGACCAACTGGCAAGTGTCTTCACTGACATTTCCAACATGTCCCTGACTGAGTCTGTAATACCAACATGTTTCAAGCAGACCACCATAGTCCCTGTGCCCAAGAACTCTAAGATAACCTGCCTAAATGACTACCGACCCGTAGCACTCACGTCTGTAGCCATGAAGTTCTTTGAAAGGCTGGTCATGGCTCACATCAACACCATTATCCCAGAAACCCTAGACCCACTCCAATTTGCATACCGCCCCAACAGATCCACAGATGATGCAATCTCTATTGCACTCCACACTGCCCTTTCCCTGGACAAGAGGAACACCTACGTGAGAATGCTATTCATTGACTACAGCTCAGCGTTCAACACCATAGTGCCCTCAAAGCTCATCACTAAGCTAAGGATCCTGGGACTAAACACCTCCCTCTGCAACTGTATCCTGGACTTCCTGACGGGCCGCCCCCAGGTGGTAAGGGTAGGTAACAACACATCTGCCATGCTGTTCCTCAACACGGGGGCCCCTCAGGGGTGCGTGCTCAGTCCCCTCCTGTACTCCCTGTTCACCCATGACTGCATGGCCAGGCACGACTCCAACACCATCATAATGTTTGCTGACGACACAACAGTGTTAGGCCTGATCACCGACAACGATGAGACAGCCTATAGGGAGGAGGTCAGAGACCTGGCCGTGTGGTGCCAGGATAACAACCTCTCCCTCAACGTGACCAAGACAAAGGAGATGATTGTGGACTACAGGAAAAAGAGGACTGAGCACGCCACCATTCTCATCAACAGGGCTGTAGTGGAACAGGTTGAGAGCTTCAAGTTCCTTGGTGTCCACATCACCAACGAACTATCATGGTCCAAACACACCAAGACAGTTGTGAAGAGGGCACGACAAAGCCTATTCCCCCTCAGAAGACTGAAAAGATTTGGCATGGGTCCTCAGATCCTCAAAACGTTCTACAGCTGCACCATCGAGAGCATCCTGACTGGTTGCATCACCGCCTGGTATGGCAACTGCTCGGCCTCTGACCACAAGGCACTACAGAGGGTAGTGCGTACGGCCCAGTACATCACTGGGGCCAAGCTTCCTGCCATCCAGGACCTCTATACCAGGCGGTGTCAGAGGAAGGCCCTCAAAATTGTTAAAGACTCCAGCCACCCTAGTCATGGACTGTTCTCTCTGCTACCGCATGGCAAGCGGTACCGGAGTGCCAAGTCTAGGTCCAAAAGGCTTCTCAACAGCTTCTACCCCCAAGCCATAAGACTCCTGAACAGCTAATCATGGCTACCCGGACTACTTGCACTGCCCCCCTACCCCCACCCCATCTTTTTACGCTGCTGCTACTCTGTTAATTATTTATGCATAGTCACTTTAACTCTACCCACATGTACATATTACCTCAACTAGCCGGTGCCCCTGCACATTGACTCTGCACCGGTACCCCCCTGTATATAGCCTCCCTACTGTTATTTTATTTTACTTCTGCTCTTTTTTTCTCAACACTTTTTTGTTGTTGTTTTATTTTACGTTTTTATTAAAAAAATAAATGCATTGTTGGTTAAGGGCTGTAAGTAAGCATTTCACGGTAATGTCTACACCTGTTGTATTCGGCGCATGTGGCAAATAAAATTTGATTTGAGATGCACTCACACCTGTCTGCTGCCATTCTTGAGCAAGCTCTGCACTGGTGGTGCCCCGATCCCGCAGCTGAATCAACTTTAGGAGACGGTCCTGGCGCTTGCTGGACTTTCTTGGGAGCCCTGACGCCTTCTTCACAACAATTGAACCTCTCTCCTTGAAGTTCTTTATGATCCGATAAATGGTTGATTTAGGTGCAATCTTACTAGCAGCAATATCCTTGTGTGAAGCCCTTTTTGTGCAAAGCAATGATGACAGCACGTGTTTCCTTGCAGATAATGGTTAACAGAGGAAGAACAATGATTTCAAGCACCACCCTCCTTTTAAAGCTTCCAGTCTGTTATTCTAACTAAATCAGCATGACAGAGTGATCTCCAGCCTTGTCCTCGTCAACACTCTCACCTGTGTTAATGAGAGAATCACTGACATGATGGCAGCTGGTCCTTTTGTGGCAGGGCTGAAATGCAGTGGAAATGTTTTTGGGGGATTAAGTTTATTTTCATGGCAAAGAGGGACTTTGCAATTAATTGCAATTCATCTGATCACTCTTCATGACATTCTGGAGGATATGCAAATTGCCATCATCAAAACTGAGGTAGCAGACTGTGAAAATTAGTATGTGTCATTCTCAAAACTTTTGACCACGACTGTAGAATTGTTGAATGAGTTTTCTGTAAACAATAGATATTATATTCCTTCTCTTTGAGCCATGTAAATATTGTTATTATTTTGTTATTATCTGCTAAGCCATTACAATTATAACTGGCTATACTAATTTCACCACTTACCATAATGCGATACAAGTTTCAAATCTCTTTCTCACAATATATGTTTGTAAATTTACCAATAAAAAGTACCATAGTGATTGAGTGTCCATATAGCTCTACCATGATATTTGCATTGCTACTAAGTAACCCTCCAATTGTTCTCCACTATTCCCCCCGCTAAAGCCCCTCCCCATCCCAAGTTGGGTTGTCATCCCAGTGATCGGCATACCACCCCTGTCCCCCCAGGCACCCCAGGAGGCCAGGACCCGTCCTTCGAAAACAGCACACAGTGCCACCCACAAAACAGAAGCAGGTCAACAGCCAAAAGCATTTCCAATGCTCTCACCTCAATTAGCTTTTTTAAATATACACTACCGTTCAAAAGTTTGGGGTCACTTAGAAATGTCCTTGTTTTCAAAAGAAATGCATTTTTTGTGTCCATTAAAATAACATCAAATTGTTCAGAAATACAGTGTAGACATTGTTAATGTTGTAAATGGCTATTGTAGCTTGAAACAGCTGATTTTTAATGGAATATCTACATAGGCGTACAGAGCCCCATTATCAGCAACCATCAGTCCTGTGTTCCAATGGCTAATCCAAGTTGATCATTTTAAAAGGCAAATTGATCATTAGAAAACCCTTTTGCAATTATGTTAGCACAGCTGAAAACTCGTCAGTCTATTCTTGTTCTGAGAAATGAAGGCTATTCCATGAAAGAAATTGCCAAGAAACTGAAGATCTCGTACAGCGCTGTGTACTACTCCCTTCACAGAACAGCGCAAACTGGCTCTAACCAGAATAGAAAGAGGAGTGGGAGGCCTCGGTGCACAACTGAGCAAGAGGACAAATACATTAGAGTGTCTAGTTTGAGAAACAGGCGCCTCACAGGTCCTCAACTGGCAGCTTCATTAAATAGTACCCGCAAAACACCAGTCTCAACGTCAACAGTGAAGAGACGACTCCGGGATGCTGACCTTCTAGGCAGAGTTGCAAAGAAAAAGCCATATCTCAGACTGCCCATCTTAATCTTTTATTTTTATTGGCCAGTCTGAGATATGGCTTTTTCTTTGCAACTCTGCCTAGAAGGTCAGCAAAAATAAATTAGATGTATACTTTGTTTTAAAATGTATATCCCTCATCTGCACAAAATTGAAAGCTCTCTCTCACAACCTCTGCTCACACAAATAGGTTCTGGGATATGCAACCATTTCCTTTCTCACTCACTTAACATCACACTTTTCCAAACACAAAAACGCACACCACACCTTCCATCACAATACATCCACACATACTGTGCCTTCTATGTCTTCTGTTTGCTATGTTTTTATCTCCGCTATGTTGATTGAATACTTGCGTTCTAATTAGTTATATTTGAAGATGTATTATTTCGCTTGTTATCCTTTCTTGTAATGCCGTCTTATCTCTTAATAAAATACTATAAATGTTTTATTATTACAATCCCTACCATGGCTAGTATTGGGTGTTCCATTTTTCGACTCCTCTATTAGAACTTTCAGAATAGCCATGGAGTGGTCTTTCTGTCGCGGAACATTTGGTTATCGACTACGAGAGCAACACGCTTCCGCTTTAATCTATTTTCCTTGAAGATTGGGTACAGAACTTTGCACCGTTCTGCAATCTCCCTCGGGAACTGATCATTCAGGCCTATTTTCTCTTGGAGATTGATTCTCCTCGTTTATCCTCCGTCATGTTTGAGTGTTGCTTGTTGTTGTAATATTTGTCGATACATTTCTCTAGCCTTATGATTTGTTTTGTGTTATCATCCAGATTGAATGTTATTACCCACGAGTATATAAAGTGCTCTTATTTAGTCTAACTTATTGATATTGAATATTACGTTTTTATCTTGAGGTGATTCGCACCGCTGTGTGTTCAATACGCCATCTTGTCATGTGACCTACCAAAACTGTGTTACATGGCGCCACCTATGGTTAGCGCAGGCCAAACTCCATTATACACCATTAGAGAACAACCTGCAAAAGATAGTGACGTTAAAAATATCTCCAGTTTCCGTGTGGTTTTTCAGTTGTGTTAGTTACAACAGCCCATAGGCCTACAATCTTATTTCCCCCCTAATCGATATACGTTTTTGGTGTGTGTGCAGTTTATAAGGTGCTCAATTAAAAAAAAGATACAAGTAATACTATTGTTGCACATGTATGAGTAGATAAACATAACATTTACTGTTGTTCTCATTATAATCACGAACTGTTTCTGCATATTGGTTATGTGGGAAATTATTATCTTATATTTTAGATGTGCTGTTAGCTTAATAAGAAAGCATTAATGATCAAACATAATAGGTTTGTACTGTACTGATATAGATTGTTTAATATAACAAGCTGTGATTAATGTGGGGAACCATTAGGGGGTAGGCTGAGATAGGCTTGTGACTCACTCACACAAACACTGCCTCTTTGTTAAACCGCTCAACGACAAAGTACTGCAACATGAAGAAGAAAACTATGTCTGAGGTTGCTGACTTTGTAAAGATAACAACTAATGCCTGGCAACAGTGAAGCGCCAAGGGGCTGGGACCAGCCTGAGCTCCAACGATAGGCTGGGTAAGTTTAAACCAAGCCCAGCCTCTACTCTGATAGGCCTGCCTGAAGCAGGAACTACCTCTGTCAGAGTATTTAAAGAAGAACTTATAACAATGGCTCAGTTCTCTGACTGCCCTGCGTGGTGTTTCAGTGGACCCGTATATACGAACATCATATTTACCATTGAAGTGTTTTGCATTAATTAAAATACTAGTAAATCTTAGAAGACGTGTGTTCACCTCTTTTTGTTCCTATACCAGATTTGAATTGACGCAACTTAACAGTTAGGACACGTTAACTGTGTTTTGACATTGGGATATTTATCAATATGTCTTGTTAACAGGAAGCAGCGACAGAATAATTTTGTTTCCTTCTGTTTTAGTAATATAAAATTGAACTTTCAACATTAATTTCCAATGGTATTGTACTTAATCAGGTAAAAACTGCTGAATGAGTCCAAAAACGTCCTGCGATTGGTTTATTTTGATGATATACCAGAAATCACCAAAAAGGGTTTGCCCTACCTACTAATGGCACGTATAATTAATCAAACATAATTTCCAAACATGAGTCTGTTGTAGACCCATGCAGTTCCTCAGAGGTCAGTTCCTCTCTGCTTACACCATGTCAAAATAAAACTCCCCCACAAGTTCTTGCTTTTCTGTGCAGGTATGGCGCACATGCAGGACTTTTATTTTGACAGTGAGCGGGAGAGGAAGTGAGTCTACAACAGACCCACGTTTGATTTATGTTTTATTTAGATGTTTTTTTCTCTCGATTCCCCACCCCTGCATAAGAACCAACCCTTCGGATAATCGGCAGAGTAAGTTGAAATTGAATTTTATTTCACTTCTGTCTTCCGGCAGACTATTCCGTTATTTTGTAAGCTATTTCCTAGCTAAACTAGTGTGTAAATATAGTGTTGCTAAAAGCAGGTAGCTTCTAGTATTCAGAAAACCAGAAAGTGTTAGAAAGCCAAGCACAGACGTATGAATATGCAAAACTTTGAGAGTTAGTATTCATTTGGCAATGAAGTGTTAGGAAATAATGTAACATGAATGAATTTCGTACTCACCTGTCGGTGTCATCTTTCAGAAAACCGAGTTGCAACGTTTTCAGAGCGCTTTGCAGCCTGTGTTTGCCGATACAGCGACTGCGTAGTGAGCATGCTTCAGCTACGCAGTTATGACGTCTAACACTTGCGACGAAAATCAACACCTTTTTTGCTAGCATCACCAGACCATCAGCATAGATGCCTTTCTAATATCACTCTGGCACCACCAGCTACTGCAAGGAACACCTGAAGCAAAGGCAACTGGTAAGGATAATTTTTGCTAGCTAACATTTGTGTTATCGTCTGTTGTGTTGTGTGTCATAATGTTTCGTTATTTAAACCACATGTCAATGTCAACGAAATGTTATTGGCGTCATGTCAGAAAAGCTATCTAATACTAAGTTGGCTAGATAACTAGCTAACGTTATTTAGCTACAAACTAGATAGATAGCCCTAGCTAAGATATCCACGTAGCTAAGCTTAATCAGTTCCCATGCACGTAAGCAAAACTATACAGCTAGCTTGTTAATTTGGCAATAGTATTCACGGAGTGCTTTCACATTAGCTCTGTTAGCCTTATTAGCTAGCAGCAGCCGACCATAAGTAACTTGCTAGAACATTCTAGCTAGCTAGCGACGTCTTGCCAAGTTATCAAATGTACAAGCTAACGTTACCTAGTTATTAGCCTAGGATTAAGAAGTTAAGCTATCTAAACAGATGACATGGTAACGTGAAGGTTTATTTGTTATAATACCGATATGTCTCCGCTAAGTTAACGTTACTGTTGTAACTACCTACAATATATTCCAACCAGTTTACAATGGAGATGTACTTATAACATAATCTTATCTCTTTCTTCTTCAGGGTCCCTCACAATACACATTCTACTGAGAGGTTTGGACCTCAATCCAAAATGACTGACACAAAGCGTCTTGCCTTCTCCATCATTCAGTTTCTTCATGATCAACTGGGCTCTGGGAGTCTATCGTCAGATGCTCAGGAAAGTTTAGAAGGTAAGTTTGAGTTGGGAAGCCAAGATTCAGTACAAGGAGATGAGCTCTCAGCCTATGTTGGAAGATGGTCAGGGACTCAACTGTGTCCAGTCATTTCCATTTCTCAATATCTGATGCTTTCTTAGTTGCAGTCCAATGCCTGGAGACAGCCTTCGATGTCTCGACCGACGACCAGACCCTAGCTGTCACTCAAACGTTACCAGAGATTTTTGCCTCTGCGACACTGAAGGTAAACTGAAAAGACATCCACTTTATATGAAGGTGAATATGTGGTCAATAGGTTTTTGTCTCAAATGTGTTGACTGTCTGTTGCAGCATCCAAACACCCCCCACGTGAAAATAAACACAGCCACAGATTCCCCCACTGAGGAGGAAGTAGCAGAGGCTGAGCGACTCAAAACTGACGGTAGGACCTTCCCTGTAAATAGTTTGTACATTACTCAGTCTTTATTATAAGCTCTCTTCAAATGTGTCAATGGTTAAGAGCTGTTGATAGGCCTATACTTTCGTCTGGCTAATAATTTTTTTTTTTTCATGGCAGGCAATGATCAAATGAAGGTTGAGAACTATGGGGCAGCTGTGGAATTCTACTCAAAGGCTATTGCCATAAACCCCCGGAATGCAGTTTACTACTGCAACAGGTATTGACCAACAAACTCCTGAACTTGTAGGATAATATGACAATTAGATACACATTGTGTATATTTTGTCGATTTCCAGGCTCTGTCGTAGCCGGCCGCGACTGGGAGGCCCATGGGGTGGCGCACAATTGGCCCAGGGTAGGGGAGGGAATGGCCGGCAGGGATGTAGCTCAGTTGGTTGAGCATGGCGTTTGCAATGGCAGGGCTGTGGGTTCGATTCCCACGGGGGGCCAGTATGAAAAAAATTATGTATGCACTCAGTAACTGTAAGTCGCTCTGGATAAGAGCGTCTGCTAAAATGACAAAAATGTAAATGTATGCAGTTTTCGTCAAGCAATGAAAATGAATTCACATTTTTGTTTTTATGTAAGGTACTGCTAATTGTACGGTTTGCTTTTGTTAGGGCTGCTGCATACAGCAAACTAGGCAACTACGCTGGAGCAGTGCAGGACTGTGAACTTGCCATTGGGATTGACCCAAACTACAGCAAAGCATATGGAAGAATGGGGTATGTTAGACATTAGTGTTCAATATTACTGTGGACATGGGCCAGTGTGTTGCTGATTTGTTATTGACTGATGGTTGACTTACATTGACTTCAACGTCCCATGCTTCCAGTTTGGCTCTAGCCAGTTTAAACAAACACACAGAAGCTGTAAGTTATTACAAGAAAGCCCTGGAGTTGGACCCAGAGAACGACACCTACAAATCCAACCTGAAAATAGCAGAGCAGAAAATGGAGACTCCAAGCCCAGTAAGTTGATAACATCTCAACCACTATGGAGAATACATATCAGCTGTACACATGTGTAATGTATCATTGTTGATCATGTTGTTCTTTCTTATCTCCTTCAGACAGGGGGAGTGGGAGGAGTTGATCTGGCTGGTTTGCTCAGTAACCCTGGTTTCATGAACATGGTGAGTTCCATTTATTAAAACTGGCCCTTTCAAATGGAAAATACTAGGAACAACAAGGCAGATACAGGATAATACTATAATGCTGTGTTCATAACAAATGGGAAACTCAGCAAATACTACTTGTAAACTGGGAGCAACAAGTTGTGTGCATTCAAGTGCTTTGAACTTGTAGAGATTGGCAAATGGCAAACAAGCTGTGTCAACCATAAACGAAAAGTACAGCTATCACACAAGTAAACAAATTAGTGTTCAAAACCCATATAAATAGATTGTTTTTTAAATATCATTTGTTGTTGGAATTAACTGCTGAAATGCTGTTATCAAGTTAATTTCCTTAATTGGTGGTGTCAGAGTTCAGCATGTGGGAGAAGTCGGAGCTTAGGGATGATAGACGAGTTTCCCACTAGTAATTACAAGTTGTAGGGGGGTTGAAGTGGATTTTTACCAGTTGTATGCTCGTATTTATGAGATGTCATGAACGCAGCATAATGCTGCATTCATCACACAAGTGGGAAACATGCTGCTTTCAAGACAACTTGGAACTGTGAAAAAACAAGCTCCAAGGGAGGAAAAAAATAGATTTGAACGGTCATCCAACTCGGAATTACAAGTAGGAAACTCGGGCATCATCATAGAGCTCCGACTTCTCCGTCATGAAAATCACTGACGTCACAGCAACAAAAAACATGGCGACCTTCGTTTATGGTAAAAAAAAATATGTATTGTCACCTTATGCATTTCCTCTCTTCTTCAAACAATTTAGCAGGAAGTTTATAGCATCTCTGCAGGTGTTTTTGTGCTCTGCACGAAGCCAAACAAACAAAAGTTTCCCACAGGCGTCCATGTTTTAGTAATTATGAGTTGGAGGGGCATTCAAGTGGATTTTTCCCAGTCGTATGCTCATATTTACGAGACGTCATGAACACAGCATATGTAGAAAAGGTTTGCCAAAGAGTAGAACTCATATTGACATTAATTGTTACGGCTGCTTTATCCTAGGCATCTGGTTTGATGAACAACCCACAAGTACAGCAACTGTAAGTTATCCATTAATTTTCTATCAAATACATTCTCTTTTTAGATGTAGCGCAAGGACTTCGTAAATGCACTCTGAGATTCCATAATTACTTGTGAAATGTAGGTAGCTTTTAGAGTTAATGCATGTAGAATATACCACCTTTCTTGTCTGTGTTGTACAGGATGTCGGGGATGATGTCAGGGGCTTACGGGCCAATGGGACCTCCAGCAGCGCCTGGAGTAGGGCCTGGCTTAGGTGCAGGACCAGGGCCTGTACCAGGGTTAGGGTTGGGAGCCGGACCGGCAGCAGGAGTTGGAGTAGGGGGAGCGGGTCCAGGTGACATCTCTGGTCTCATCCAAGCGTAAGTCTACCACTAGCTCTACTCAGTCTGTGCCAAATATTACTTGTGTATTATATTATTTGTTATTACATTAGGCTATATTATTGTATGCTATACCAATGACATCAGTTATAAAGACATGAAAACGTTTGACATGTATGAGTGTTAATAAAATGCACTGATTAATGTATTACTTTTTTTGTGACTTGTACTTGGTAACTGCCATTCCATCACCTCGCTGTAACCATGTTTTTATTTAGGGGCCAACAATTTGCGCAGCAGATGCAACAGCAGAACCCAGAGCTAATTGAACAGCTGAGGAGTCAAATTCGCAGCCGGCCGCCTAGCGCTAGCAACGATGAGCAACCTTGACCCGCAGACGGGTAAGATTAACATTTTAAAATGACATTTGATTATGGGTTGGTCCATGTATCGTAGAGTTGTTTTTCTGTTGTACAAATTGCACATGTAGCTAATCCTAAAACAATCTGCTCTTTGTTTTCTGACAGAGGAAGATTTGTGTGTGGAAAAGTGAAGACCGCCATTGTCCTTTTTTATCAGTTGTATTATTCTCACAACTCTGGGGACAAAAAGCTTTTCATCACTGAGTAATTATTGCATGTGCACCCCCCCTTCCAAGGAAACCGATCAGTAAAACTTTGCAGAAATTATCGAATTTGATAAAACCGTTGTCAACAGATATCTAGTCTGAGGTGTCTGGTTTGAGTGGAACGTCACCTCGGTTGTACTCCAATCTGCAATGTCACACCAATGTAGCACTTGGTTTAACTGTTTAATGTTACTAATCCTTGCTAGTGAACTGTTGTCAAAACTGAATCACTACCCCTCCAGTGGACTAAATGCAGTTGCATCACTTGAGTTTTGTCATTTCAGTTACACAACAACAAATTATTATGTGATGATACAGTTCAGCAGCCACCTCAATTTGAGAAGCATCTATTTGTACAGAGATATACTGGTAGGCAGGGATGGCATGTAGAGTACTGTCAACATTATGGGAATTAAATGGAACATTTCAAATAGGACCTTATGGTTGTTGTCTATTGTAATCCAGGAGTTGTTTCAGCATTTTTCTTGAGTTGCAGGATAACATCTCCAGTCCACTTTGTTCTTATTTTGTCATGAGAAATGTCAGTGTCAAATTAGTTTTTTTCTAACATGGGTGGCTGTCTGTTTTTGTTCCCAATCTTTGATTAAATCATACTGGTAACTTAGCCTAACATGTTTGCTTGATTGTAAACCTATTGTTTGTTTATTTCAACTCAGGAAGTGAGTTGAAATTCAATTCATGAATATATTTTCTAAATGGAATTTTCAATTCATCAATTGAATTTCAATTATTTATTTGAATTGACTGAAGATGGAATTGACGCCAAGTATCCTATGTGCACTGAAACATACATCTAAAAACTGCATTGCATGGTGAGATTGATATATTTAGCACTTTTTGGGGGGTATAAATGTACAATCAGAAGTTTAGCATTAAGTTACAGCAGAGAACTCACTCAAATGGAGACCTCTGTTTACAAAAGCGTTTTCCTCGAAACGTCATCATTTAATGACATGCTCTCCACCAATCAAACTTTTACGGCGTGTGAACAGGAAGTGTCACGAGAACGAGGAAGAAAGGTGTACTACAGAGGTATTTCATATTTCTCATAAAAAAGCTCGATTAAAAACTAGCTATATTCATTGTATTATTATTTACTCGTGTACGATGTAACTGCTGACAAAGCTTGCAATGTGATCCAAATTATTAATGATAACTATTGTAGCATCCACTTAGAAAGCTGTGTTTTATCAACGGGTCGCTCAGATAATTAGATAACGTTATGTTGCCATGCGTGCAAGGTTAGCTAACTAAATTGGCAACAATCTCACATTTTGATTTTATTATGCTACATGTCGTCTGATATGTACATATCTATACTTGTTTTGCAATATTAAAGATTGTGCTTTGCAACATTCAAGATTGCAAATCTAGCTAGTTATCGCAGCTGTGATGAGCTTGAATCAGTTCAAACCAGTTGAAGTGGGCATAGTTTAGCTCTCTGTTCTAGTTTGTAACTAATTGTCACTACAAATACATCTCACAGTTGACCTAGTTAGTTTGTTTGCAAATATTTGACAGTTTCATTTCTCATTTGTAGTTGATGTCACAGCTGGAATTGCCTTTGGGACCAGGATGAACAGACTACTCTCTGTTCCTGACAGAAAATAGGAGAAGAGGCTTTGAGGGTTCTGTGCCACAAATATTACTGAGCAATACCATATCTGGACATCATGGAGCTTGTAGTGGCCAAGGTCCTTTGCCTTCTGGGGGTGTTTGCCCTCATGTTGGCTGGGATTCTTGTCCCAGTGCGCCTCATGATTCAGGTGGACTATGGAAAAGCTGAAAGGTACAGGAAGGCTCTTGCACTCTGCAATTCTTTTGGAGGGGGTGTATTTCTGGCCACTTGCTTCAATGCTCTTTTGCCTGCCGTACGAGACAAGGTAGGTAGCTATGTCTTGAAAATATTAGCTTTTGCAGATGAAAAGGTTGATTGGTTTATAAAATCTCTTTGTTGCCTCCTCCTATAATCATGTCCTTTCAGAAGTAGTTTGGAAGACCGAAGCCCTGTTGAGAAGCCCCCAAAATGTATTCTGACAATACGTCAAAGCCTCAACCTTTTTTGCTGTTGTAGAATAGAAGCAGAATGTTTATGCTGATGTTCATTTACTGAGTGTCTCTTCCTTAGGTGGACGAGGTCCTTCATCTGGTGACTATCACCACAGACTACCCACTGGCAGAGACCATGATGATGCTGGGCTTCTTCCTCACAGTCTTTGTGGAGCAGGCAGTGCTCACCTTCAAGAAGGAGAAGCCATCTTTCATTGACCTGGAAACTTTCAACGCAGGGGGCTCTGAGGCTGGGAGCGACTCTGAGTATGACACTCCATTCATCTCCCCCACCCGGGGCTCCCCTGTGGGCCGCCACCACCACCATGGGCATCACCATGGACACCTCAGCCCCACCGAGCTAGCCAGAGCTGGGCCTCTGCGGCTGGCCAGCCTGGTCCTGGCTCTCTCTGCCCATTCTGTGTTCGAGGGGCTGGCCCTGGGCCTCCAGGAGGACGGGGCCAAGCTTGGAAGTCTCTTCCTCGGGGTGGGCATCCACGAGACCCTTGCTGCCGTGGCTCTGGGGGTGAGTGTTGCCAAAGCTGCTTTGCCCATGAGGGATGCCATCAAACTGGGTGTGACGGTCAGCCTCATGATCCCCATTGGCATCGGACTGGGCATGTGCATCAATAGTGCCCAGAACCTGGCAGGCAGTATTGCCTCTGTGGTGCTCCAAGGCCTGGCTGCTGGAACTTTCCTCTTTGTCACCTTCTTTGAGATCCTGTCTCGGGAGCTGGAGGATAAACATGACAGACTGCTTAAGGTGCTCTTTCTCATACTGGGCTATGGGGTACTAGCAGGCCTAATGTTAATCAAATGGTAATGGACAGAAGAGGCCTTTTTAATGCACTGAGTTGTCTATGATTATCACACTGACCACAATTTGTATTGTGTGCACATCAGCACTACCAAATTAAACGTTTTATTTGGTAAAGGGGAACAGTAAATCAAGTATCATCGTTTTTTTCTTTGCACTGGAACATGTTTGCTTACCAAGTCAGGCTATGTTACAGTTTTAGTTTCTGCCATAGGGATTACTTAATGCTCCTGACATTGATTAGTAATGGTAAAGCTAGTCACTTTGATAGTATATGTTTCCAGAGACAGGATTAAAACTGATGTAGAGATATCAGGAAAACTACTTCATAGCATTTATAGTAAAGACGCTGTTGTCTTATTGGCATTTTGGCAGTGAAGTGAACTACTTGTAACATAAAGGAAACCTTTATCGAAGAAAATGTGCTACTTGCAGTGATATGTTACTGATATAAACATATTGATGTTTGTGGTTGAAGGATATAATGGTGGTTAATATGAAGTGGTTCATATTGTCCCGTCTGCTCTATGTACCTTCTGTTTCCATGATCAGTATGCTATGTGTTAAAATATGTGCATATTTCAATGTACAATTTTCATATGTAAACATGATTTGTTTTATTGTCTGTGGGTGTAAGTGTTTCCTAGCATTAATGGCTCAATACAGAGTTGAGAAAAATGTGTGCAAGACTTTTGCGTAAATCATTATTATTAATTGAAGTCAATGGGAGACTTCAGAGAATCCTAATCAGGTCCTCTGTAGCTCAGCTGGTAGAGCACGGCGCTTGTAACGCCAAGGTAGTGGGTTCGATCCCCGGGACCACCCATACACAAAAATGTATGCACGCATGACTGTAAGTCGCTTTGGATAAAAGCGTCTGCTAAATGGCTTATTATTATTATTATTATTATTATTATTATTATAATAAATAAGAACCAATTCACTGGAAACCGTTTGTGTAGCCTGGTGTATGGTTCTGATATCTATTGTCACATTGAGATTATATCCATGGTGTCCTTTTCAAGATTTTATTTTAACACGGTTTATGTTAACAGGGAGTCACATTGAGACTCATGTCTCTTTTTATGAATTATGGGGTACAGATATGATATGAGCAGTAGAGTCTGTCTATTATATTTTGTCTTTGCCACAGTTAGCTTTGACAGATAATTTTACACAGCTTAGAGGAATACCATTGTCACCTAAAACATGTTTTTTACTAATGTGAATGTGTAGTACTTTACATGTTTTGCAGAAGCCACTTACTGGAGGAAGCCTACTGTAAACGGTACATTTGTAAAGTTCCATCCTTATTGTACTCTTATTGTACTGTTCAAACGTATTGTAGGGCAGTTACATATTGAATGTGTCCATGTCAATTTGTGCTTTTTAGGGTCTTTAAACAAAATAACTTTCATTATTATGAAAATGGTTTTTAATGCTGTCTTCCAAAATTATTTTTCTTCAGTTGCAACCAGATTTCCTTTATATAATGAACAGAGAAATGCAAATAAGTTATGACTTTTATATAACAACATGGGGAAGGTGATGGTTAAATACATTATTTATATAATATAAAAAATTGCAGTCCTTCAATGAAAACTGTTTGCAATGTGACACATTTGTACCTCTTCTTTTTATATATATATATATATATATAATCAATATATATATAATGTGTGTATATATAAATATATACTGTATATTCCATGTTTGGCTGTGAGGGTTTTCATTTTAATTAAATTGAATTGAGCACTAAAGAAACCCTTACTCACACCTTGACCAGACAAATCTGTTCCTTTATCATATGTGGTTCATGTTTTAGAAACATGTTGCAATCAGATGAGCAGTACCACAAACTATTTTGACCTTGGATGGTTTAGGTGTGATTTCTGAGAATTAGCTCTGTTTTCGAAAGGAAATGCCCATATACACTGTACAAAACATAAAGAACACCTTCCTGATATTGAGTTCCACCCCCAACCCCCCCCTGTTTTGCCCTCAGAAGAGCCTCAATTCGTCGGGGCATAGACTACAAGGTGTTGAAACCATTCCTCAGGGATGCTGGCCAATGTTGACTCCCAATGCTTCCCACAGTTGTGTCAAGTTGGCTTGATGTCCTTAGGGTGGGGGACCATTCTTGATACACACGAGAAACTGTTGAGTGTGAAAAACCCAGCAGCATTGCAGTTCTTGACACAAACCAGTGCACCTGGCACCTACTACAATACCCCATTCAAAGACTGTTAAATATTTTGTCTTGCTCATTCACACTTTGAATGGCACACATATACAATCCATGTCTCAAGGCTTAAAAATCCTTCTTTAACCTGTCTCCTCCCCTTCATCTACATTGATTTGGAGTCGATTTAACAAGTGATATCAATAAGGGCTCATAGCTTTCACCTGGATTCATATGGTCAGTCTATGTAATGGAAAGAGCAGGTGCTCTTACTGTTTTGTAAACTCTGTGTATATTTAGATGTGATTTCCTCCATTCCGTTGGTGAACTAGCTACTGGCCAAACTATTGTGTCTAACCTGTAGTGCAACCTAACTATTTACATTCACACCTTCAATAACATGTTCCAAATGGCGCTCTTCCAAGTAAAGAGGTGTCAGGACATTTATTAGGATTCCCATTAGCTGTTGCGAAAGCAGCAGCTACTCTTTCTGGGGTCCACATGAAGCATGACATATTACAGAACATTGATAGGCAAGAACAGCTTGATGTGATAACTAGAATTGGCAGTTCTACAGTAGGATAATTTACAAAGATCGTTTGAGCCTCCTGTTAAATATGTCTACATGGTCAGAAGCCTGGGTTTGAGACAATGCCCCGTTCAGGATGTCAAAAGTTCAACTTTAGCTAATTACAGAGTGGGTCATTCAAAGGCACTTAAATATTTTGTCTTGCCCATTCACTCTTTGAATGGCACACATATACAATCCGTGTCTCAAGGCTTATATTGTCTTATTCTAATACAATTGCTCAGAGAAAGAGATTTTGTTTAACAAGTAATACTTTTTTTCTCAAAGGCAGGGGTCAGAATGATTGACACCCCTGTTTTCAATACCTCACCTTTCGAGAATAACTGCACTGAGCCTTTTTCTAAAATGTTTTATGAGTTGGAGAACACATTGGGAGGGATCTTAGACCATTGCTCCATACAGAATCCTTCCAGATCCTTGATATCCTTCGTCTGCTTATGGACTGCCCTCTTCAATTCAAACCACAGTATTTACATTTTAGTCATTTAGCAGACTCTCTTATCCAGAGTGTCTTACAGGAGCAATTACGATTAAGTGCCTTGCTCAAGTGCACATCAACAGCTATCAAGTCCGGAGACTGAGATGGCCATTTTTTTGGCCAATTAACAATTTCTTTGTGGATTTTGATGTGTGCTTGGGGTTATTGTCTTGCTGGAAGATCCACTTGCAGCCAAGTTTCAGCAACCAGGTTTTTGGCTAAAATGTCCTGGTACTGGATAAAGTTCATGATGCCGTTGACCATAAGGGGGAATTCAACCAAATTACAAATTCACCTCACCATATTAATACCTAGAAATACTGCAAAACATCATCAGTCACTGACTCTCCAGGTCCATACATTCTATCTGTGAGATATTAACTCCACTCCTCATAACTTAATGCAAATTAATCAGTATAGATTGGCAACAGGAAATATTACTGCTGTTCTGTGCTGGACCAAAGTATACCAAAATGCTTACATTTGACAATAAATACTGTCACTTAGTTGCACCCAGCTGAAGATGGAGCCCATGTAGACTACATTGTAGGTGTCCATGAGGTTAGGTAAGTATAGCTAAATTGGATAAAGCATTCCTTTAAACTTAATATTGCTTGATTTTGTCAGTATAGGACAATGCCAACAGAATATAAAATGTATTAACATTATAATGTTATATGTTAATAGAATGTTATAATATGTTCATTATTATGTAGCGTTTGTAGATCATACAGATACAGTGCCTAGTGAAAGTCCACACACCCCTTGAACAGTCTTAACATTTTGCAGCCTTAAAATTAAACCTAAAAACGATTACATTGTATTTTTTTCCTAATCTACAACCTGCTAATATTTTTAAAGTGAACGAAAATTATAGAACATTTTCACACACCAAAAATGAAGCTGTCTTGATAGCGTATGTCTTCACACCCCAAAGTTATTTCTTGGTGGAAGCACCTTTGAAAGGCATTCCAGCTGTGAATCATTTTGAAAAAGATTCTACCAACTTTGCACAACTCTTAGGGCAACATTATATCCATTGTTTTTGGCTTTGCTCCTTTCATATTTATTTTGATCTTGAAAAACTCCCCAGTCCCTGCCGGTGACAAGCATACCCATAACATGATGCTGCCGCCACAATACTTGAAAATACAGAGGGTTTCACTCTGTGTTGTATTGGATTTGACCCAGACCTGTAGTTTTTAATTTAGGCAAAAAAGTTAATTTCTTTGCTGTGTTGTCTTGCAGTATTACTTAACGGCCTTGTTGCAAACAGAATGGTTGATTTGGAGTGGATTTCATAACACAAGCTTCCTTCTTTTCACTTTGTCATACAGGCCAGTAATGTGGAGTTAATGCAATGTTGTTGATCCTCTGTTTTTTCAAGTATTGTGGTAGCAGCATCATGTTATGGGTATGCTTGTCACCGGAAGGGGCTGGGGAGTTTGTCAGGTTCAAAATAAACATGTAAGGAGCTAAACCGGTTGTGTAGATCGGTAGGGGGGAAATGTAATTTAATCCCTTTTTAGATTTAAATTTAAGGCAGCAGAATGTGAAGACTGCAAGGGCTATGTAGACGTTCACTAGCGACTGTAACTGTAAATCCACAGACAACATTCAGGGACACATTAAGAAGATCTTGAATTAATTAAAGACCTTTTGCCACACATCTAGGTGAAAAGGTGGCACAGCCACTTTCCAGGCCTCTCAAACCAGTTGCCCAGTTGCATTTTCCATCACTTACCTGTTGGCTGACCTTTTCTCCTACATGTCTTATCATGCTGTGTGACCCACTAAATGTATGTTCCTCACAATTTCCTTTTCCTTCTTTCCCTTAGCTTTGACAATTGGACTCAATACTCAAATGCAGCCAGCTTCTAATAGCCTGTGCAGGGTTTGACTGGATTGCAGCCATGCGTTTGTTTTGTTAACTAGAACAAAATTACAATCAAACCTTATGAGATTGACCTTAAGAAATATTAATCTACTGGTCCTTAGAAGTTTGAGATTGGGTCAGTTCCATTGGGATCAGTTGATAAATTAGATTTAAATTACAATTTCGATAAAATATGGCCCTGGCGCAGAATTGTTCAGTTTGGCAGTGCATGTGAGATTTAGTTTTCTTTGATAAGAGACTATTATGATGACAACTTCGAACTGGAGCAGATTTGGGGTGAAGCTGCAGGGCTGGAACCATGTGGGACCTCATACGGTAGCTGAGGCGTCATGCACCCCAAATATCTGAGGGAGCACAAAGTACGTGAGGGTGGTCTGGAGGGGGGCTAGGCCACCCGACGGTAAATTGGAGGATTTAGCATTCTAACCCTAACACCTGAAACAGCTAGAGCCAATCATTAAGCCAATGTATTATTCTGCATATCTAAGCTCTTGAGCTGTCTGTATCCTCCAGACAGCTGGTTCTTTTTTTAAATAAACGAAATATGCTTCTCTGCATCTTTGCTAAAATCTGGGTAAAAGATTGAATGGATTGTGAGTCTTATTCAGTACATTAGTTATTGCTTGCTTTTCTAAAGTCTACCAACCTTGCCAGAAGGCATGCCAGCTAAGATAGTTAGACAAGCTAGCTACTCTAACTTGATTGATAGCCTGAAACGGCTTCTTGGTAGTTATGAGGTTGGGAACTTATCTGGGCTAGCTAAAGCTAACTGCATAAAATTGCTAGGTGGCTAGTAGTATTACATTTGACCAATGACAGTAGAGAACATACGGCCTGTTTTGAAGTAAATCTAGCCATGACGACGAGCAGGTGCCATTTGCAATCAAGGGGAAATCTCATTAAGCCGTGACGTTAGCGCGACATGGGAGCCTTCTGCATTCTAAGAATAGCAAGTTCATTAGAGAGCCATCAGCATAAAGGCTGTTCAAACAGCAAAACAAAGAGGCCAGATGGTGGAGTTTTTCCTGGCCACTGTGCTTCTGCTTCCACTTCTGCTTGCTCTTTGAGGCCTAGGCTGTGTTACTGTAATAGAACTTACTGCCGATGTAAAAGGGGCTTTATAAATAAATGGGATGATTGATTGAGATGACAAGATATCAACAATGAAGAAGTATAAAAGCATGGCAGCCTGCTACCTAACAACAAAGACTTGTTAGAGTTTATTACACGCTTGTAAGCCTCTTAGTCCCACATTCTCCCTGACTGTGGGCTTTGGCTGGCTGGCGTTCACTCTGCACAAGCCATGATGGCTTAATCCCCATGTAGGCTAAATGAATCACCCCCTCCAGAAGAAGTTGACTGTCTTTCCAGTGAAAGACTTGGAACTATGGAGGAGCTACTACTGCCGACAGATTGCGAGGAAACACAGTACAACAATAGTTCGTATTCTCCAAGAGGAGACACTGGGGGGAAAACCATGTACGAACGTGTCAAGGCATTCTTACATGGGACGTTCGTCGTTGACTTCAAACAGTGGCTGAGGGAGTACCTGAAGTGCAACGGCCTGCTGACACTCTCAGTTTTTGCCGTGTTGACTGGCTGTCTCCTGGGGTTCATGTTGAGAGGGAGCCATCTCTCAACCCAGGTACGTGGCGCTTTATCACACACTCAGATGCATGTGCAAATGCTGCTTGATTATTTGATGTGCCAGCCAGAGCATACATTGTGTTTGTCCATCTCTCCCTCTTTTCAGATGAGGCGGATCATGACGGTGTTCCACTTAAACACCCATAGAGCTTCTATTTGCATTGCCTTAATGTACTGGAGCATTTCATTGTTGGGTTTTGTGGAAAACCATAGGAGAACATCAACCGCCAGACCTAATGGACCATTGAGAGAAGCTTCTAGTGCACGACACCATCAGCAAATGATGGGACTGAAACCTGAAAAGGGGTGTGCATTAATTGTTATAGGAACAGAGAGCTAGCGCACAGCTAGAAGAGTAGCCCTGGTAGCATGCATTCATCCCCTTGATTGAAAAAGTGGTTGTTAGGGAAGGAGTTAATGACCTACTCAGCAACGTGTTTCAGTTCCTGAGAGGAAAGTTCTCCGCTGATGCAAATGTAGCAGTCTCAACGCATTTGTGGCTGAAGAAATTCTAATCTAGACCATAGATGGTGAACCGATTACTGGCTTCAGAAAAATAATTGCAGCATTTTCTTGGAGAGCAACAGTAGACACCTAGAGAGTTATAGGCCATCTATGGTGCTCATAAGTTTAGGAAGGATAGGTATCATATGCCCACATTATCACGCCCCTCCTGGCCACCTTTACATGAAGACGAAAGGAAAACGATGTTCAGAACAGTAGATGGTTGAGGTCAATCCAAGCTCAGTCCTGTCAGGAGAAGAGGGGATTATTTGATCTCAGATTGAGATTTGGCTTGCCAAAGCAAACATAGCCTAGAGTGTGCTCGATAATCACAGGTGACGCATGACCCAAGGCTGATGTTTGTAAGTGTGGGGAGGTTTAACCTGAGGAAATTACCGTGAGTGTTACTACAAAGCTACACTGAACAAAAATACAAACGTAACATGTAAAGTGCTGGTCCCATGAGCTGAAATAAAAGATCCCAGACATTTTCCATACGCACAAAAAGCTTATTTCTCTCACATTTTGTTGACAAATTTGTTTACTGTACATCCCTGTTAGTGAACATTTTATCCTTTGTCAAGATAATCCATCCACCTGACAGGTGTGGTATATCAAGAATCTGATTAAACAGCATGATCATTACACAGATGCACCTTGTGCTGGGGACAATAAAAGGCCACTCTAAAATGTTCAGTTTTGTCACACAACACAATGCCACAGATGTCTGATGTTTTGAGGAAGCGTGCAATTGGCATGCTGACTGCAGGAATGTCCACCAGAGCTGTTGCCAGAGAAACGAAGACCACGTGTAACCACGCCAGCCCAGGACCTCCACATCCAGCTTCTTCACCTGCAGGATTGTCAGAGGGGGGAGGGGGAGTATTTCTGTCTAATAAAGCCCTTTTGTGGGGAAAACAGATTCTGAATGGCTGGGACTGGCTCCCAAGTGGGTGCACCCCTGCCCAGTCATGTGAAATGCATAGATTAGGGCCTAATCAATTTATTTCAATTTAATGATTTCCGTATATGAACTGCAACTCAGGAAAATCTTTGAAATTGTTGCATGTTGCATTTATATTTTTGTTCAGTATATCTGAGTCACTTAGTCATATATGGCTCTGAGACCTATCAATGCCATCCAAACATTTGAAACCACGTTGATTTATAATTTTTTATCAACACCAATGACTGATGTAAAGCAGTGTTGTGATATCTTGTAATGCAAAAGGAATACCTATGAACCTGATCGAATCAACCAATATTATTCACAGTTATTTCTTTACTATTTTGAAAAACAAGAACAACCTTTTACCTTTTCACAAGGGGTGAATCTGAAAAGCCTTTTCCTCAATTTCCCTTCTCAAAACATTGAAGGAGTAGGTGCATTGGAGGAGAAGGAACCTTTGATCTTCTTCAACGTTCTCCTGACCTCCCTTTAAATATTTGAGAAAGAATCTAGGAGAGAGGACACGAAGAATCAAGCAAAAGGCTTTTGACATTCACCCAAGTGTGTGCTGATGGGTACTTTTTCCTAGAAAAAAAGAATACTTGAAACAAAAATATCTGTCCAACCACTGTAAAGGGTCTCCTGTGGAAAGAGACAAAGTTTTGGAATATGTTTGAAGGTGCTCTTTGGCTCTTTTTTTCAACAATCATCCTCCTCAAATGTTTTAAGTCACCAGCTGCCACTGCTTTGGAGTGAGTGCTTCATCCCTACCTACATTAACATTCATGTTTCTTCTGATTTCCCCTCCAGGCTAAGATTTATTTTTCGTTCCCTGGAGAGCTTCTTATGAGAATGCTCAAAATGCTTATCCTTCCCCTCATCACGTCCAGGTAAACATATGTAATGTCAACTTCTGTCCAGTAATATGGTAGCGTATTCAATCAGCAATAGAGGAATAAAAGTATAATTTGATGTTCACTGTGAATTCCTCTATTGTTGATTGAATATACTTCACACACCACAAAAAATATTCAGCTTCAAAAGTGACTTTTGAAAATGCATTTGAGAAAAGTGCATAACTGGACAAGGGGTTAAATGAATTGGAGAGAATGCTGACTGCAGGATGACTTTTGATGTTGTCATCACACCTCACTCACCCATTGATAGTAGCTACCCCCTACAGACAGGCAATGATATCACATCTTCATTGAAGTTGAATGGGGCTTAAAAGATTAAACAAAACAAGACTTTGCATTTTAACTAGATTTCAATAGATTCCATATGGTCTACATAATATGACAGGTTCCAGTTATATTACAACTGTCAGATAGTATATAGCCTCTGCCGAGTCAACAACAACTGGATATTCCGGTTTTCAGGGGAAATGGAAACAAGGGAACGCTCCATCTTAACTCCTCCTCCACATTTACTGGATTGGTTGAACAGTGCAGAAGAGAACCTCCACCCACAGTTTTTTTCTTCTTCTTGTCAAGACCAGTATGGAGGGGATCTAGTTTCAGGCATTTAATTTATGCCTGCTATGTTTGGTTACATAGTATAGGACGTAGTACTTACAACAAACACTTGAAAAGGTGTCCTGCCAATGTTCATTAGATCTCACTTAGGTCCACACTCTCTCCTGGTCAATCTCCTTAGTTTCATTTCATCACTCACTAGAATGGAACCATATTTCAGTACCAATTTAGGCACCTGAGCAATTATTGGGCCATTTCTATTGCATGTTTTCATCATTTGATCCTAACCAATCCTCTCTCTTTTTTCTCTCTCTACAGTTTAATGTCAGGCCTGTCGTCTATGGAGTCTAAAGCCTGTTGTCGTATGGGTGTTCTCACTGTGACCTACTACCTGTGGACCACCTTCATTGCGGTGGTGGTGGGTATCCTGCTGGTGATCATCATCAAGCCCGGGGTGGGCACTGAAATGGACAGCAACAGGCTAGGAGGAGGGCCCGTCATGACTTCTGCTGATGCCTTGCTAGATCTCATTAGGTGAGTGACCAATAAAGATAAACCAGAAGCATAATTGAAGCTTGAAAATATATATATATAGGCGCACAATTTCTACTTAAAATACCAAAGGGACGCAAAAGGCACTCAGTCGTGGAATAACCCAACTATATCTTCAGTCTAGGGACAAACAATATACAATACATATAGTCTAGGAACAACCAATATCTTCAGACTTATTGCAAGCAAAAGCTAAGACAGTATTCAATCAATTGCAGACATAGCCACATGAAGTAGGTGTGCTGAAGGTGCTGCAGCACCCCCTGAAAAATCTGATTGTGTTATTTTTATTCATACAAAAAATATATATATTTTTGACATTTTTCTTTTTTCACTAAAGTAGTGCACTTGGCCTTAACTAGTCCTGTATTAGCGGGTCAATATAGCCATCTGTAGCACGGGCAAAAAAATCGCTGCACCCCCCGCCCCCAAACATCTTCCCACGGCTATGACTGCAGATATCGATTTCCAGAAAGTGCTTTCAGGAGTAAGTTGGATTTGTTACAGCAGTGTGTCCTGGATGAAGGGAGTTGACACTAGATTTAGAAACTGTCAGTCCTGTGGTGTGGCCCCATTCAGTGCTGATGACAAATCTAGCACCCACAACCAGACTGCCAATTTCAACAGTGAGCTCCAAAAGTATTGGGACAGTGACAATTGTGTTGTTGTTGTTTTGGCTCTGTACTCCAGCACTTTGGATTTGAAATGATATAATGACTACAAGGTTAAAGCGGAGACTGTCAGCTTTAAGTTCAGAGTATTTTCATCCATATCGGGTGAACTGTTTAGATATTACAACACTTTTTGTAGATAGTCCCCCCATTTTAGGGGACCAAAAGTATTGGGACAAATTCACTTATATCAAAACATTTATTTTTCACATACACGTGTTTAGCAGATGTTATTGTGGGTGTAGCGAAATGCTTGTGCTTCTAGCTCTGACAGTGCAGTAATATCTAACAAGTAATATCTAACAATTTCACAACATATACAGTACCCAATACACACATAATAATACATAAAAACACAAAATACCGCAAAGTTTCCTAAGAGCTAGTCGCGAGGACACCTTCTTCGTCGGCGCCAATCAAAGTTTGTATACTAAAGTAGTAAAAAGTTAAGTATTTGGTCCCATATTCATAGCATACAATGACTACATCAAGTAAAACAAATTCTAAAGCCATCATTTCCTGAATTGATCGAATTAGGATATATTGACTCCAGTCCTATAGGCCTAATATGCATTCTACTACCTATTGTTGTCTATGCTTGGTAGTCCCACGCAGTAGCAACAACTGTCTCAGGAGGTTGGGACACACACACACACAATCCAGTTAAATGACAGGGGTGATTAAGGTATTTTTAGTAATCCAAAAGGGATGATTTACAGATTAACCCAGTCATGAACAGTGAAGATACAATGATCTTGGTGGAGGATCGCTTCACTGGCACACGTCAGGAGGGCTTCTGGCTCGTGCCTGTCTGAAAGTACTTCCCTCTTTTAAGAGCCCTCACAGGAGTGGTCTGCCCTCTTCATCCACTTGTTAATTTAACCTCTGACATTGCAGAGAAAAGAGAGGAATAGAGGAGAGCAAGAGTAAAAACTGATAACGTAGGGGGCAAATTGCCTCTACTGTGTTCACTGATATAAAACTAAGACACTTCACAAGTTCTTCATTTCTTTGCAAATGCATAGTAATTGTTTCAAATGCATAGAATATGTTTGTATTGTCAAAAAGCTGCACTTTATGCAAACATACTGTACATCAAAAGGTATATACATTCTGTGGAATACACATCAATGATTAGACTGCAGGGGACCACTTTCCTTTGCATGGCTCACAAATTATTGTAACAATTCAAAAGGTTGAAAAAGGATGTTATTCATGATAATCATACTTATCAAGTTGGAATTATTATGATTCCCTCTTATATGGTAATAATTACACTTGACCTTACTGATACTGATCATGAATGAATGGCCATGTGTTTTACCCTTACTGTATGCACCAACATATCAACATGCTAAGCTAAATTATAACATTATCTTTTTACAGGAATATGGTTCCTTCCAATCTTATTGAGGCGACATTTCAGCAGGTAACACCAGACCAATGCTAATGTACAGTATGACACATATAGAGTGACTTCAGAAAGTATTCACACACCCTGACTTTTTCCACATTTTGTTGTGTTACAGCCTGAATTTAAAATATATTTAATTAAGATTTTGTGCCACAATACCCCATCAAAGTCAAAGTGGAATTATGTTTTTAGACATTTTTACAAATTAATTAAAAATGAAAAGCTGAAATGTCTTGAGTCAATAAGTATTCAACCCCTTTGTTATGGCAAACCTAAATAAGTTCAGGAGTAAAGATTTGCTTAACAAGTCACTTAATACGTTGCATGGACTCACTCTGTGTGCAATAATAGTGTTTAAGACCCCTTAAGGTATAAAAAAAATAATAATAATGTTTTATCAAAAATTGAATTTGCCATTACTGCTATTAGCCAATAGAAACGCATTGTATAGCATTCACACTACATGGAACAACAGATAGTCCCCCCATAAATCAAAAGAACGTTTGTTCTGAAGTGTCTGTCCTATATCTGAGAGATATAAGAAAGATCAGAAAACTATAAAAAATGTTTTTTTACACCTTATTTTAGGCACTGAACTATCTCCATATATACTTCCATTCACCTTCAAAAGAGTCTTGTGAGGCCTGTGCCTAGAGCAAAACAACCGACATTTACATGTTTGTGAGAGTCTCACCTTTCCACAGAGGGGTCATATTAGTGTGTAGCCCAAACTGTTCGGACGCTACACACAGAAGTTGGCAGAAGAGGCTGTACCAACTTCAGATGAGTCCCGTGACGCTTGTGGGTGTCGTAGAGCAAACAGAGAACACCATCGTGAGAGTTTGTAGGCCAAACCGTTCGGTAGCTACAGACTTTTTGTGAGAAGACCGATTTTCGGGACGTCTCATGGTCTGACAAACACCGCTCTAGCTCTGCCACCTTTCACCGCAGATGCGGAAGGGCGATATCGGAGGATGCGGGGGATTGAGACACAGCCCATGCCAGATATCGATAGCTTAAACAGACAGATTTTGATGGGGATTTGTGTATTATGTTAATTAGATTTACGCGGGGCCGCGGAAATTGTAGGCTAAGGGTTAACATGATTTTTTTATGATTACCTCATCTCTGTGCCCCAAACATACAATTATCTGTAAGGTCCCTCAGTCGAGCAGTGAATTTCAAACACAGATTCAACTACAAAGACCAAGGAGGTTTTCCAATGCCTCGCAAAAAAAGGCACCTATAGGTAATCGGTAAAAATAAAATAGAAAGCAGACATTGAATATCCCTTTGAGCATGGTGAAGTTATTAATTACACTTTGGATGGTGTATCAATACACCCAGTCACTACAAAGATACAAGCGTTCTTCCTAACTCAGTTGCTGGAAAGGAAGGGAACCTTTAATGGCTGTGATAGGAGAAAACTGATGATGGATCAACAACATTGTAGTTACTCCACAATACTAACTTAAATGACAGAGTGAAAAGAAGGAAGCCTTCACAGAATAAAAAATATTCCAAAACATGCATCCTGTTTGCAATACGGCACTAAAGTAAAACTGCAAAAAATGTGGCAAGAAATTAACTTTATATCCTGAATACAAAGCATTATGTTTGGGGCAAATCCAACACAACACATCACTGAGGACCACTCTTCATATTTTCAAGCATGGTGTTGGATGCATCATGTTATGCGTATGCTTGTCATCGGCAAGGACTAGGAAGATTTTTAGGATAAAAAGAAACAGAATAGAGCTAAGCACAGGCAAAATTCTCGAGGAAAAACATTTTCTGTCTGCTTTCCAACAGACACTGGGAGACAAATTCACCTTTCAGCAGGACAATAACCTAAAATACAAGGTCAAATACACTGGAGTTCTTTACCAAGACGTCATTGAATGTTCCTGAGTGGCCTAGTTACAGTTTTGACTTAAATCGGCTTGAAAGCCTATGGCAAGACTTGAAAATGGCTATCTAGCAATGATCAATAACCAACTTGACAGAGCTTGAAGAATTTTTTAACTAATAATGTGCAAATATTGTACAATCTAGGTGTGCAATGCTCTTAGAGACTTACCCGGAAAGACTCACAGCTGTAATCGCTGCCAAAGGTGATTCTAACTCAGGGTTGTGAATACTTACACTACCGTTCAAAAGTTTGGGGTCACTTAGAAGTTTTCTTGTTTTTGAAAGAAAAGCAATTTTTTTCCATTAAAATAACATCAAATTGATCAGAAATACAGTGTAGACATTGTTAATGTTGTAAATGGCTATTGTAGCTGGAAACGGCAGATTTTTAATGGAATATCTACATAGGCCTACAGAGGCCCATTATCAGCAACCATCAGTCTTGTGTTCCAAAGTTGATCATTTTAAAAGGCTAATTGATCATTAGAAAACTCTTTTGCAATTATGTTAGCACAGCTGAAAACTGTTGTGCTGATTAAAGAAGCAATAAAACTGGCCTTCTTGAGACTAGTTGAGTATCTGGAGCATCAGCAATTGTGGGTTCGATTACAGGCTCAAAATGGCCAGAAACAAATAACTTTCTTCTGAAACTCGTCAATCTATTCTTGTTCTGAGAAATAAAGGCCATTCCATGCGAGAAATTGCCAAGAAACTGAAGATCTCATACAACGCTGTGTACTACTCCCTTCACAGAACAGCGCAAACTAGCTCTAACCAGAATAGAAAGAGGAGTGGGAGGCCCCGGTGCACAACTGAGCAAGAGGACAAATACAAAAAGCCATATCTCAGACTTGCCAATAAAAATAAAAGATGGGCAGTCTGAGATATGGCTTTTTCTTTGCAACTCTGCCTAGAAGGTCAGCATCCCGGAGTCGCCTCTTCACTGTTGACGTTGAGACTGGTGTTTTGCGGGTACTATTTAATGAAGCTGCCAGTTGAGGACCTGTGAGGTGCCTGTTTCTCAAACTAGACACTCTAGTGTATTTGTCCTCTTGCTCAGTTGTGCACCGGGGCCTCCCACTCCTCTTTCTATTCTGGTTAGAGGCAGTTTATGCTGTTCTGTGAAGAGAGTAGTACACAGCATTGTACGAGATCTTCAGTTTCTTGGCAATTTCTCGCATAGAATAGCCTTCATTTCTCAGAACAAGAATAGACTGACGAGTTTTCAGCTGTGCTAACATAATTGCAAAAGGGTTTTCTAATGATCAATTAGCCTTTTAAAATGATCAACATGGATTAGCAAACACAACATGTCATTGGAACACAGGACTGATGGTTGCTGATAATGGGCCTCTGTACACCTATGTATATATTCCATAAAAAATCAGCCGTTTCCAGCTACAATAGCCATTTACAACATTAACAATGTCTACACTCAATTTGATGTTATTTTAATGGACAAAATTTTTTATTTTCTTTCGAAAACAAGGACATTTCTAAGTGACCCCAAACTTTTGAACGGTACTGTATGTAAATTAGATATTTTTGTATTTCATTTTCAATAAATGTGCAAACATTTCCAAAAACAGGTTTCACTTTGTCATTATGGGGTATTGTGTGTAGATTGGTGAGAAAAAAAAAAGTATTTAATCGATTTTGAATTCAGGTTGTAACACAATGTTATGATGAGTTTCTAGGGTATCAAGTAATTAAGGATGTAAGAATATAATTAGACGACTCTGTGGAAAGTTAATACAAAGGTTTAATAGTCGGTACCGGGTTCGTTATAACAAAAGACAGTGCTTTGCCTCTTGCCATTCCGAAGTACTGAACAAAGACAATATCTCAGTTTATATAGCTTCGATTACATGTTTCTTCACGAACATCTGGCAACCCTCAATGGGCACTCCCTTCTTTGATGTTATTACCTTGTACCCCAAGTCAGTATATCATGTCCATCAATCATTCTAAGGTCAACCACCAGTAAGCTCCCTTGACATAATGGAGTCCTTGGTATTCAGACTGTGCGGCGCCCAGAATCGCTTATCTACTAACTTTAACCTGGTTCACACAACACTATGAAATGACATCATAACACACAACAAAATGTGGAATACGTCAAGGGGTATGAATACTTTCTATAGGCACTGTACCATTGTTTATTTAACTAATATGCCAGACAAAGAAGACCTTCCATTAGTAGTGATTAACAAATCAAGACAAATCCCTACAGCTCATGGTATTGTAGTTTATATCGCCTTCCTCATCAGCAAAGTTCTTATTGATTCCAGTACAAAACAGAACTGGTCCCTATCCTGAAAGTCCCCAGGGTCATGGTGCAGCCCAACTTTGTGTACATCATGCCTGATGATAGTGGCCCCACTGGTCGGACGGTGTTCCTGGAGCTCACTCCGCCCCCTGAGATTCACTACAAGACCAGCGCTGGCAGCAGCCAACAGATGAACGTGCTGGGGATCGTCATCTTCTCTGCCACCATGGGTAAAGCCAGTTTATCCTCTATTTTCTTTTATATTTTTTATTATTTTCTGTATCAATGTTATATGTATCCATCTCTATCTAAACTAATTTTATTTTTGCTCCTTCAGGGCTATTACTGGGGAAAATAGGCGAGAGAGGAGCACCACTAGTTAACTTGTGTCAGTGCGTCAACGAATGTGTCATGAAAATCATCAACACTGCTGTTTGGTAAGTGGGGGACGAGCTTTGTAAATAGTTTAAATGGTCATGGTTCCACTGGCTCAGTGGGTTAGAGCATGGCAACAGCAGGTTTGTGGATGTGATGTCCGTTCAGTGTGACTTTCTGAGATTATGACCTGTACACGGGCATGAGAATGGGGTCATTGTCTTGTGGTCAAGCTGTGGAGACGTCAGGCGACCATCTTGCTTTGTTCCACCCAGCAGCGAACTGCACATGCCGAGGATTAGTCAAGCAGGAGGAGATCACCCGGTGTTCAGGGTCAACAGTGACTTATCCCAGGGACCTCTGGCACCACCAGGGTAGAACGACTGCCCCCTCTCATTGAAGCCACAGAAGTTCAAGGCTGACCGCGGTACTGCAGGCATTGTTTGCAGAAAACAGGCAATCTTCATGGTCAATCTTTGTGTATTTTTTTTATTTTTTTATCTAAGACAAACATGGTACCAATAATTGCTTCTAATACACCAGATGTATGTCCTTGAACCGATTATTTAAAAATTTGCACACAGGATAATTTAGTTGCTAATAGCAGCCTGCAACGTCACTTCCTGGAGTAGCTCAAACTGTGCATGTTATGTGGCCGTCACTAGTTACCACAGCCACAAAGTCATTATGGCTAAACCCTGCCTATTTCTAAAATGTATCTTCTTAAAATCAGATTTGAAACCTAACCTTAACCACAATGCTTAACCTTAACCTTAAATTAGGACCAAAATGCCAAAAAAAAGCATACATTTTTACGATATATTGACTTTGTAGCTGTGGTAACTAGTGACAACCATGTTCCGTCGCCATGAGACGCCATCTTAACCAACTTCATTTGGCTTCAATGCGCTATTGAGTCTTCACATAAGAGTGAATGGTGTCATGTGATCGATGGCTTTGTCCATTCATATATGTACAGTCATTAGGCACCATGCATGCAGCTCAGGTTTACCTGAAACTGGCCTGGCCATTTTGTATGATGTCACTTACCACAGAGGTTCTGCTGATATAGGACCAACCTCAAAGACTTGAATGGCTCTTGGCTCTGACATGTTTTTCGAGGCAGGAAGCAACTCACGTGACACATACTTTTTTTTGTGAATATAGTTTTCACAATACATAACATAATATCAATTACAATGTATTTATTTTTATTCTGTTTTACTGTGTCGGAAACTGCTCATTAGGAAAAACACATTTGACCTACAGGTAACTGCCAAAATAATGGAGACACTTTAGTAAATGAGGGATACAACATACAGTGGAGAGAACAAGTATTTGATACACTGCCAATTTTGCAGGTTTTCCTACTTACAAAGCATGTAGAGGTCTGTAATGTTTATCATAGGTACACTTCAACTGTGAGAGACGGAATCTAAAACAAAAATCCAGAAAATCACATTGTATGATTTTTAAGTAATTAATTTGCATTTTATTGCATGACATAAGTATTTGATCACCTACCAACCAGTAAGAATTCCGGCTCTCACAGACCTGTTAGTTTTTCTTTAAGAAGCCCTCCTGTTCTCCACTCATTACCTGTATTAACTGCACCTGTTTGAACTCGTTACCTGTATGAAAAGCACCTGTCCACACACTTAATCAAACAGACTCCAACCTCTCCACAATGGCCAAGACCAGAGAGCTGTGTAAGGACATTAGGGATAAAATTGTAGACCTGCACAAGGTTGGGATGAGCTACAGGACAATAGGCAAGCAGCTTGGTGAGAAGGCAACAACTGTTGGCGCAATTATTAGAAAATGGAAGAAGTTCAAGATGACGGTCAATCACCCTCGGTCTGGGGCTCCATGCAAGATCTCACCTCATGGGGCATCAATGATCATGAGAAAGGTGAGGGATCAGCCCAGAACTACACGGCAGGACCTGGTCATTGACCTGAAGAGAGCTGGGACCACAGTCTCAAAGAAAACCATTAGTAACACACTACGCCGTCATGGATTAAAATCCTGCAGCGCACAAAAGGTCCCCCTGCTCAAGCCAAGGCATGTCCAGGCCCATCTGAAGTTTGCCAATGACCATCTGGATGATCCAGAGGAGGAATGGGAGAAGGTCATGTGGTCTGATGAGACAAAAATTGAGCTTTTTGGTCTAAACTCCACTCGCCGTGTTTGGAGGAAAAAGAAGGATGAGTACAACCCCAAGAACACCATCACAACCGTGAAGCATGGAGGTGGAAACATCATTCTTTGGGGATGCTTTTCTGCAAAGGGGACAGGACGACTGCACCGTATTGAGGGGAGGATGGATGGGGCCATGTATCGCAAGATCTTGGCCAACAACCTCCTTCCCTCAGTAAGAGCATTGAAGATGGGTCGTGGCTGGGTCTTCCTGCATGACAACGACCCGAAACACACAGCCAGGGCAACTAAGGAGTGGCTCCGTAAGAAGCATCTCAAGGTCCTGGAGTGGTCTAGCCAGTCTCCAGACCTGAACCCAAGAAAAAATCTTTGGAGGGAGCTGAAAGTCCGTATTGCCCAGCGACAGCCTCGAAACCTGAAGGATCTGGAGAAGGTCTGTATGGAGGAGTGGGCCAAAATCCCTGCTGCAGTGTGTGCAAACCTGGTCAAGACCTACAGGAAACGTATGATCTCTGTAATTGCAAACAAAGGTTTCTGTACCAAATATTAAGTTCTGCTTTTCTGATGTATCAAATACTTATGTCATGCAATAAAATGCAAATGAATTACTTAAAAATCATACAATGTGATTTTCTGGATTTTTGTTTTAGATTCCGTCTCTCACAGTTGAAGTGTACCTATGATAAAAATTACAGACCTCTACATGCTTTGTAAGTAGGAAAACCTGCAAAATCGGCAGTGTATCAAATACTTGTTCTCCCCACTGTATATTGAAAGTAGGTGCTTCTTCACAGGTGTGGTTTCTGAGTTAATTAAGCAATTATCATCCTTTCATGCTAAGGGTGTATAAAATGTATAAAAATGCTGGGCAGGCCATTATTTTGGCTACCATGGCTATGACCCCAAAAGATGACAGTGCCGCCATCGAGTGGTCACTGAATGGTTTGATGAGCATTAAAACAATATAAACCATATGCCATGGCTGTCTCCGTCATCAGCTCTTAACCCAATTGAACACTTATGGGAGATTCTTTAGCGGCGCCTGAGACACCCTTTTCCACCACCATCAACAAAACCCCAAATGGTGGAATTTCCTGTGGAAGAATGGTGTTGCATCCCTCCAATACAGTTCCAGACACTTGTAGAATCTATGCTAAGGTGCATTGAAGCTGTTCTGGCTCATGGTGGGCCAACGCCCAATTAAGACGCTTTATGTTGGGATTTTCTTTATTTTGGCAGTTACCTGTAGGTTGTATAGACAGTCTTTTGGGGTGTTTATTGAACAACAGTGAAACACAGTTCTTCCTTTTTTAATTTCCGGACAGGTATTTTCCATTTGGGATCATATTCCTCGTAGCTGGAAAAATCCTGGACATGCAGGACCCATCTACTATTGGGAAGAAGCTGGGCTGGTACACCATCACTGTTCTGGCCGGGCTTTTTGTCCACGGCCTCATTCTCCTCCCTTTCTTTTACCTCATCCTGACTAGGAAAAACCCCTTCACTTTCATCAGAGGCCTGCTTCAAGCCTTGGTCATAGCACTGGCCACCTCCTCAAGGTAAGTCAGTGGTCTGTCTGTGCCTATTTTTCTCATTAAACAATGATATTTTTCACTGTCCTGGAGGGCTACAGTGTGCAACCAACCTGGGTTGGGGTCAATTCCTTTCTTAATTCAGTCAGTTCAGTAGGAAGTGAATTTACATTAAACTCATGTTGAATTGGAAATTGACCGTTTTTTCAATTTGTGAATTGAATTTCAGTTCACCTCCTGAATTGAAATGGAAGTGACCCCCCATTCAGCTAAGTTCCATAATACCTGATTAATTTGATTCAGGTGTGTTAGTGCTGGGCTGGGACAAAAGCTTGCAAACACTGTGGCCCTCCAGGACCAGGTGTGTAGAACACTGTCACAGAGGGTTGAGCTGTGATGCATGAAAAGGATTCCTTATAAACATTGCAATGGCGAGTTTGATTGATCATCTCCAGCTTCAAACACTTTCTTTGAAACTCTTAACTTACTCAAATTAATCTGCATCATGTTGCAATTGATCTACAGTATGGTGTTTAGAGGCGAACAGTCAAGCACAGAAATCTATTAAGAGAATAATAGCCTAAATGTTCAGAATTGTTTAAAAATTCAGTTTGAAAACCATGAAAGCTGATTGTTGTAATTAAGTAGTGTAAACGAAAGTATTCCAAAAGGAGGAAAACAAACTAATATATCCAGAGGATATTAGTTAGAATGGTAGAAGTCCCTTAACTCAACTATCTCTCTTTCTCTCTTAAGTTCTGCCACTCTGCCCATTACTATGAAGTGCTTGCTGGAGAACTGCAATGTGGATCGACAGATAGCGCGCTTCGTGCTGCCTGTGGGCGCCACCATTAACATGGATGGAACAGCTCTTTATGAGGCCGTGGCGGCCATCTTTATCGCCCAGGTCAACGATTATGAGCTGGACTTTGGCCAGCTGGTCACCATTAGGTATGTATGGGGTTTCAAATCACTCCAATTCTAATGTAAACGTTCTCATAAAGCTACCCAATCCATATACTGGGTGAAACTTTGAGTCCTAACTCAAAAGCAGTAACCGTCCGGTGTAGTCTGCCATGACAGTCTTGGTTTTGGGTGCCAATATTATAACCGTTTCACAAAAAGTAACATCCTGATATTACTTCTGTTTCACACAACTACATGGGAATGTCACTGTACAAAACTAATGTACTTTTTTTCATGATGAGATTTGGTCACTGTTTTTGATTGAATGAGAAATCACTAAATGTAGGTCGTGACACTTTTTAAAGGGTATAGCTCATATCATTTTAACCATGGCAGGACAATATTGTAATGCACCTTCTTAGCTGAGTAATTTATTGTGTTGGTCTCTGTTTGAAGTATAACAGCCACAGCTGCCAGCATAGGTGCTGCTGGGATCCCCCAGGCCGGCCTCGTCACCATGGTGATTGTGCTGACATCAGTGGGTCTGCCGCCTGATGACATCACTCTCATTGTGACCATCGACTGGGTACTGTAAGTTCACTATGACAACAATTAGTCATATTCAATATCTACTGTACAACATATACTACACATGTTAATCGTGACTGAAATGGCAGAACATTTTATGTTTAAAAGTGAATTAATTAATTTGTCAAAGGAAACCTTAAATTGTTTCTGCATTCAGAAACAATGTTTTTGGTTGGAGTGGGAGGCTGACCTCTGGAGCCTTTGTATTCCCTGTCCTTTCAGGGACAGATTCCGAACCATGATCAACGTGCTGGGAGACGCCCTGGCAGCAGGAATCATTGGCCACTTATGTCGGAAAGACTTTCCTCGCAGACCTACTGGCAAGGTAGGCAGCTGTCACTGTCTAGCCGCAACCACATCATAACAATTGAGTTATAGTCCTGAGCTCCTGTCAAACTGTTTTCATGTGAGGTATCAGAGGCCCTGCACATTTGAGGCCCTGCACCAAATAATAACTGACGTCTTAAATGTATTTAATGTGTCTGCCAGCCAGGGTTACACATTTAACAATCTGAAATCAATATGTCATGTGAATCTAGACCGCTGAATGTCTGCACAGTTTGTCACTTATCACATAGATACTGATCAGTGTGTTTGTGTGTGTGTGTGTGTGTGTGTGTTCCTCCTTAGTCGCAGCCTTCATATGGCACACAGAACTCGCACAACATGCAGAATGGTGTGCCTATGACCGAGCTGCCTCTGCACAAGCAGGACTGCTGCTATGATGTGATGGGGGACACAGTCAACGAGAGGCCTACCATCTACTACAATATCTGTCAAGTTTAACTCCTGGAAAGATGCTAACCTCAAATGCTGGACATTTTTGGTGCACTTTTCCCCCACTCGTGCCATAAAACGGTACTGAAAGAACCTATTCCTGCTGTCACCTATCCAGTCTTTTTGTGACTGAACTTTTTGTGACTGAACATTTTGTTTCGCCTCGTTGGTGACACACTGCAATGGACAAATCAGTGTTTTCCACAAAGACCTTTTGTAATTTTTTTTAAACAGTGATAAGTTAGGAATCGCCCCAAAGTACCACTACGATCTTGTCTATGTGCTGTTGACTATTGCTATTAACTCTACTCGTTCCTGCCACACCCTTTTATCCACTTGCTGGTCTCCTGTGTTTATTAAATGGACCCTTTTGCAACTTTGGGTAGAAAACCCAATAGCTTTTGCTCATGATGAAAATAAATGGTGTGGTCATCCTTTCAATTCAAGCCAGTCCTCAATGAAACCACCATTGGGGAGTGGTCAGGCTTACTTGAACATTCGATTGGCCCAGCTACAAATATTTTTAAAAACCTGTTCTAGCTGTTTGTGTACAAATTGGTGCTTCTATCACCAAAGTTACAATCCAAAAACATAGCTGCCCCACGACATGGAATTCTATGGCTAAGCTTCCAACATTCTAATGTCAATAGCACAATATGGGTGATTTACAATAAACAGAAGTTGGTTATATTATATATAATTTGAAAGGTCATTTCAATGTGAGTAAAGTCATACAGTATAAAAAATTATCATGACAGCTGTGATGCAAACAGGAAGTTTCGCTACAATTTTATAAATGCAGACGTATCATTTGTTTGTTTGAGATGGTGGGATCTTTTAGTGTAGGTAAAATTAATTATGAGAGAAATGGCGGTGGAAACGCATTTATGCGCAAATATTGATATAACAACCATCATATCGAAGTAAACTTGGAGTCGATGACATGGTGTGTGGTCCTCCCACTACGACTCGGGAAACCATGCAGTTTATTAGGCTACAGATGAAATAAATTATGATGAACTTCACAGGGTGGTGAAAGTGCACTTGATATTGATGCTCCTATCTGGTCTTATTCTGGTTACATAATGATCGATGCTTGACTGCCGTTTGACAAAAATATATATTCTCGCTCTAATCCATAATAATCTCATCATGTAGACTAGCCAATCCCCACTGTATCTGCGAGCTGTTGGCTAGAGTGCACATGGCAAGACCAGAGTAGGAACATTTGCTAACGCAACAGTTTTTATGACAAAACTATAGGTACAGTTGAAAATGCAATGGAAACACATTGAACTTTAGATTTTTATTCAGTACATGAAAACTTAAGGGAAAAAGTAAATTTTTAGCACTATGTCTTCACGCACTGATTTCTATCTGCAACAAGTTAGTTTGGTGGAAACACACCACTGGTGGGAAAATACACGTTTTCTTTACATGGATTTTAGAATATTCGCATGAAAATCTCCTGCCAATTGGATGGAAACCTAGCTACAGACATTTTTTGTGGTTGTTTTGGCTCTGCACTCCACCACTTTGGATTTGAAATGATACAATGACAATGAGTTTAAAGTTCAGACTGTCAGCTTTAATTTTAGGGTATTTTCATCCATGTTGGGTGAACTGTTTAGGAAGCTTTGTCAGGAGGCCGTAAGACGGCTGCTATCCATTGCAGCGCCATCATGGAGATAAAATGGAAGAAGTTACACTTTTGTAAAGTTACTCTTCTGTTTCAAATCGTGCCTCAAAAGGTAATCCACCAATTGATGGCTCCATGTCGAAGTTACCTGCAGAAGGCGGTTGTTTCAGTTGAGCAAGGAAATGGTTGAAATTCTGAAACTGGCTGGACCAACGGTATGCTAAGCTTGATACTTCCCTACTAGGCTACAGGTTTTTATTGGTATTGTTATTATTAATATTATTATACATGATTTGATATTGGGTAGCATAGCACTTTTACAACATGTTTCCATCTGACTGAATGCACTACCATAGACAGCCTAGCTAGCCTACATCCTGAGTGGTAGGCCAGATAAGGCACTGGCCTAGGTAAAGCTTTTAAGATCTTTTCACAGTAAACTTATTATCAGGGGTATTTAGTTTTCCTCATTTCCAAAACTGTTTGTGAAATATAGGTCCACATTTTATTGAAGTGATTAATTTATTTTCAAACAATGGAGTAAAATAATATTTTATTTTGGTTTCTGAGGAGACAAGACAGTTGAGACATGACATTTCTAAATTATATTCTTCAAGAATAATTGGGTATAGACTATATTATTCATTTAAAAGTAAAACAATTGATGTACCAATCCCAGATAGCCCTTTTAAAAAACCCATGATGAGGTGAATTATGTGTCAAATTCTGATACCACATGTCAATGGGTGTATACCATTAATAAAAAAAACTTGTTAAGAAAAACAATAAAGTTGGAACTACTGTATCTCCTCCTTTAGCAGGCTTTGAAAGTGGAATATGTATAAAGATACATTTCGACCACTTTTCAAGTTTCTGATGGCACTTACATTAAGCCTAAACTTCACGCCGAACTATGGAAACGGGTAACAGTTTAATGAACCAGTAGTAAGATTGATACCTTTTGTATAGTGTTATAAGTGAACGTTCACTTCAATTTGGACCAAGTTGTGGTGATGTTTTGATTATGACGGCAGGGATTATTTATTTAAAAAGATGATAAAAAATTATTGACGCAAAACACTATTTTTCCTCAGTTCATCTCTATTCTGATGCTCCTTCTGATCAGTTTTGTCAGCACTGTGTTCTGTGGACGCATAGGCAAAACAGAGCTTGCAGCTGTGACTCTGGCCACTTCGGTAAGAGAAGCCCTCTCAGACTACTTAAATTAACAGTGTGTAGCCGTGGCTTGCTTTTAGGTCACTGTAGTACTTGGATATACAGTGGCTTGTGAAAGTATTCACCCCCCTTGGCATTTTTCCTATTTTGTTGCCTTACAACCTGGAATTAAAATTGATTTTTGGGGGGTTTGTATCATTTGATTTACACAACATGCCTATCACTTTGAAGATGCAAAATATTTTTTTTATGTGAAACAAACAAGAAATAAGACAAAAAAACAGAAAACTTGAGCATGCATAACTATTCACGCCCCCAAAGTCAATACTTTGTAGAGCCACCTTTTGCAGCAATTACAGCTGCAAGTCTCTTGGGGTATGTCTCTATAAGCTTGGCACATCTAGCCACTGGGATTTTTGCCCATTCTTCAAGGCAAAACTGCTCCAGCTCCTTCAAGTTGGATGGGTTCTGCTGGTGTACAGCAATCTTTATGTCATACCACATATTCTCAATTGGATTGAGGTCTGGGCTTTGACTAGGCCATTCTAAGACATTTAAATGTTTCCCCTTAAACCACTCGAGTGTTGCTTTAGCAGTATGCTTAGGGTCATTGTCCTGCTGGAAGGTGAACCTCTGTCCCAGTCTCAAATCTCTGGAAGACTGAAACAGGTTTCCCTCAAGAATTTCCCTGTATTTAGTGCCATCCATCATTCCTTCAATTCTGACCAGTTTCCCAGTCCCTGCCGATGAAAAACATCCCCACAGCATGATGCTGCCACCACCATGCTTCACTGTGGGGATGGTGTTCTCGGGGTGATGAGAGGTGTTGGGTTTGCGCCAGTCATAGTGTTTTCCTTGATGGCCAAAAAGCTCAATTTTAGTCTCATCAGAGTACCTTGTTCCATATGTTTGGGGAGTCTCCCACATGCCTCCCGAGTGGCGCAGTGGTCTAAGGCACTGCATCGCAGTGCTAGATGTGCCACTAGAGATCCTGGTTCGAATCCAGGCTCTGTCGTAGCCGGCCGCGACCGAGAGACCCATGGGGCGGCGCACAATTGGCCCAGGGTAGGGGAGGGAATGGCCGGCAGGGATGTAGCTCAGTTGGTAGAGCATGGTGTTTGCAACGCCAGGGTTGTGGGTTCGATTCCCATGGGGGGTATGAAAATAAAATAAAAAAAGTAAGTTGCTCTGGATAAGAGCGTCTGCTAAATAATGTAAATGTAATGCCTTTTGGCGAACACCAAACGTGTTTGCTTATTTATTTTTTTAAGCAATGGCTTTTTTTTCTTCCGTAAAGCCCAGCTCTGTGGAGTGTACGGCTTAAAGTGGTCCAATCTCCGATATTCCAATCTCCGCTGTGGAGCTTTGCAGCTCCTTCAGGGTTATCTTTGGTCTCTTTGTTGCCTCTCTGATTAATGCCCTCCTTGCCTGGTCATTGAGTTTTGGTGGGTGGCCCTCTCTTGGCAGGTTTGTTGTGGTGCCATATTCTTTCCATTTTTTAATAATGGATTTAATGGTGCTCCGTGGGATGTTCAAAGTGTCAGATATTTTTTTATAACCCAACCCTGATCTGTACTTCTCCACAACTTTGTCCCTGACCTGTTTGGAGAGCTCCTTGGTCTTCATGGTGCCGCTTGCTTGGTGGTGCCCCTTGCTTAGTGGTGTTGCAGACTCTGGGGCCTTTCAGAACAGGTGTATATATACTGAGATCATGTGACACTTAGATTGCACACAGGTGGACTTTATTTAACTTATTATGTGACTTCTGAAGGTAATTGGTTGTACTAGATCTTATTTAGGGGCTTCATAGCAAAGGGGGTGAATACATATGCATGCACCACTTTTCCGCTATTTATTTTTTAGAATTTTTTGAAACAAGTAATTTTTTCATTTCACTTCACCAATTTGGACTATTTTGTGTATATCCATTACATGACATCCAAATAGAAATCCATTAAATTACAGGTTGTAATGCAACAAAATAGGAAAATCGCCAAGGGGGATGAATAGTTTTGCAAGACACTGTAATACATTGTATGTTCTTGAAAAAGTCACAAGAAATGACATTATGTCCCTTCAATTGCAATCATGCAAAGTATATTACCTTGTGTAGTGCTCAGCTAAGAGCTCCTGAATAAAAAATATCTGTGCATTCTGACCAGGGTGCATACATACTTAATTTTAATTGTAAAAA